GGCCGGGAGGATAGTAATGTATGACTATCAGAAAGGATCAAAACATAAAGCAATAGTGATGGTACCAATAAAGTGATCTCAAAGACAGAGTTATTGTTATGGAAGGGACTGTAAAAAAAAAAAGATAGGTAAGAAACAAACTGATAGAATGGCAGACAGGGGGATAATGATTCTTGGCTCATGAAACTTTAATTGAAACTGAGAGGTTTATGAAACAAACTTGGAATAAAGTCTTTTTTTTATTTTTAAGGGAATTGCCATGAATTTTTTTACATACTTAAAAGTTGACTACTCTACAGGGGCGCCTGGGTGGCTCAGTTAGTTAAGTGTCTGCCTTCGGCTCAGGTCATGGTCCCAGGGTCCTGAGATCGAGTCCTGTCAGGCTCCTTGCTCAGCGGGGAACCTGCTTCTCCCTCTCCCTCTGCCACTCCCCCCTCTGGTGCTCTCTGGCTCTATCTCTGTCTCTATCAAATAAAGAAATAAAATCTTTTAAAAAAACTACACTGAACTTAAAAGAGAGGGAGATTTTCCTCACGAGGAAACCCAAACAGAGTGATAAACTCTAAAGGTGAATGGTAGAAGCCCAGGAAAATAAGATCTAGTTTAGGTGTCAAGTTTTTAATGCCCACACAGAAACAAGGCCACCATTGAAGACCCCTAAATGAAAGAAGAGCCTTGGAAACGCCACCTCTCCATGATGCTAGACAAACTCTACCCACTTACCAAGTGAAACAATAAAGCAATAAGGAAACTTGCTCTGCTCAGGGCTCCTTCAAGAAATTGAAGCCCAAAGTCTGCACCATGCTCAGGTACAGATGAAGAATTTATGCTACCTGATGGGGCACCTGGGTGGCTCAGTCAGTTAAGTGGCCAGCTCTTGATTTTGGCACAGGTCATGATCTCAGGGTCCTGGAACTGAGCCCCACATCAGGCTCCCAGCTCAGCGAACAGTCTGCTTGAGGATTCTCTCTCTCCTCCCTCTCCTGAGGTCCCTCCCCACTCATGCTCTCTTTCTCAAATAAATAAATCTTAAAAAAAAAAAAAAAAAGTAGGAACAGACTTATCCCTGTATAGCTACAGAAAAACTACTGCACTAATAAGAGAGTTTGGCAAGGTGTGGAATACAAAAGCCAATATGAAGACTCCATAAAGGGCCTACAGTACAGTGACAAACAATTAAAAAGTATAATTTTTATAAAATATCCTATTCATAATCGCTTCCAAAACACATAGGAATAAATATAGCCAAAGATGCAATGCATTTTTATAGGAAACATCTAAAGCTTTATTGAAAACAAAACATTTACTAATCTAAAACAACTGAAGCACTGGGGCAGGTGGGTGACTCAGTCAGTTAAATGTCCAACTCTTCATTTTGGCTCAGGTCATGATCTCACCATCATGGAATCAAGCCCCTATCGGGCTCCACGTTCAGCATGGAGTCGGCTTGAGATTCTCTTTCTTCCTCTCCCTCTGCCACTCCCCCTGCTCACACTCTCTCCCTCGAAATAAATACATAAAATCTTTTAAATAAATAAATAAAAATAAAACAACTGAAGCACTTAGTAAGATATAAATGAAGGGATAGTAAATATTTATGAGTAAGAGGTGTGCATTTATAGTTATATATTCATTTCATCCTGAAATCACCTATAAAATTATTGCAATTTTAATCAAAACACAACTCAACAAGCTGATCCTAAAATTCACATGGAAGAAGGAAAAGATGAGATCCAGGAATAGCCAAAACAATTTTGAAGAAAATAAAGAAGGGGTTGGGGGACCATCCTACCACATATCAAAACTTTTTTATAAAGTTTTAAGAATTAAAGCAATATTATTATAATAACAATCTACCAGACCAAGGGAACAAAATATTTAAACCAGAAACAAATGCAAGTTTTGAAATTTGATCAATCTAAGGGAATGCAATATATTATAGAGGTGATAACATAAATTAGCCAGTCTGAGAACACTTGGTTGGCATTGTGGGGGGAAAAAATTCGATCCACAACACACACTATACACAAAAATAAATTCCAGATGAATTAAAGGCCTAAATGGGATAAAATCTGAAAACTCATAAAATATTTTTAAAATCTTTATTATTGAAGTAGAGAAGAATTTTTGTAGAGACACAAAAAAAATGAAAAGAAAAAAGTGACAAATTTCAGTCTATAAGATAAAAATATGTGTATCAAATTCTTCTGTGTACTTTGCAAAGGTGAGAAGGCCTCAGGCTGGGAGAAAATATTGTAAAACACAGAGAGAGAGAGACAAACAGAGATAGAGCCCCACATATACCAATCTGAAAGACAAATCCAATAAAAAACATGGTCAACAATGTGAGTAGGTGGGCGCCTGGGTGGCTCAGTTGGTTAAGCGACTGCCTTCGGCTCAGGTCATGATCCTGGAGTCCCGGGATCAAGTCCCGCATCAGGCTCCCTGCTTGGCAGGGAGTCTGCTTCTCCCTCTGACCCTCCCCCCTCTCATGTGCTTTCTCTCTCTCTCTCTCTCAAATAAATAAATAAAATCTTTAAAAAAAAAAAAAACAATGTGAGTAGACAATTTCGTAGAATGGAAAATGACCCAACAGATTTATGAAAATATGTTCAATTACACTGGTAATCAAGGCAATTGCTTAAGATGAGCTATAATTTTATACCCTTCAGATGGGCAAAAATTAAAACTTTAAAAATACTAAGACAGGGCGCCTGGGTGGCTCAGTTGGTTAAGCGACTGCCTTCGGCTCAGGTCATGATCCTGGAGTCCCGGGATCAAGTTCCGCTCAGGCTCCCTGCTCAGCAGGGAGTCTGCTTCTCCCTCTGACCCTCCCCCCTCTCATGTGCTCTCTCTCTCTCATTCTCTCTCTCAAATAAATAAATAAAAATCTTAAAAAAAATAAAAATAAAAATACTAAGACTTAGTAAAGTTGTAGGGGCATGGAACAATAGTTTTATACATTGCAGGGGAGAATGTCAACTGGTATAATCGCTTCGTAAATATAAAGATAAGGAATGCTAAACCCAAGCCATTCCATTTCTAGGTATAATCTCTAGAAACACTCTCATAAATGTGCCCAAAGAGACATGTGCACAGAAATTCAATGCTGTGGTGTTTAAAATGATGTAAAATTAGAAATAACCAAAGGTCCACTGATGGATCAATATATTATAGTATAGAAATACACTGGCATACTCAAAAACAGCTAAAATGAATGAATGGATAAATCTCAAAACCATATGTCAAGTAGGAAATAAAAGAAAAAGGACATACTTTCTCTACATTTTAAAAACCCAAAAAGAATAATTTTACATTGCTACAGGCATATGCATACATATGAAAAGGTTTTTTTTAAGTGTATGGGGATGATATATATCAAAGATCAAAGACTACCCCTAGGCAGTCTTTTTCTAGGGAGAAAGGGTAGGAAAAGCATACAATGGGGTGTGGGTGGGGAAGGGTGGCAATTTAACAACAAAGAAACTCTGAAGCAAACATGACAAAATGTTACTATTTGTTAAAGCCTAGGTGGTTTGTATTTTTTTTTTTTTGTCCTCTGGTATATTTAAAATATTTCATAATTTAAACATTTTATGTAGAAAAAAGTCTGACAGTATGCATGATATGCACGTCTTAAAAGGCCTATCCTATAAAACAAGGACAGAAGCTAAAAAGGGAGATGTTTGTTTTCAATGGGAAAAAAATTTGAAAACAGAATTAAATAAATCACAGAACAGCCATACAATCAAATGTCATGTAACCACCCCAAAAAAATTATAGCTCAAAAGCATGGTTATTAACTTGGAAAGATGTTGACAACATATCAAGTCAGGGGGAAAATGGGTATAAAAGTATAGGTTTTCAACTAAGGCCGGAAATGGTTAAATAAACCTCCTATATGCACTAACAGGCCAAAGTTCCATTAAATGCACCTGCCTTATTTTAATCTCTTACCAACTTGCATCCATGGAAAGAAATTAACTATAAGCAGCCTAATGATAATAAAGAGTACAACAGATTAATTCCAGTGTTGCAAACAAGAAAGCTATTGGTATAATACTGATACAGAAGAGCTGCATTCAAAGCCAAAAACAATTATTTCCCAGGGCTGGTGCCAACACTGCCTCCCCCCCACCCCCCCACCCCCACATTCCAAATGAGACCTGCTCCATTTAACCACCTGGTCAGAGAGCTAGCACAGAAGTGTACATTTCTAATCATATATACCAAAGAGCCAGATAAAATATAATACATTATATGGAAATAAACTGTCAGGTCTCAATGAAACCCAAAGTTATAATCACAAAGTAATGTCATATTTATAAGAGGAATGAGTGGTGGTAAGAAGTTAAACCGGAGACCGACTTGCATACTCAAAACCTGTGCTCTATATTTTATTCACTGAAAGTTGTCCAAAGGTCTAAGAATCCCAATAGATTCTATTTTATGAAAACAGCAGTAGCCTACTAAGGGAACACTGCTTCCCCTACTCACAACACTTCTGACACCAAATGTGTGTGGGGGTTCCGTACGCCAACTAATTCTCCAACTCTCCAGACAGCAAGTGGGTGTTCTACAATCTGACTACCTGGAGGCCGAGCAGACCCCACAGATGAAGGGCTGAATCCCACAAGACTGCCCCACCAATTGCAAGTAGTGGGTATCCATGTTACTCACACTTCTATCCAACTGGGCTACAAATCAGGGGTTCCCATGGCCCCCTCCTCACGTTCAATCATTTGCTACAGCAGCTCACAGAACTCATGGAAACACATTTAGCAGCTTATTATAAAGGGCATTATAAAGGATAAAAATGAACAACCTAATGAAGATGTACATAGTGCGAGTCCAGAAGGTTCCCAGGTATAGGAGTTTCTGTCCCAGGGGGGTTTGCTTGAGCCAACTCTCCTGGCACATGGATGTGTTCACCAACCTGGAAGGTCAATGAATCCCATAGTTTAGAAATTTTTATGGAGGTTTCATCACATAGCCATGACTTATTAGTAACTCAACCTCCAGCCCCTCTACCTACCCTAGAGGTAGAGGGGTAGAGTGGGAGATGCAGGGAGAGGCTGAAAGTTCTAAACCTCTAACCACAAGGTTGGTTCCTCTGGCACCCAGGTGCCCTCCTAAGGGCCCATCAACAGTCACTAATTAGCATACAAAAAGACACTCATTAGTTCCGGAGATTCCAATAGTCCTAGAAGCTCTTATGGCTGGAAGCAGAAACTAAGACCAAATATTATAACCAAAAAAATGCTCCTATCACCCCTGTTACTCAGGAAACTACAAAAGTTTGAAAAGCTCATGCCAGGAACTGGGGATGAAAACCAAATAAATATTTATTATTTCATATTACACATACAATAAAGGATAGGAAGTTAGAACTCTTTTTCTCTTATACTTATCATTTAAGTAATCTCTACCCCCAATGCAGGGCTCAAACTCATGACTCCAAGATCAAGAGTCACATGCTCTTCCAACTGAGCCAACCAGGAGCTCCAAAGTTAGAACTCTTAAGGAAAAATATTTTGATTATTATTCCTTTACTGTGAAAGTACTTCTTGTGTTCTTTATACCTTGATGAAGTATTATTGAGACTGCTAAGGCCAACAAATATAAACTGCTTTTATTGTGCAAAAATTAAGAATGGCTCAGGCTATATAATGGTAGTTGCACTAAATCTCAGCTTCTGTAAGAGTTGATTTTGAACTCAATCATCCTTTAAGAGAAGACATACCAGCTCGCATAATTTCATCAACCAGGAGAATGTTGGTGGCAATCACCGTGCTGAAGAAAAAGATAACAGGGTAAGTAAAGCCTACCAACCCACTCTCATCTTTTCCCCCCAGCAATCTCCAGCTACTAAAAGTACTTTGTTCTTTAATGATGTTATATGAGATATTATGAGACGAAACTATTGTAAATGCAAATATCACCCCTTGTATTATAATTTCAACTCCTCTGCTGATAAAAATTTGATTTTATATACCAGCAAATCTGAGCTCATTTTTAGCACATCATTTGCTTTTCCCTGCTATGCACGTGGTACAATTTCAGTAAACTTCCTTCTTTCCCTTCCCCCTCAAATAAACAGTAAGATAAACATTTCCTGTATCTGACGCTGCTAGAATCAAAATGGAAAAAGGACTATAAAATGACAGAAGCTAGCGTTAGTAACTGGATACCATGCCTTTTCATACACTTAACCATTTTTCACTAGAGTGGCAAAAACAATAGACAAGTTTTAAAGTTACTGATTATGTCCCTAACAGTCTTTCTCTTTTTATTAATATGAATTTACCAAGAGTGAAGAAGTTGTTTTTTCACACAATAATTATCCCAAACTCCTGCATCTGCTGCTACCATGGGCTCACCTGCAAAGTAAAAACAAACTATTTTAACACTACAATCTTGATATATTCTGTTAATACTGGTTATATATTCTAACAGTGTTTAATATACCAGCAGTACTACTAGTGTCCAGGTCACAATGACCCCATGTTATCAAATCCAATCCAGGGGTCAGTTCTCAGGCCTTGTGGATCAGCAACACTTAACATGGTCTCCTGACTAGTCTTTCTTCACCTGTCTTCCAGGACACCACGCTCAGTCTCGTTTTTTCTTTTGCATTAGTGGCAACTTTTCTGTTGACTTTCCTGGTTCTTCCTCTTCTTCCCAGAGCTCTTAATTCTGGAGTAGCCAATGACTTAGTCCTGGGTTCTTTTCTTCACTCTCTACACTCACTCCCCAGGTACCATCCGGTCTTATGGATATAAACCATATACACTCTGAAGACTCTTGTTTTTATCTCCAACCCAGAGCTCTTTCTTGAGCTCCAGACTCATACTTCCAACTGTCTATTTCACTTGAAAGTCTACAGACACTTTGAATTTAACTTGGCCAAAACTCAGCACTGACCTTCCCTCCATGACAAGCTGCTCTACCCACAGTTCTCTGATGCAGTTAATGGCCATTCCAGTTGTTCAGTGGACTCCTCTCCACAGAATAGCCAGAGTGATCCTTTTAAACATAATTAGGCCATGTCACACCTCTGCCAAAAATTGCTCCCTGTTCCACTGCAGTAAAAGTCAAAGTCCTTGGATTGGCCCCCACACCCTGCATGATCTTTCTACTACCTCTCTCATCTCCTTCCTCCTCTTCAAAAGCTTCAGACACTGACTTTTCCACTGGCTGCTCCCTCTGCCCAGGATAGTCTTTCCTCAGTTCCCTAACATGGCTACTTCCTTACTTCCTTTGATTATTTTCTATAGACATATTCTCAATGAGGTCTACCCTGCCCACCTTTCTCTTTAAATTGCAACCCCCTGAATCATGGAACACTACATTTAAAACTAATGATGTTGGGGATTAACATAACAATAAAAAATTTAAAAAAAAATTGCAACCCCCTCCCCGCACCTCATGCTAGCATTCACAGTCATCCTTATAGGGTTCTTTTATTTTTTCATAGAATTTATTACTCCTTAAATGTTCAGGGAACTTATCTGTTAAGGTTATTATTTACTGCCTATCCTTCCCTGTGATAATATAAGCTTAGAAGTTTCTTTGTGAATCTCAAGAGTCAAATAACAAACACTCAAAAACTATTTCCTAAAAGAATAAATATTTTCTTTTAAGAAGTTCAAAAGTAAAACTAAAAAATGAATGCAACAACCAGGAAATTAAAGAAGAATTAAAAATATTCATGGAAACCAATGAAAATGAAAACACAACTGTTCAAAATCTTTGGGATGCAGCAAAGGCAGTCCTAAGAGGAAAGTATATAGCAATACAAGCCTTTCTCAAGAAACAAGAAAGGTCTCAAGTACACAACCTAACTCTACACCTAAAGGAGCTGGAGAAAGAACAGCAAATACAGCCTAAACCCAACAGGAGAAGAGAAATAATAAAGATCAGAGCAGAAATCAATGAAATAGAAACTAAAAGAACAGTAGAACAGATCAACGAAACTAGGAGCTGGTTCTTTGAAAGAATTAACAAGATTGATAAACCCCTGGCCAGACTTATCAAAAAGAAAAATGACCCAAATCAACAAAATCATGAATGAAAGAGGAGAGATCACAACCAACACCAAGGAAATACAAACAATTATAAGAACATATTATGAGCAACTCTATGCCAGCAAATTAGATAACCTGGAAGAAATGGATGCATTCCTAGAGATGTATCAACTACCAAAACTGAACGAGGAAGAAACAGAAAACCTGAACAGACCTATAACCACTAAGGAAATTGAAGCAGTCATCAAAAATCTCCCAACAAACAAAAGCCCAGGGCCAGATGGCTTCCCAGAGGAATTCTACCAAACATTTCAAGAATTAATACCTATTCTTCTGAAACTGTTCCAAAAAATAGAAATGGAAGGAAAACTTCCAAACTCGTTTTATGAGGCCACCATTACCTTGATCCCCAAACCAGACAAAGACCCCCATCAAAAAGAATTACAGACCAATATCCTTGATGAACATGGATGCAAAAATTCTCACCAAAATACTAGCCAATAGGATACAACAGTACATTAAAAGGATTATTCACCACAACCAAGTGGGATGTATCCCTGGGCCGCAAGGTTGGTTCAACATCCGCAAATCAATCAATGTGATACAATACATTAACAAAAGAAAGAACAAGAATCATATGATCCTCTCAATAGATGCAGAAAAAGCATTTGACAAAGTACAGCATCCTTTCTTGATCAAAACTCTTCAGAGTATAGGGATAGAGGGTACATACCTCAAAATCATAAAAGCCATCTATGAAAAACCCACAGTGAGGGGCGCCTGGGTGGCTCAGTTGGTTAAGCAACTGCCTTCGGCTCAGGTCATGATCCTGGAGTCCTGGGATCGAGTCCCGCATCGGGTTCCCTGCTCGGAGGGAGCCTGCTTCTCCCTCTGACCCTCCCCCCTCTCATGTGCTCTCTGTCTCTCTCATTCTCTCTGTCTCAAATAAATAAATAAAATCTTTAAAAAAAAAAAAAAACCCACAGTGAATATCATTCTCAATGGGAAAAAACTGAGAGCTTTCCCCCTAAGGTCAGGAACGCGGCAGGATGTCCACTATCACCACTGCTATTCAACATAGTATTGGAAGTCCTAGCCACAGCAATCAGACAACAAAAAGAAATCAAGGGCATCCAAATCGGCAAAGAAGTCAAACTCTCGCTCTTTGCAGATGATATGATACTTTATGTGGAAAACCCAAAAGACTCCACCCCAAAACTGCTAGAACTCATACAGGAATTCAGTAAAGTGGTATGATATAAAATCAATGCAAAGAAATCAGTGGCATTCCTATACACCAACAACAAGACAGAAGAAAGAGAAATTAAGGAGTCGATCCCATTTACAATTGCACCCAAAACCATAAGATACCTAGGAATAAATCTAACCAAAGAGGCAAAGGATCTGTACTCAGAAAACTATAAAATACTCATGAAAGAAATTGAGGAAGACACAAAGAAATGGAAAAACATTCCATGCCCATGGATTGGAAGAACAAATATTGTGAAGATGTCAATGCTACCTAGAGCAATCTACACATTCAATGCAATCCCCATCAAAATATCATCAACTTTTTTCAAAGAAATGGAACAAATAATCCTAAAATTTGTATGGAACCAGAAAAGACCCCAAATAGCCAGAAGAATGTTGAAAAAGAAAAGCAAAGCTGGCAGCATCACAATTCCGGATTTCCAGCTCTATTATAAAGCTGTCATCATCAAGACAGTATGGTACTGGCATAAAAACAGACACATCAATCAGTGGAACAGAATAGAGAGCCCAGAAATGGACCCTCAACTCTATGGTCAACTCATCTTCAACAAAGCAGGAAAGAATGTCCAATGGAAAAAAGACAGTCTCTTCAACAAATGGTGTTGGGAAAATTGGACAGCCACATGCAGAAGAATGAAACTGGACCATTTCCTTACACCACACACAAAAATAGACTCCAAATGGTTGAAAGACCTCGATGTGAGACAGGAGTCCATCCAAATCCTAAAGGAGAACACAGGCAGCAACCTCTTTGACCTCAGCTGAAGCAACTTCTTCCTAGAAACATCGCCAAAGGCAAGGGAAGCAAGGGCAAAAATGAACTATTGGCACTTCATCAAGATAAAAAGCTTTGGCACAGCAAAAGAAACAGTCAACAAAACCAAAAGACAACCGACAGAATGGGAGAAGATATTTGCAAATGACATATCAGATAAAGGGCTAATATCCAAAATCTATAAAGAACTCCTTAAACTCAGCACCCAAAGAACAAATGATCCAATCAAGAAATGGGCAGAAAACATGAACAGACATTTTTCCAAAGAAGACATCCAAATGGCCAACAGACACATGAAAAAGTGATCAACATTGCTCAGCATCAGGGAAACCCAAATCAAAACCTCAATAAGATATCACCTCACACCAGTCAGAATGGCTAAAATTAACAAGTCAGGAAATGACAGATGTTGGCAGGGATGCAGAGAAAGGGGAACCCTCCTACACTGTTGGTGGGAATGCCAGCTGGTGCAGCCACTCTGGAAAACAGTATGGAGGTTCCTTAAAAATTTGAAAATAGAGCTACCCTACGATCCAGCAATTGCACTACTGCGTATTTACCCCAAAGATACAAATGTAGGGATCCGAAGGGGTACATGCACCCCAATGTTTATAGCAGCAATGTCCACAACAACCAAACTGTGTAAAGAGCCAAGATGTCCATCGACAGATGAATGGATAAAGAAGATGTGGTATATATATACAATGGAATATTATGCACATCAAAAGGAATGAGATCTTGCCATTTGCAACGACGTGGATGGAACTGGAGGGTGTTACACTGAGCGAAATAAGTCAATCAGAGAAAGACATGTATCATATGACCTCACTGATAGGAGGAATTCTTAATCTCAGGAAACAAATTGAGGGTTGCTGGAGTGGTGGGGGGTGGGAGGGATGGGGTGGCTGGGTGATAGACACTGGGGAGGGTATGTGCTATGGTGAGCACTGTGAATTGTGCAAGACTGTTGAATCACAGATCTGTACCTCTGAAACAAATAATAAAATATATGTTAAAAAAAAAAAAGAAGAAGAAGATAGCAGGAGGGAAGAATGAAGGGGGGGGAATCGGAGGGGGAGACGAACCATGAGAGACGATGGACTCTGAAAAACAAACTGAGGGTTCTAGAGGGGAGAGGGGTGGGAGGATGGGTTAGCCTGGTGATGGGTATTAAAGAGGGCACATTCTGCATGGAGCACTGGGTGTTATACACAAACAATGAATCATGGAACACTACATAAAAAACTAATGATGTAATGTATGGTGATTAACATAACAATAAAAAAATTTTTAAAAAAAGAACTTCAGTAAAGAAAAAAAAAAGTTCAAAAGTAAATTAAAGGCACCCAAAATTTAAATATTAAAGTCACCCAAATCCCCACTCCCTTACTATAAGTTCTAGGTCACTGTAGTAAACCTCTTTCTTTACTGAGCAGCTAATTTTTCTTCACTTTCTTACCTGTATCCAAATCTATGCCAACAGGTTGTTTTGATTCTGAATGTTCAGCCTGAACTTTTACTAGCGTTTCCTGCAGGTCAAAACCAGAATTCTGAGCCAGAACCTTTAAGAATAAAAATAATAATAAATATATGTGTGAAATATCTTCACATACATATTTGAATATCAAATATAAAAAATAAGGCTCTTCTCTCTACTCTTGTGAAAACATATTCGTAATACAGTAATCATCTCCTTTTGAAGAATTCCATTCTTAATCTAAATCAAATTATTATTTCATGTATCTAGCAGTTTTTATATTTACTTAAACATTTTCCCTATGTATATTACAGTAAATTCTGAGGACATTACAGTCCCCCATCCCCACCCCACTGTATTAATTTCCCTCCATGCAAAAGATTTCTTAAAAAATGGAAAGAGGGGCGGGCGCCTGACTGGCTCAGTCGGAAGAGCATGTAATTTGATCAAGGGTCATGAGTTCAAGCCCCACTCTGGGTATAGAGATACACAAATAAATAAATAAAAACTTTTTTAAAAAATGGAAAATTAGGGGGCACCTGGGTGCCTGAGTCAGTTAAGCATCTGCCTTCGGCTCAGGTCATGATCCCAGGGTCTTGGGATCAAGTCCTACATCAGGCTCCTTGCTCAGCAGGGAGCCTGCTTCTCCTTCTCCCTCTGCCCCTCTCCCCTGCTTGCGTGCTTACACTTGGGCTCTCACCTGCGCTCACTCGCTCTCTCTCTCTCGTGCCCTCTCTCAAATAAGTAAAATCTTTAAAAAATAATTTAAAAAATGGAAAATCAGTAGAATGGTATTATTTCTTCTCGTCCCTTCAGCCACACATTTTCTAGCTTTTCCCAGGCACCTGTTAAAGGAACCCTACATATTTTCAGGATCTTTGCGTCCCTCCCCTCATCAACATGAGGAGAGTCCTGACCTGTGGCAACAGGAATGGAGATAACAGCACTCCAAACCAGGTTTATTTCCAAGTAGTACCAAACCAACAGCTGATAAGTAAAAAGGAACCACCACTGTACACCAGGCTTACCAGTTTGTGTCAACTACTGGATCATCACTTACTGACTTTGCTGTTTCAGGCAAAGAGAAAAATAGATCTCCAATTCTCAAAGATTCCATAAATTATGAATAATTTTAAAGCAATTAACAAAGAGACTTTGTTAGCACTGTTCTTAGTATTTTAATTCACAGTAATAACGTCTTTGACATGGTCTTCTGTGTTTCTAAGTGGTTCACAACCAGATTAAGGCAAACAACTACCATTCCTTTTAATGGTAGTTCTCTGTCCTTCTGTCGATACAGGGAACATCTGGTTTCTCTCCTTTTGTAGGTATTAAAATGAAAATGACAAAAGCACGCTCCTATTTGGCAGTGCCAAACAGCCTGAAGTTCTCGTTAACCACAATTTAAAGTGATGATAATACTTTGGATACCACCACCAAGATAAAATCTACCCCAAAGTCTAGTTAAATTTTAAGTTCTAAACTTTTTCATTATGATTAATCATGAACCATTTTTGAAGGAAATTTCCAGACTTACTTCAACTTTTGGTGCTCAGGGATAAGCAAAGGGGTAATTTAGTTATATCATGGAACTCTGACAAAGATTCTGAGCTATTATCCAAAGGTTTCCCTGCTTTATCTGTAATGTATCTTAAAACTGTGTGGGGAAATGCAAATAAAAACTCTTTCTACTCTGTTAGATAATGTGGACAATTTATAATCCAACACCCTTGTGTCCAGCCAGTGTTCTTTGGCCATTAGGATAGTTGTACCTTAGGAATAATGAGCAGGGCATCAGCAAAAGCTTGGACTCCAAGACGAGCTCTTCCTTTTATACTGTGCTTGTAATTAACAAGAGCTTCCGCTATTGCCACTTCAACTGCACCTGCTCCTGGAACCACACAGCCTATTGAAGGGAAAAGATTTGGCAAGGCATGCCAGATAAAACACCAGAGAAAAAAATACTTAGCTATTCAAGTGTGTTAAATTATACCGCCAACACCTAAAATATGCTTAAATATATACAGAAATAAAGTAGGTTGCATAGTTCAGTGGTTACTCAGATGCCTTATGAAGCATCCTGAAGTTACACACCATTAAATAATTAGGCATGGTACAGACTGGCTACAAGCAGCTTATCTCATTGAAGAGTAGACATTTCTTCCACCTTCATCTTATTCCTTTATGACTACATTTATTTTTTTATTTTATTTTTTAAGATTTTATTTATTTATTTGACAGAGAGAGACACAGTGAGAGAGGGAACACAAGCAGGGGGAGTGGAAGAGGGAGAAGCAGGCTTCCGCTGAGCAGGGACCCCAATGCGGGGCTCGATCCCAGGACCCTGGGATCATGACCTGAGCCAAAGGCAGACGCTTAACGACTGAGCCACCCAGGTGCCCCCCTTTATGACTACATTTAAAAGGTAGTTATTTATAATTTTTGGGACAGGAAACTAATTGTAGCATCTGATTTGAAAAAAACTTTAGGCCAAGATAATGTGGCCACTGTTTTGGTATAGAATTCTTGGGACTTATTATAGTATCTGTTTTCTGTACTGAAGCAAAACCCAAACTGTTACCTGAGGAAAAAATATAGGTGTTCTTATTATTCTAAGGTAAAAGCTCTGGTTAAAAACATCAATTTTCAGGGCGCCTGGGTGGCTCAGTTGGTTAAGTGACTGCCTTCGCCTCAGGTCATGATCCTGGAGTCCCGGGATCGAGTCCCACATCGGGCTCCCTGCTCAGCAGGGAGTCCGCTTCTCCCTCTGACCCTCCCTCCTCTCATGTGCTCTCTCTCATTCTCTCTCTCTCAAATAAATAAATAAAATCTTTAAAAAAAAAAAAAAACATCAATTTTCAGAGCGCCTGGGTGGCTCAGTCGTTAAGTGTCTGCCTTCGGCTCAGGTCATGGTCCCAAGGTCCTGGGATCGAGCCCCTCATCGGGCTCCCAGCTCAGCGGGAAGCCTGCTTCTCCCACTCCCTCTCCCCCTGCCTGTGTTCCCTCTCTCGCTGTTTCTCTGTCAAATAAATAAAAAATAAATAAATAAAATTTTTTTAAAAAACATCAATTTTCACAACAGGATATGACTTGGATACCTGCTGATATGGTTTTTATAAAGTTTATGACTCTCCTTTGAATCAACAAATTTGCTTTGGAATCACCTATCTTTAAAACAAAACAACACAAAAAGAATCTCTCCTTTATCCCACATCATTTTTTAATTACTTGCCTTTTCCTCTGCTTCCCTGTACAACATAACTGCTCAAAAGAGTTGTCTACCCAAAAGGTGATTGCATCCTTGCCTCCCATTCAGATTTTTTTTTTTAAGATTTTATTTATTTATTTGAGAGAGAGAGAATGAGACAGAGCGAGTACATGAGAGGGGGGAGGGTCAGAGGGAGAAGCAGACTCCCTGCCGAGCAGGGAGCCCGATGCGGGACTCGATCCAGGGACTCCAGGATCATGACCTGAGCCGAAGGCAGTCGCTCAACCAACTGAGCCACCCAGGTGCCCCCATTCAGATTTTTAAAAAGTTCCTTGTGATATAACACTGTACGTTAATTATACCAGAATTAAAAAGTAATTTTAAAAAACTTTTTTAAGTTCGTTGTGAAATACTGAATATACACAGAAGAATATTTACATATACAAGGTATAAAGAATAAATGCACAAATAAATGTACTCATGTACCTCCCACCCACCTTAAGAAACAGACCAGTAGCTGTAAAAACTTCCCTGATCCCATTCTGCAAAAACACATCCAAATTTGTGGGATGTTACTAAAGCAATACCTAAAAAGAAACTTGTATCACTAAACACCTACATTAGAAAAGAAGAAAGGTCTCAAACTAATGACTTCAACTTCCACCTTAAGAACTAGAAAAGAGCAAGTGATACCTAATGTAATAATGAAAGAAAATAATAAAAATTGGATCAGTAATCAATGAAATAAACATGAACAATGTTAAAAATAGAATGAAAGGCAGAAATTAAAAAGGTAATTATCACTATAGATTCTGCAGACATTAAACGTATAATAGTAAGGGAATATTATGAACAACTTTATGCTAATAAATTTGAAAACTTAGATCAGGGATTAGCAAACTTTCTGCAGAAGACCAGATTTAAGTATTTTAGGCTCCATGGGCCATACCATCTCCTTTGTAACTATTCAACCCTGCCATTGTAGCACAAAAAGAGCCACAGGCAATACATAAATGAATGGGTATAGCTGTATCCCCATAAACTTCATTTATCAAAAACAGGCAGCAAACAGGATTTAGTTCATGGGCAGCAGTTTGATGTTCTCAGCAGATGAAACAGACAAATTTCTTGAAAGACACAAACTCAAAAAAAAAAAAAAAGATAACCTGAATAGCCCCGTATCTATTAAAAAGATTGATTATAGCTTAAATTTCTCCCATGAAGAAAACTGCAAGCCCAGATGGCTTTACTGGCGAATTCCACCAAACAGTAAAGAAAGAAGTAATACCAATTCTACACAACAATTCAACACTTTCAGAAAATTTAAGGGACAGAATGTTTTCTAACTCATTCTATGAGGTCAGCATTATTCTAACCGAAAAAAAAAAAAAACAGATAAAGGCATTATAAGCAAAAAATATATAAATACCCCTTATTTTAGCAAATCAAGTCCAACAATATACAGAAAGGACAATACACATAGCAGCATTACTCACAATAGCCAAAAGGTGAAGCGATCTAAGTTTCCATCAATGGATAAATGGATAAATAACAGATTATATATACATACAACGCAATGTTATTCAGCCTTAAAAAGCAGGGACATGGGCGCCTGGGTGGCTCAGTCGTTAAGCATCTGCCTGCGGCTCAGGTCATGATCCCAGGGTCCTGGAATCGAGTCCTGCATCAGGCTCCCTGCTTGGCAGGAAGCCTGCTTCTCCCTCTCCCACTCCCCCTGCTTGTGTTCCCTCTCTCGCTGTCTCTGTCAAATAAATAAAGTCTTTAAAAAAAAAAAAAAAAAGCAAGGACATTCTGACATATGCCACAACATGGATGAACCCTGAAAGACATTATGCTAAGTGAAATAAGCCAATCACCAAAAGACAAATACTGGATGATTCCACTCAAACAAGGTACATGGAGTAGTCAATTTCATAGAGACCGTAAGTGAATAGTGGTTTCCGGGAGATGGGAGGAGAGGGGAATGGAGAGTTATTGTTTAATGGCTATAGAGTTTCAGTACTGTAAGATGAAAAATGTTCTGGGTGCCTGGGTGGCTCAGTTGGTTAAGCGACTGCCTTCGGCTCAGGTCATGATCCTGGAGTCCCTGGATCGAGTCCCGCATCGGGCTCCCTGCTCAGCAGGGAGTCTGCTTCTCCCTCTGACCCTACCCCCTCTCATGTGCTCTCTCTCTCATTCTCTCCCTCTCAAACAAATAAATAAAGTCTTAAAAAAAAAAAAAAGGTGAAAAATGTTCTATTGATGGATGATGGTGACGGGTGCACAACAATGTGAAAGAATGTAACTTAATGCCACTGAATTGTAACACTTAAAAATGATTAAAATGACAAATTGTATATGTGTGTGTGTGTGTATATATATATATATATATACACACATAGCCACAATTTTATAAAAACTGTAATCTATTTTTAAAGAGGATAATACATCATAAGTAGGGTTTATCCCAAGAATGTAAGGTTGGCTGAACATTTGAAAATCAATGTAATTTACCACATTAATAATCTAACAGAGAAGAAACATATAATCACCTCAATAGATCACCAGAAAAGCAACTGGTAAAATCCAGCATCAGTCGTGATAAAAACTCTCAGTAAGAGAAGAGAACTTCCTCAATCTAACAGGATTTCTAGAAAAATCTACAGCCAAATATCATACATAATAGAGAAAGGCTAAATGTTGTCCCCCTATGATCAGGAGCAAGGAAAGGATGCCCAATCTTACCATTTTTTCAACAACGTATTGAAGTTTCTAACCCATGAAATAAAAAGAAAAAAGAAATAAAAAGTTATCCAGGGGCGCCTGGGTGGCTCAGTCGTTAAGCGTCTGCCTTTGGCTCAGGTCATGATCCCAGCATCCTGGGATCGAACCCCGCATCAGGCTCCCTGCTTGGCGGGAAGCCTGCTTCTCCCTCTCCCACTCCTCCTGCTTGTGTTCCCTCTCTCGCTGTTTCTCTCTCTGTCAAATAAATAAACAAAATCTTTAAAAAAAAAAAAAAAAGCTATCCAGATTGGAAAGGAAGAAGTAAAATTGTCTTTATTAGCAGACAACATGATCATTCATATAGACAATTCAATGAAATCTATAAAAAAGCTACTAGAATAGGTGAGTTAAACAAGGTTACAGAATTAAAGATCAATATACAAAAATCAACTGTATTTCTATGTCTTAACAACAACCAGAAATTGAAATTTTATTTTTTTAAAGATTTTATTTATTTATTTGACAGAGAGAGAGAGAGATCACAAGTAGGCAGAGAAGCAGGCAGAGAGAGAGAGTGGGAAGCAGGCTCCCTGCTGAGGAGAGAGCCCGATGCGGGGCTCAATCCCAGGACTCTGATATCATGACCTGAGCCAAAGGCAGACGCTTAACTGATTAAGCTACCCAGGTGCCCTAGAAATTGAAATTTTAAAAACATCATGTATAATAGGACCAAAATTCATGAACTACATAAATCTGAAAAAAGATATGCCACTAAAAATTATAAAATATTGCAGTAAAAAATATATATATGTATACATATATGTATACATATAGCTGAGATTGAGTCAAGAAGGCTCAAATAAATAAAAAACACCATGACTCAATATTAAGATATCAATTATTCCCAGAATGTTCTACAGATTCAGTGAAATTCCAACCAAAATCTCAAGTCTTTTTGGTAGAAATTGACAAGCTGATTCTAAAATTCACATGAGGGGCGCCTGGGTGGCTCAGTCGTTAAGCGTCTGCCTTCAGCTCAGGTCATGATCCCAGGGTCCTGGGATCGAGCCCCGCATCAGGCTCCCTGCTCCGCGGGAAGCCTGCTTCTCCCTCTCCCACTCCCCCTGCTTGTGCTCTCTCTCTCACTGTGTCTCTCTCTGTCAAATAAATAAATAAAATCTTTAAAAAAATAAATAAATAAAATAAAATAAAATTCACATGAAAATGCAGAAAAGATTTTAAATAACCAAAATAACTTGAAAAAGAGCAAAATGAGAGGATTAACACTGCTGATTTCAAGACTTATCATAAAGTTACAATAATCAGGACAGTATATTAACATTGAGATAGACATATCAATGGAACAGAATAAGAACCCAGAAATAGAACCACACAATCATGGACAATTGATTTTCAGTGAAAAGTTTCAATGGCAACTTAACTCCCTGGTTAAAGAAGAATCTTTTCAACAAATGTAGCCGGAACAATTTGATCAAAGAATATTAAGGTATACCTTAGGTGTATACCTAAGAGTTGATTTGCTGGGTCATGTAATAACTCTTGTGTTTAACTTGTTAAGGAACTCCCTACCAGCAATGCTGACAGCTCCAATTTCTCCATATCCTTGCCAACATTTACTATTGTCCAGCTTTTTGATTTATAGCCATCATAACAGTTGTGAAATGGTATCTATGGTTTTAATTTTCATTTTCCTAATGACTAATTATGTTGAGGATCTTTTCATGTGCTTATTATTCTTTTTTCTTTTTAAGATTATTTATTTATTTATTTATTTAACAGAGAGAGACACAGTGAGAGAGGGAATACAAGCAGGGGGAGTGGGAGAGGGAGAAGCAGGCTTCCCGCAGAGCAGAGAGCCCGATGCGGGGCTCGATCCCAGGACCCTGGGATCATGACCTAAGCTGAAGGCAGACTCTTAACGACTGAGCCACCCAGGCGCCCCTATTATTCTATTTTAAATGTGTGTTTTTTATTGAATTACCTATTCCAACTCCTTTTAGAAGGAAGTTGGTTTATAAATTATCAATAAATAATACATGCTAATATTCTTTCCTAATCTTTCTTAAAATTACACTGCACCTAAGGTAATGGAATGAGTTCTAAGCTGTAAAGTCTTTTCGTGGTTTTAAAAACAAATTTCTTTTTTTCTCTCTCTCTCTTTTTTAAGTAGGCTCCACACCCAGCATGGAGCCCAACTTGGGCCTGAACTCACAACCCTCAGATTGAGACCTGAGCTGAGTTCAAGAGTCAGACGCTTAACTGACTGAGCCACCCAGGAGCCCCAATGGTTTTAAAAATAAATTTCTAAAAATTAAAAAATGATACTATAGCATTAACTTAAGTGCTTTTTCATTTCATAAACAGATGTTAATTAAAAGGGCAGCATACTGGGGCACCTGGGTGGCTCAGTCGAGTAAGCATCTGACTTCGCCTCAGTCCTGGGATCAAGCTCCAAGTCAGGCTCCCTGCTCAGCTTACAAGTCTGCTTGTCCCTCTCCTCCTCTGCTCCTTCCCCCACTTGTTCTCACACACTCTCTCTCAAATAAATAAATAAATAAATAAATAAATAAATAAATAAATAAAATCTAACCAAAAAAAAAGTGCAGCATACTTATTAAGAATATTCCATGGAAAAATCTTCACAATCTAAACTATAAATTATCCAAAATGAAGTGAGAGAATAATAATCATCCATATCTTTTAAAATACTATATATATTTATGATAGATTTATTACTACTTTAAAAATACATAAGGTTCATGTCCATCACAACAAAGAGCCTACCATCTTCAATGGCATTTTTGATGGCACGAAGTCCATCCCTGATAGCGTCCTTGATCTGTGTGAGAGTATGCTTATTCGGTCCTTTAACCAACAAGGTGACAGAACGAGGGTTAACACAGGCCTCGATAAAAGTGAACTTTTCTTCACCCTAGAGGATAATCCAAGAAAATATAACTCTAATACTTAATGTTATTATGAAATGAAGACCCAACTTACAATATTAGAATCCAATCTTCATGTGAATTTTTCTTATCAAACATAACTAAATATGTGTTAAAAGCAATTAAGTTATATTTGAACTCTCAACAAACATCCAGACAAATAAATTGTAAAATCTGTCCTGGGGATTATTCAGACATCAAAAGGTAAAAGCCTGAATTAAAAGATTTAGTATTAAAAAAAAAAGGTTTACTCTTCACTTTATAACCCCTGCCCACAGAGATACTCACTAATGTACACTCATGTACAAGACCAGCATGTCCCAAGCAATCTACATTAAGGTCTTCAAGAGAATTCACAGCCATTCCACCACAAGCAAGAGAGAGTCTGAAATGACATATGTCACCATAGCTTTTGTTATAGAAAGCACTAAAGACTTAATTTCTTAAAGGGGAAAAGATACCTAACATAGAAGACTGCATTGTCCCTGTGTTGTATTGTTTGTTTTGTTTTGTTTTGTTTTGTTTTTTATTTGAGAGAGAGAGAGTGAGAGAGAGCATGAGAGGAGAGAGGGTCAGAGGGAGAAGCAGACTCCCCACTGAGCAGGGAGCCAGATGCGGGACTCAATCCAGGGACTCCGGAATCATGACCTGAGCTGAAGGCAGTCGCTTAACCGACTGAGCCACCCAGGCGCCCTGTGTTGTATTGTTTTTAAAATCTGTTTTAAGAAGGGGCGCCTGGGTGGCTCAGTGGGTTAAGCAGCTGCCTTCAGTTCAGGTCATGATCCCAGGTCCTGGGATTGAGTCCCATATCGGGCTCCCTGCTCAGTGGGGAGTCTGCTTCTCCCTCTGCCCCTCCCCACTGCTCATGCTCTCTCTCTCTCAAATAAATAAATAAAATCTTAAAAAAAAAAATCCTGAGTGCTCTGCCCATTCATCCTTTAAAAAAAAATGTTTTAAGATAAAAACCTTCTTTGTACTTCAACAAAGTTCTGAGGTAGGTTAACAGTCTTGATTTTTGATACTTCCATTATTTATTGAAATTAAAAACAACATTTGGAATCTGTATGCTATTTTGCTCAACAATGTTTACATATAAGCTAAAAGGAATACCATGGGATCATTTCAATTTTATCTGTTAAAAAAACAGGATACATAATAATCGGCAAGCTCACCTTTCCATATTTCTTCTTTTTGCTCTGCGAAGAGCTACTATGCCATGTTTTGCAAGAGCATCTAAGGAAAGTGGGTCAATTCCCTAAAATCAAATTAGCATAAAAGTTATAAGCACATCTTAAGCCAGTAGTTCTCAAACTTTGATATCAGCACTGCTTCACATTCTTAAAAATTATTAAGAACCCAAAAAAGCTTTTGTTTATCTGACCTGTATCTATATTTGTCATATTATAAATTAAAATTGAGAAATTTTTAAAATATAATCCATTCAAAATAATAAACCCATTTTATGTTAACATAAATAACATCTTTTTTTTAAGATTTTATTTATTTATTTGACATAGAGAGACACAGCAAGAGAGGGAACACAAGCAGGGAGAGTGGGAGAGGGAGAAGCAGGCTTCCTGCGGAGCAAGAAGCCCGATGCGGGGCTCCATCCCAGGACCCTGGGATCATGACCTGAGCTGAAGGCAGACGCTTAATGACTGAGCCACCCAGGCGCCCCCTTAAATAATATCTTTTAAGTGAAAATTTACTATACCTTCCTAAACAAAAAAATGTATAGCTTAAAGTAATGGTACTGTTTCACATTTCTGATATCTTTTTAATGTCTGTCTTAATAGAAGACATCTAGATTCTCATACCTGCTTCTGCATTCAATTTGGTGTGATATGTTGTTGGGTTAAAGTATATTAAAACTTGGACTCAAACAAATATGTATTGGAAAATGGATGAATATTTTAATAGTATTTTCAGATAAATGTGGATATTCTTCTTTGATACTATATCAAAACTGAATAAATGATAGTTTCTTAAAGGTTAGTGTCAATGTGAAATATAGAACCTATCAATAAACTTTTCATACTCTTTCATATTAAAATCCATTTGCCTATCTTACACTCTGAATGTATTATTTACCCATGCATGACTTTATTAAATCATACATTTTTTTAGTCATTTAGAAAACAGCAGTTCACTATGTTAAGCAGAGCTTCCAAATGTTGATACATTTCATCGGTATACAATATCAAAAATATCACATTTGCTAATATCATCACTAATATTATCAGAAAAGTCCCTTAAGCATTAGAAAGTGGTCAAGTTCACAGCAGCAGATACAAGCTTTCCAAAATTTTAATTTTGGCTTGAAAGCTCAAATTTATTGGCAACAAATACTGTCAGTTGTTTTCCTTGGAAGTGACAGAACCGCTTCTTCCTTTTTGAGAAAAGCCTGCCAAATACCCATGTCTACATAATTTTCTGTCAGTTATTCTTCTTTTTTTTTTTAAAGTAATCTCTTTGCCCAAAATGGGGCTTGTACTCACAACCCCAAGATCAAGAGTTACATGCTCTACTGAATGAGCCAGCCAGGCACCCCTGCCAGTCATTCTTCAAAGTAAAAATGGCAGTTCATGAAAAAAGTGGCTAGTTCAGTTTGCAACTCAATTATACAAGAATTTTCCCTCAAGACAACCATATTTTAAAAAAAATTTTTTTGAGTGATCGTGAGCAGGGGGGGCGGTGCATGGGGGCCAGGGGGGTGGGCACTGGGGTGGGCAGAGGGAGAGGAAAGAGAGAATCCCAAGCAGACTCCATGTTCAGCTCAGCACAGAGCCTGACATGGGGCTCGATCTCACAACCATGAGATCATGATCTGAGCCAAAAACAAGAGTGGGACGCTTAACAAAATGAGCTACCCAGATGCGCCCAAGACAACCATATTTTGATATGCAGATTTCACACTCTGTCACACAGCATTATAGAAGGATGCATATTTAATCAAAATTTAATTAATAAGTTTTACCACTTCAAGATATTCTCCAGTGAGGGGGGTGCCTGGGTGGCTCAGTCAGTTGGGCGTCTGACTTGATTTCAGCTCAGGTCATGATCTCATGGTCATGGGATTGAGCCCCATGTCGGGCTCCACACTCAGTAGCCAGCCTACTTGGGATTCTCCCTCTCCCTCTGCCCCTCCCCCCGTTCACACGCACACTCTCTCTCAAATAAATAAATCTTTAAAAAAAAAAAGATATTTTCAAATGAAACTGCCTTTTTTTTAAAACTGCAAGTATGTGATAGTGTGGCAATAAAGAATATAATGACTAATAGTACAGTTTGGCGTTACTGCTTTGATTTGTACTGAGGTATCAGCAGCTTTACCTAGCACTACTTTCACATGATCATTGCAAATGTGGACACAATGTCAAAGGCATTATTATGATTATGAAAATAATTCTAACCTCAAAGACTCCTTGAAATGGTCTTTAGGACTCCTAGGAATCCACAGACCACACTGCAAGAAATGCTGAAAAACATTTACAAATAGTTAAAATCTGAACTTTCTTTCTCACCTTTTGATTAATGACAACAAATCCTTTATTGGACTGAGCACAGACTCTGTCTTTCAGGTCTATTATTTTTTGTACTCTATCTTCAATAAATTTTCTTTCAGCTTTTACCAATTTCTCTTTCTCTTCAGCAGTCTTATAAAAGAAACCAGAGCTCACCTCTCTAAAAGATTAATAAAAACAAGCTAGTAAAGACAGAAGAAAAAGGAGGGAAAGGTAGGAGTTTACAGTAAACATTTGGGAGGGAAGAAAGAGGTTAAAAAACACTTTTAGGGCGCACCTGGGTGGCTTAGTTGGTTAAGCGTCCCACCCTTAATTTTTGCTCAGATCATGATCTCAGGGTCATGAGATAGAGCCTTGTGTGTGCTTAAGATTCATTCCCTCTATCTCTCTCTCTCTCTGCCCTTTCCCCACCTCTCTTTCTCGAAATCAATTAATTAAAATTAAAAACACTTTTAGAAAATATAATTTCAAAATTTACAAAGAGTAACTGCCACATACGTTTTTTCATATTCTAGTGACACATTGCAAGTAAGGATAAATGCATCTTCCACTCGCTTCTTCATATCTGGATGACGGGCACCATGATCCAAAACTAATCCTCTGATCAATCTATTAAAAATATGTAATGTTTCTTACTTGGAATATACACTCTAAATTTATTATAAAATAAGGATTGTATTCTTAAAATGTTAATAGATCGGACACACATTGTTTCCTTGCACCAACTTTAAGCCTAACAGATAATTAGTAAAATTGGAAAAGAAAATCTACTTCAATGCAATTTCACTGAAGTCACAATGAAAAGTCAACCCAGAATTATTCTCTAAATTATGTGGCTCAAACATATGACACAGCTGGTCAAGTAATGAAAGGTAGGCACACAATGAGTTTCTTAGGAACATTTGTTCAAAATAATTATATGCAACAACCAAAAACTGTTAACCTAAATGTCTAACAATAGGGCATTGTTCAGCAAATAAATGACCCAACTATTTGGTGGTCATGAAAACTATATAATGACAGGGAAAATTATTTGCAGAGGTAGCTGATAAACACAGAACAACAAACTACCTATAAAGCATGATTATAACTATTCTTTTAAAAAATAAGCACCTTGGTATTAGCAAGAAAAAAATGAAAGGAACCTAGAGTAAAGTTATGCTTGGGCAGTAGGAATACAGATAATTTGGGGGTGGGAGAGGCTTTTTTCCTGTTTTCCAAATTTTCTTTCAAGAGTAAATATTTTTATAACATTTAAAACTTCATTTATACCCAATTAGGGAATGGTATTTCTACTTATGAATCTTTTATAGCCAGGATTTGTTCTACATTAAAGTAAAGAAATGATTTTTTAAATAAACATGATTATAAGGAAGTTTTCAAAATTTTAATCTAACTACAAAATTTAATCTAATCACTCCAACTTCTAACTGAAAATGAAGATATTTAGGAAGAAACAAGCTAATGATATGTTCAATATTCATCACTCTTCAAGTCTCCACTCTTTCCCTCTCTCCCTCTCAGCAAATGACCTTGCTGCTTTGAGAAAATACAAACACTGTCCCATCACTACCTCCACCAATCCACCTGCACTTGAACCTAAACCTCTATTCCTATGAATGCACTGTCCATGCTCCTCTGCATGTGTGTACTCTACTCCATTTCTCCTCTCTGCTCCAGCATTGCCCCCATCCCCCTACCGCCATCAATTCCTCCTGCCTCCAGGAACATTCTCGTCAGGATACAGACTTGCCATGATAATTCCCATCTTTAAAACAAAGAATGCTTCTCCTTCAAGTCCCTTCCCATACTCCCTTCTAGCAACTGCCCCATTTCTCTGCTAACCTTGGAGTGGTGTAAGCTTGCATCCTCACTTCTTCCCTAACCCTTCTCTCTGGAGCCCACCTTCAGTCTGACTTTCATACCCACTCCTTTATTGAATCAGTTCTCATTAAAGCCACCAAAAACATTAAATGCTTTCCATATCTAATGGTCAATTTTCAATCCACAACTTGTTCAAAGTTTCAGCAGCATATGACATAGTTGATTATTCTCCCTTTGAAACATTTTCCTATCTTAGCTTCTGGGCCACTACCTTCTCCTGGTTTTCCTCCTACCAGTGACCACTCCTCTTCAGTCTCCTGTGATAAATCCTCCTTGTCTTCTCAATTTCTAAACATCAGAGTTTCCAGGGCTCAACTTTAAACATCCTCTTTTTTTTTTTTAAGATTTTATTTATTTTGAGAGAGCGAGTGAGCGAGAGAACATGAGCAGGAGGAGGGGTAGAGGGACAGTAAACTTTCTCTTCTATCTATATTCACCTCCCAGATGATCTCATTACCTCTCACAGGCTTTAAGTCACCTATGCACGGATAACTCCCAAATATATTTCCAGGTCACACCTCTGTTCTAAACTCCAGACACACCTCTCCAACTCCCGACTCAGCATCTCCACATGGATGCCTAATAGGCATCTAAAACATAACATTTCCCAAACTAAACTCTTGATTTATTTCCCCAAATCTTTTCCTCCCAGTCTTTTCCATCCCAAGAAATGGTACTTCTGCTTTTCCAGCTGCTCCACGCAAAAACCCAGGAGACATCCTTCCTCTTTATCTGTCACATTCTACGTTGAACCATCAATAAATCCTATTTCTCCTTCTTCTAAGTATACCCTGATCTAAACTGTTTTCATCCCTCACCTGAATTACAACAGATTCCTGACTGGCCTCCAGCTTCTGCCCTTGCACTGGGATGTGCCCTGCTCCACAGTGCATTTTCCCCACAACAACCAGAGAGATCCTTCTGAAATATCAATCAAGAACTGCTTTGCCCTCAGCAATGGCAGACTAATTTGGACCAACCTTACCACCAAAAGCAACTAAGAATTCTGGGTTAAAAACAAAAACCCTGGGGCACCTGGGTGGCTCAGTCAGTTAAGCATCCAACTCAAGATTTCAGCTCAGGTCATCATCTTAGGGTTTTGAGATTGAGTCCTGCATCAGGCTCCATGCTGGGCGTGGAGCCTACTTAAGATCTTTCTCCTTCTCCCTCTGCACCCGACCCCCACTGGCTCGTGCACACACACACACACACTCTCAAAAAAAAAAAATAAATAAATAAAGCCCAACAAAAACACAACCTTAAAAACAGTAAAGAAAACATGAACTCCAAGGGGTAAGAAAAGAACTGCAGGTACTCTTATCCTAAAGTCATTAGACAACTCAGGAAAATTTGAACTTTGTTTTCAACAACCTCACAATGAGAAGGGGACAGAATTAAAAGCTCGGGGCTCATCCAAGGTAGAAGGTCTAATAGGAGACACTTTTCCCAGTAAGTAGGAACCCCAAAGGGGAACATACTCAGGGTATAAACCAGAAGGATGAACTAGAAGCAATCAGCCCTTATACCCAACAGCAGTTAGAATTAACTGGAAAGGAGAGCCTGGGTGGCTCAGTCGGTTAGGCAGCCAACTCTTGATTTCAGCTCAGGTCCTGATCTCAGGGTCCTGGGATAGAGCCCTGCGTTGGGCTCCACACTCAGCAGGGAGTCTGCTTAAGAATTCTGTCTCTCCCTCTCCCTCCTCCCCTCCCCCCACTCACATGTGTGCTCTTTCTCTCTAAAATAAATAAATTTTTAGAAAAAAAAAGAATTAGCTGGATATTAAAAACAAACAAACAAACAAAAAGCCCTCAAGCTGTGGATTTAATTTAAAGTATTCCCTGGGGTGCCTGGGGGCTCAGTTGGCTAAGCGCCTGGACTCTTAATCTCAGCTCAGGCCCTGATCTCAGGGTCATGAGTTCAAGCCCCACATTGAGGTGGGCATGGAGAGTCTTAAAAAAAATAATAATAAAAAATAAAAAATAGGGCGCCTGGGTGGCTCAGTTGGTTAAGCAACTGCCTTCGGCTCAGGTCATGATCCTGGAGTCCCTGGATCGAGTCCCGCATCGGGCTCCCTGCTCGGCAGGGAGCCTGCTTCTCCCTCTGACCCTCCCCCGTCTCATGTACTCTCTCTCATTCTCGCTCTCTCAAATAAATAAATAAATCTTTTAAAAAAAATAAATAAAATTAAAAAAATTAAAAATAAAAAATAAAGTATTCCCTTGGCTCCTTGCAGAAGCAAATTCAAATTCTCTGTGCAAAAAAGGACCTTCATCCTAGGTCTCACATTATTTCTACAAATACTTTTTTCAAACACAATGAATGGCACATATAGAAACAAAACACAGAGAGAACCAGCAAAATATAATAAACACCAGAAATAGACAAGCCAAAACTTCAAATATTGTAATTATCAGATATGAACTATATGTGTAAACATATAAGGCAGGTTTATAAAGATCTGCAGGGAATAGGACGCCATAAAAAGTGCCATGGCAGATTTAAGAAAAACCAAATAAAACTTCAAGAAATAGGTAAATAAAGATGCCCACAAACACACACATATTAGCACTTATGTATTTATTACCTCCCTCAACTAGAAAATAATCTTCTTGGAGAAAGAAATTGTTTTGTTTACTCTTCATGACTGGCTCAGGGTAAGTATTCAATTAATATATGTTTTGCTTGTTTGTTTGTTTATTTGACAGAGAGAGACACAGCGAGAAAGGGAACACAAGCAGGGGGAGTGGGAGAGGGAGAAGCAGGCCTCCCCACTGAGCAGGGAGCCCGATGCGGGGCTCGATCCCAGGACCCCAGGATCATGACCTGAGCAGAAGGCAGATGTTTAACGACTGAGCCACCCAGGTGCCCCTCAATTAATATATGTTGAATTAATAGACTGATGTTGAATAAAAGTAAGGAAATTAATGAAAAAACATCTGAACTAAACCAAATATTCCAGAATCTATGTATTATCAAAGTTTATGTAATTTACTTTGTATCTGTTTCTGATTTATGCTTCATCTCCATGATTTCTACCATGAAGAGATCAATAGGATAACCTGGTCTTCTAACAGCCAAAACAGAATCCACAACAGCCTGAAAGAGAAGCAAATGAGAACAGTGAATTATTGTTCTACTAAAAGAAACCACTGGCCCAAGAAATCACCAGACTAAGCAGATAAAGGGCTTCAGGCCTCAAAATACAGGGCAAGGCCAAAAAAGGGCCACTTTGTCATGGACACCAGTAATAACCAATGCCAATGACTACCTTAGAACCTAAAGGAACTTCAGAGATCATCAGGCCCAAATCCTTCATTTTAAAGATAAGTAAACTCCAATAAAAGTTTAAGAAGTTACAGTCTTAGGGGCACCTGGGTGGCTCAGTTGGTAAAACATCCAACTCTTGATTTTAATTCAGGTCATGATCTCAGAGTCATGGGATCGAGCCCCGCATCGGGCTCTGCACTGGACGTGGAGCCTGCTTGGAATTCTCGCTTCCTCTCCCTCTGCCCCTCCCCCCCACCCCCACCCCCACTAGCTCACACTCTCTCTCCAAAAAAAAAAAAAGAAGAAGAAATAGTTACAGTCTTAAAACAAGGTCTAAAAGGCAGTAGCAGAGCCAGGACTAGAATTCAGTTATCTTCGAATGCCAAGCTACTACTCTTTCTACTACCAACACTACTCAAACTTTTCCACCGAAGAACTTATTAATGGAAAAGAAGGAAATGTAATGTAAGGTAAGAGCTAAAATTTGTTGGCTATACCAACATGAAATTTCTTAAGTTTTGTGTTTTATCATGAAAAGTTTCCACATCATGCCATAATATACATGTTTGTTTTAATGTGAAAGTAATGTTTTTCCCCAAAACTGCAAAGTAAAATTGACACTCTAGAAAAACATGTCTCACTTATTCTGCCACATATCCCCAGGGATATACAATTTGAGAAACATGGTACAATACATCCTACTGCTTAGCTCAGAAAGTAATATGAAAACAACTAATCACAGAAATTAAGTGCTACAGTATAACCATCCTAAAATATAAATAAAGCAAAAAACTATACCTTAGAAAACTTTCTGAGAAAACATGATATTTGGTTTTGGAGCCTAATAGGGAATATTGACAAAAACTACTGGATAATGAGAATATCAGTGTTTCTAGAACTCCAAAAGAGGATGGGGGCCTAGCCAGATAACATGAAGATTCTGGGTCACTTGATACATGTACTCCAACAGGAGAAAATACTGCAGTCTTTATTTGAACTCTGTTGAGTAAGAAATTGTCTGATCTTAATCTGATTTGCAAGTAGGTTTTCCTAGTGGTAAGGGGAATCGACCAGAAACAACTCAGGTGTTCCGTCCATTTGTCATTTATATCTCTCAAAAAGTAAATTAGCAAGAAAGCATTCTGAATTATATGTTAATGTCTTGTGACTTGGGTTATGAATTCATCATTCCTGATAAACCAATATATTCAAGTACAAAGCTGAGGAACAGTGATGATATCAAACTATAGCCACCTGATAAAAGCCTTCCCAAAATACCCAGTCTTGTGCTTATATTACATACATTTTACCTTTAGAAGTAAACAAAACAAATATGTATTTCCCAGATGTGAATATTATCTATCAGATTAATCATGCTTCATTAAAGTGGTAAGCTTAACCACTTCCCTATGTGTCACCTCACATAAAAACTATGGACCCCTAGGTTTAAGAGACCAGTACGTCACCCCAATGGCAACCACAAGGGATGATCCAAAGGCAGCCAAGCCCCTCCTAACTTTCATGGTAACTTAAAAGAAAGTTTAATATGACACTTTTGGAAAAAATTACACATATTGCTCTGACCAATCAAGTCTAGTCTTTAAGTAAGTCTATAAATGTTTGTCTTCCATATTTTATTTCACGTTCAAAAGAACCACGTGGCGGTTGATTATCTTATAGAAAAAAGAAAAATATCATCATGCATTAGTCTATACTCATTCTGAATGCAAAAGTTTAGTCACATACCTCTATTAACACATCAGCCAATTCAGCATGAACTTTAGTTTGTAGAGATGTTCTAGCCACATCTAAGAGGATTTCTCTTTTCATCTCTTTGTTAATTTTAACTTCTTCCAAAACTTCAAGTGCTTTTATCTTTGCAGCTTCAAATCCTTCAGCTATTATTCTAGGATGCAGGCCCTATTACATCAACATAAAACTAAAAATTATAAAGTAAGTCATCCAAAGTAAAAGTAACCATCTTCTCCTATTAACAGGTATATCCAGAAAAAGTAATATTACCTACATCAATGCCACTAAATATGTATATGTATATAATTTATAAAAGTAATTTTTCAGGGCTTCATATTTATTTTTTTAAAGATTTTTATTTATTTGTCAGAGAGACAGCGAGAGAGCACAAGCAGAGGGAGACACAGGCTCCCCGTTGAGCAAGGAGCCCAATGTGGGACTCAATCCCAGGACCCTGGGATCATGACCTGAGCCAAAGGCAGATGCTTAACTAACTGAGCCACCCAGGCATCCCATCAGTGCTTCATATTTAAAACAATCTCAAACTTACAGAAAAATTGTTAAGTCCAGTACAAAAAACTACAAAAGTCTTCTCTATTTCCAAAAATTAGGACACATTGTCATGTGGTACTCTTCTGAATGGGCACAAAAGAAAAGACTCCTTTTAATGCAGAGGAAAAGAACCAGCACTGATTTGGAGAAAAGCACAGATGGACACCACCTTCACCAAATGTTAACATCACAGTAATGGGACAAATAGGCATCATGTGCCTCCTGATACAATGCATTAAGAACACTAAAGCACTTCTATGGTATTTGTGCCAAAAGTTCATAACCTGGGCCTAATTACGATAAAAAAGTCAAATCCAAATTGAGGACTTTCTACAAAATAACTGGCCTATATTCTAAAAGTAGCAATGTCATAAAACACAAAATGACAGCTCAAGATTATTCCAATTTAAAGGAGACTAAAGGGATATGACAACTGAATGCAATGAATGAGCCTAGATTTTTTTCTGCTATAAAGGATACTGTTGGGAAAAATGATAAAACTGTAATAAAATCTGTAGGTTATTACTACTGCATTGTGTCAATGGTAATATTAATTTCCTGTTTTTTATCACTATTCTGTGATTACATAAGAGAATATCCTGGTTTTAAGAAATATACACTAGGGGTGCCTGGGTGGCTTAGTCGGTTGACCATCTGCCTTCAGCTCAGGTCATGATCCCAGGGTCCTGGGATTGAGCCCCACGTCAGGCTCCCTGTAGAGCGGGAAGCCTGCTTCTCCCTCTCCCTCTGCTGCTCTCCCTGCTTGTGCTCTCTGTCAAATAATAAAATCTTTATAAAAAAAAAAAGTATACACTAAAATATTTAGACAATCATGTCTGCAACTTACACCATTTAGAAAAATATATATACATATATATATATATATATATATATATATATATATATACACACACACCATATATATGCATATATCTGAGAGAGAAATGTTATTTTTTGGAATATTCCTGAACCTTTTCTCTAGGTCTGACATTATAACAAAATAATTTTTTTTTAAGATTTTATTTATTTATTTTATTTGACAGAGAGAGAGATAGCGAGAGCAGGAACACAAGCAGGGGGAGTGGGAGAGGGAGAAGCAGGCCTCCCGTGGAGCAGGGAGCCCAATGCGGGGCTCGATCCCAGGACCCTGTGATCATGACCTGAGCCAAAGGCAGACGCATAACGACTGAGCCACCCAGGCGCCCCCAAAATAATTTTTTTTTTAAATAGCATTGTTTATTCTGGAAAAATACATAAACTTATTGAAAGCTTGAACTAGGTCTAATTTATTCCCCTCCTCCATTCTTTTACATCAGTCCTACACTAATTTTTTTTTAAAGATTTTATTTATTTATTTGAGACAGAATGAGAGAGAGAGAGAGAGCACATGAGAGGGGGGAGGGTCAGAGGGAGAAGCAGACTCCCCGCCGAGCAGGGAGCCCGATGCGGGACTTGATCCAGGGACTCCAGGATCATGACCTGAGCCGAAGGCAGTCGCTTAACCGACTGAGCCACTCAGGCGCCCCCCTACAATAATTTTTTAAAGTTAACATTTATTGAGCATTTGAGCCAGGTACTAATCCAAAGGGCTTTACATGTATTATTTAATTCAATCCTCTCAACACTATGAAGTGGGTATTGTTATTTCTGTTTCACAATGAGTAAATAGAGGTTTATAGGGATAATGTAATTATCCTTAGATCACCTTAGGGATAATGTAATTATCCTTAGATCTAATGCCTTAGATCACCAGTATACTAAGAGGTGGAGCCAGGATTTAAACCTGCAAAGCCTGACTCTAGAGCCTGTGTTATGAACCATTTTCAAAACATTACCTCAGTCTAGGATCTCACAACTTCTCACCTGGACTACTAGGATCTCCCAGTCTTGACTCCCTTAAAACTGTCACCCAAATTTTTAAAATGTTAATCTGACCGTATCAGTCATTAATATGTTAACATGAACATTCTTCTTGGTTAGCATACTACGTGCCCTCTGTGATCTGGCTCCCATCTACTTCTCCAGGCTTTCATTACTGTCTACATCACTTTATTTTTTAAGATTTTATTTATTTATTTGAGAGAGAGCGCACATGAGTGTGGGGGAGGGGCGGAGAAAGCGGGAGCAGAAGACTCCCCACTGAACAGGGAGCCCGATGACCGGTGACTGACTGAGCCACCCAGGCGCCCCTGTCCACATCACTTTAAACTTTGCCAACACCAAAATGCTTGTAGCTTTACACACATACCACCTTGCTTCTCTTCTCTGTGCCTCTGCTCATGTTGTTCCTTCTGCCTGGAAGGTCATTCTCCTTACCCCTCTTTCATCTGGCTCACTCCCTCTCATCCTGAAGACTTAACCCAGGTCTTACTTCCTCCAGAAAATGCTTCCTAATTCAGGTTAGTTTAGGAAAGCCCTCCCTCCTCAGTGTTTCTATCATGTATTGTGCCTAGCTCTAGCACTGTACTGCCACAGTTCCATAATTATGTCAGTGTCTGTCAGCATTTCCCCCTTGCCAAACTTTTATCTACCTAACAAAACCCTAATTTTGTTTAGGTTATCTCTTCCTCCAGTCTTCAGAGGAAGCTACCCTCTCTAGCTAGCTCAAGGGGTGGATACTGATTAGATTAAGTCAATTCCCCGAAAACCGGTTATTGATTTAGGATGGACACAGATCTAAGTTGTCCCAATCATATTATAGAGGAAGGACTTATATTCCATAATTGGGCAAATGGTTCTCTCTTGTACTCTTCTGCTGAGTGTTACTAAAGGAAGCAGGTATTCCTAATTTCTTCTGACAGTCTTATAATCAGGATGGAAATAAGCCTTATAATGAAACAGCTCTGTAAATGGAGGCGCTAAGAGACAGAAAGAACCAGGGTACTTGATGACTAATAGAATTTTTTAATCGGGGCACCTAGGTGGCTCAGTCGTTAAGTGTCTGCCTTCGGCTCAGGTCATGATCCCAGAGTCCTGGGATCGAGCCCCGCATCGGGCTCCCTGCTCAGCTGGGAGTCGGCTTCTCCCTCTCCCTCTCCCCCTGCTTGTGTTCCCTCTTTCACTGTGTCTCTCTCTGCCAGGTAAATAAATAAAAATTAAAAAAAAAAAAAAAATTTTTTAATCAACCAACCTTGGATGTTCTGTCATGGGAGATAATTTATTGTTTAAATGATTTTTAATCAAATTTCTACTGCTTACAGCCAAAAGTACCTAAATGAGGTACGTTGCAGGTACTGAATTACTAGACAATTCCCAATACTAAATGAAACACAAAGAAGTAATAATTCTAGCACTTTGACCTAGTAATGCTTTGCTGAAATGGTCCTTGAAAGAAAGAAAACATTCAAATACTTAATCAGAGAAGACAGATAAGTAATGCCAAGAAAAGAATACAGATTGAACAAAGGCACTGAGGTAGAAATGGGTGTAGTGATTTCAGAGGTAGTGAGTAGAGTGGAGGAGTCTCACTAGAGTAGATGGTTTATAAGGAAAATAAAACTAGAAAGATAGGTAAATTCATAACGTGAAAACCTTCAATTATTTTTCTCCAGTTATTTTTTTTAAAAGGTGCATAATTTGGTTTCAACTTTATCAGTGGTATTTTCTTTTTTAGGCCATTATTCATGGGTAGATGGCTAATTTTTTACCTACTTATATATCTTAAATATTTCATTTTAAAAAGTGGGATATAATTCCAATGAAAGGCAGTATTTTGGCAAAAAAAGTTCATGACTATTTCCATTTATAATTGTCAAAAAGTATCTTGATAAAAATTACTTTTGCCCTCTAACATTAAACCATTTTACTAGTGAAAACAATTCCCCACTCAAAATAAAGTATCACATGAATGTGAATTCTGTAAAATGCTAATACCTCAGAAATGTAAAGATCAGCCTGTTTTAGTAACTCTCCAATAATTAGAACATTGGAAGTAGTACCATCTCCTGTAATGTCATCCTGGGCTGTTGCTACTTTTGCTATCAGGGAAGCTGTTGGGTGTTGAATTTGCTGGAAAAAGTAAGCAACAGATTAAAAGAGAGAATGAGATTTAAAAAAAAAAAAAAAATAGTCCAATGAAAACAAGATAACCTAAGGGCCAATAGTAAAATTAAAAAATGAACTTCATTCTACAAGTTCACAAATTCTTATTATCAATACTTAATGTCAATACCAAATTTTTTAAATTGAGAACTAATGAGGTTTGAACATTTTTAAGAGTCTTTGCTTTGGAATGCAATGACATTTCCAAAATAAGATCAAATCCTTTCATCTCTAAGATGAATATACTTATTAAAATTGCAAAGGATTTTTTTTTATATTTTCATATTACAAAGAACACAATTCAGTGTCTTTAAAAGATGTAACTAATTTGGAAGTATGTCTAAGCTATTACTTGGACTGTACAAAGATTTGAAAACAATCAAAATCATCTTTTATTAAGGTCTAACCCAACAAGTATTACTCATGACTGCAGTATTTAACTGACAGCCTTGGTTTAAAGATATACAATCTGTACTATGTTCTAGGTTTATTAAGATTTATTAAAGTCAGCAGCATCAGCTCACCATCTCATGGAGTAGTACACTGCCATCTTTGGTAAGTTTGATGTCACCTGCACCAGAAACAAGCCTGTTCACAAAACAGTGATGTATTAACCTCATATGGCAAGAGTCAAGCAAGACATTCTCAGTTTTTGCCACTCACTATCCTTAATATAAAGAACTGAGCTTCAAAACTTCCAAGTGCCATGGGGCAATACCATGGTAATCACCACCATGTGCAGCCTGAAGAATCACTTCTCCCCATATGGACTATGGTGATTTCATTCCAAATGGAGCATTTACAAGCTTAAGAGAAACTGGTGAGTAAAAAATAAATAAATAAATAAATAAACAAATAAAATAAAATAAATTTTTAAAAAAAGAGAAACTGGTGAGTTTTGAACAGAAGTTTGGTCAAAGAAGGATGCTTGGAAGTCTCAAACCACAGAATATAAAGTTCCTGCAGGCCTTTTATTTTGATAGAATGTACCATTCATTCACTCAACTTAGTTTCTTCCCTCATCCCTCACATCAAGTTCTGTTAACTCCACAACCTAAGTATTTCTTCAATATACCCCCTGCTCTCCATGTCCACTGTCCTTGACATCTCTAGCCTGGACTACTTAGACAGCATCCTGGTATCTCTGAATTTGAATCTACCCCTCACACTACATTCTTGCTTTCTTTCTTTCTTTCTAAGATTTTATTTATTTGACAGAGAGAGACAGCGAGAGAGGGAACACAAGCAGGGAGAGTGGGAGAGGGAGAAGCAGGCCTCCCGCTGAGCAGGGAGCCCAATGCGGGGCTTGATCCCAGGATCCTGGGATCATGACCTGAGCTGAAGGCAGAGGCTTAACCACTGAGCCACTCAGGCACCCCTATATTTATTTCTAAAAAGTAATGTGACTCAGTCAGCTCCCTGATCAAAAATCTTTCGACGAGTTTTATGTTCTCCATCACTTTCAAGGTAAAATCCGGACTATTTAGCAATGTAGTAGTTTACCTTTCCCAATCTGGCTTATGTCTATTTGCCCTGTGGCATCTACCAAATGAGATCTTGTGGGAAAATCTTGTGGTTCCCTTAATACATCATGTTTGTTTTCATTTCAGTTGGATTTACACCACTGGGCTTTCTTGTTCCTGAAGTTACTAGAGGGCCTTTACTCCCTTCTCCAACTGGTGAACTCTAACTTATCTTTCAAGACTCTGATCAAAAATCTGTTATCTGAGAGGCTTCTCCTTCTCCCTACTCCCATCAGTAATTAGTCCCTTTCCTCAATATAATTATATATAAATATAGATATATATAACCTTCATTTCTGTGTTCCCAGCATCCAGTTGGTATACAAGCGCCCTCTTTTACCGTTAATTTTAATTCTGCTCGTTCCTCTCAGAATGTATTTCTCCTCTTACACATTTTAGCCCTCTTTTCCTCACTCTTCTAAAGAAAATAGTGAAGCTAAGTAAATATATGCTGAAAGGGTGAATAGATAGGAAGAAGTGCAGGCACAGAGCGTTCAAGTAACTTGCCTAAGACGCAAGGCTAGAAGGTAACTTGGATTTGAACCCATGCCTGCCGGGCTCCAAGGCCTGTGTGCCCTTACCATTACAGCACACTGCCAAACGAAACCCAAACTATGGGCATACAGTCTCAAAGCGCAGGGGAGTTAAATGGCTTATGCTTGTAAAGAGACACCAGGTGAACTGTTGCTACTGCACACGAACGTTAATCAAAGTGGGGCAGAGGGGGTGTCACAGCTTCACTCGGGGCCCTTTCCTCGGAAGGCTGCCCTCCCGCCCCTGGCCGGGGTGACCTCCGGGCAGGAATGAGAACGAGGGTATCCCGTCGCTCCAGGCATTTCGCGGAACGTCTTTCTCAGAGCGCGCCACGACACCCAACAAACCCTGGGCCATAACCGCCTCTCCAACCGCCGGGCCATCTCACATTTTCATGGTGCCCTTGGGCCCCAAGTTGGTACGCAGCACATCCTGCAGCCCTCGGGCGGCGCATATATTGACAGCCAAGGCCGCCAGGGCCCGCGCCACCTCAGCCTTGGAGTTTACCGCCTTGACCGCGGCCATCGCGCCGCTGAGCGTGCGACCCGGCAGGCAAAATCAGCCTCAGCCCGGATCTCGAGAGAAATCCCGGCGCCACCGCCCGCCTTCCGGAGCCTCAGCCAATCCTCGCCGAGACAGGAAATGACGTTACCAGGCCTCGCCCGCACGGAAGCCAGAATCACCTTGGGTTCGGGCGCCGAGATGGCGTCCTCCGCCTCCGCTCGCACTCCGGCAGGGAAGCGAGTGGTGAATCAGGACGAACTGCGGCGGTTGATGAAGGAGAAGCAGCGTCTGAGCACCAATCGGAAACGGATAGAATCTCCATTTGCGAAGTACAACCGTTTGGGGCAGCTGAGCTGTGCCCTGTGTAACACCCCGGTGAAGAGCGAGCTCCTGTGGCAGACTCACGTCCTGGGAAAGCAGCACCGTGAGAAAGTGGCCGAGCTGAAGGGCGCGAAGGAAGCCACCCAGAGTCCGTCCTCCAGCGCAGTGCCTCAGTCAGCCAAGAGGAAGGCGCCGGATGCGGATGGCCAGGATGCCAAAAGACCCAAGGCCTCTCCGCTGCCTCAGGTACAGCCCTCCACATCCGCTTTGCCCACCAACTTTGACAGAGCAGGGAAGGAGTCCGCCAGAGCGACTCTCAGTAAGGCTTCGGGACTCGGTTTACTCCCTGATTATGAAGATGAGGAAGAGGAGGAGGAAGAGGGAGGAGAAGGGAAAAGAGGGGACACTAGCAAGCAGCCGCCCGACGCACAGGGCAAGGAACACTCGCTTTCCTCCTCGAGAGAGGCAACAAGTGGTATGCTGCCAAGCGGTTTCTCAGATACAAATCCTCCCAAGGCCCCTTTAATTCCTCATTCAGGGTCAATTGAGAAAGCAGAAATACATGAAAAAGTCGTGGAAAGGAGAGAAAACACAGCGGAGGCATTACCGGAAGGCTTTTTTGACGACCCTGAGATAGATGCTCGGGTACGAAAGGTTGATGCCCCAAAGGATCAGATGGACAAAGAGTGGGACGAATTTCAAAAGGCCATGAGACAGGTCAATACCATTTCCGAAGCCATAGTTGCCGAAGAGGATGAGGAGGGACGGTTGGACAGGCAAATTGGGGAAATCGATGAGCAGATAGAATGTTACCGTCGGGTGGAAAAGCTTCGGAATCGCCAGGATGAAATAAAACATAAGCTTAAAGAGGTTCTGACTATAAAAGAACTTCAGAAAAAGGAAGAGGAGAATGTTGACAGCGATGATGAGGGAGAACTACAAGATTTGTTGTCTCAGGATTGGAGGGTAAAAGGGGCTTTGTTATAGGGTTTCAAAGACCCGAGATTTTCATACCCTCTACAATGGTACCAAAAGTGCTGTCTCTGGATAGGATACTGGTTACTTCATGCCCTGATCTTTGATAACCTAACTGGATTGTTGAGATACTATGAGCCTGTGAAGATAGCACTTTTGAAAATTGGTGTAAAATGTTTTTGAGGTAAAGTTGTTTTTGAAATTTTTGAACTATTACATACATACGAAAATGTCAACTTTTTCACACATTTACTTAAGTGTATAATTTTGAATTGTCAAATCTGTAAGCTGTAAATATTATATATAGTTAAATATATATTTACTTAAGTAATTCTGTTTTGAAATTTATAAATAAGTAGAAGTCAAGCCAACAGACAAGCTTTTAGACGAAAACCAAGTGTGGTATTTGGGATATATGTGACTTTTTCTTTTCTAATCCCCTAAATCAACTCAAGAGTGTTTTGCAGGAAGGTGGGGGACAGGGGTTGTTTTTAAATACTATTCATAAACACATAAGTCATTCAGGGCAAATCAGTTCTCTGAGTATTCTGTTTCTGTTTTAAAAACATGCACTAGGAGCACATGGTGATATATCCCAAATATTTCTCTTGATTAAACCAGTGATTCTTGGATGTAGGTGCACATGGAAAGCACCAAGCTTTTGAAAAGGTGCATATGAATCACCTTGAAGCCTTTCAAAAACTCGTGTGCCCAAGGCCTACCATTAGAGATTAAATAAATCGGGAGCGGGGCCCAGGCGTCTGTTTAGTTTTGAAAGCTTCCCAGGTTATTCTGATACATGCCAAAGTTGGAGAGCTGTGTGGCCCTAAATCCAGAACCCATTTATGTTTTTTCAGGCTTTGTTTTTTTCAAATACCATGTTCCATAAGTTTACTGTCTATTGTATAAAAGAAATACTACTTTATATTTAGATTTCATCCAGTCTTAAATTTTATTACATTTCATAGTAAATTAGGGTTCAGAGTTTCTGTCCATTGTTGGGAGGATAAGTTGTTTTCTCAAGAAGTAACAATTAGCTTGTTCCAGTCATTGATTGTTTAAATCACTCCTTTTCCCTTTAGCGATAGAGGTATTGAAATGAAAATGGAATTAGCAGTGTTCCAGGGGCAAAAATGCATACAGCATCCTCAAATGAAAGTGAGTGGTAATAATAATAGCTAAAACAAAGCTTTTACAATATATGACAGATGTGGTTCTAACTGCTTTACATAAACCAGGTCTAGTTGCTCTAAAGCCCAGGTTTTATGGAGAATAGTACCAAGAGATAAGGTATGAAAAAGCCTCACTTGGATGCTAGATGAAAGAATTCTCTCTGTCGGCAATGTAGGAAAGTGGAAGTTTTTGAGCAAGAAATTATATTTGCAAAAAAATTATGGAAGATGATTTTAGTTGCAGTATATAAAATGGAATGAATGTGGATGGGGAGAAAGAAGCTGGGAGACTACTTGGAAACTAGATTTTAAAAGCTAGGTGAGCAAGACTTTGATTAGTTATGGACTGAGAGTAAAGGAATAAAGTTGAAACATTTTAACAGGAAGGGCTAATATTTTAGTGACTAGAGGTAGAAGAAAAACAGTAGGGATAAAGATGAAATTGAAGGGCTTGGGGGTTTTTAGTGTAGGTCCCTGAAAAAGTTACCTAACACTTATTGAGCATATTAACTATCTTGCTGTCTTTGGCAGAAGGTCTTGTTTTCTTGAGCTGTCAGTATGATAACAGAGGGCATGCCTGCCCTAAATGTATAAACCCACATGTACTCAGAGTTTTCTATCATCCATCACTTTATTATTTTAAAATGAGAGAATACAAAGGTGGGCTTGAGTAGTAGGCCCTGTCATACCTTGACTTAAGAGGCTAGGCTGATGATTTTGCAGAGCACTGTCCATTAAAAAAAAAATGCAAGCCACATACATATTTTCAATTTCCTAGAAGCCACATGAAAAAGTAAAAAGAAATACGAAATTAGTTTTAATGTAATTTATTTTATCCAATATATCCAAAATATTCACTTTTCAATACATAATCAATATTTAAATATCATTAATGAAGTATTTTACACTTAGGGGGTTCTAGATTTCTGAAATCTGGGTGTATCTGACTTAGCACATCTCAATTTGGACTGGCTACAGTTCAAGTACTAGCCATATGTGGCTAACAATAAAGGACAGTGCAGACTTAAAGAGAAAGTTGTGCAGGAGTAAAAACAAAACATGCACAGGAGATAGACCAATTTAGAGTGGAATGTTCATTCCTGACAACAGTGGAAGTTATGATTAGAAGATAGATTATGAACCGTTATAGAAGATCTTGAACGCCATGCTCGAAGGAGTTGGAATTTTAAATTAACAATTGAATATGCTTGAGGTTCTTGAGTCCTGAATTATAACAGTTAAAGAGTTTAAGGAATGCCATTACTATACATACAAACAGCAGTGGGTTTTTAGGAGGGACAGAAAGCTCTGTTCCCCATGCTCTGTATTCCGGAGAATGAATGATGGGGCCCTGAGCAAAATCAAGGAAATCCTGGTTGGATCTTCGATCAATGTAAAAAGCTACAGGGATTAGTGGATCCTTCCTGATCCTCCACACATTGGAGAGCTCCTTTATACGTCTTTGAGCTGGGTCAAATAGGTTTTGGCATTAGACTTCAAACCCACCAACGTTCCCAAATTGTAAGACTTAGTCCCATGGATTTCTTCGAGTCACTCTTCTCTTTTTAGAGAACCCCTTCATTTAGCCAACAATTTATTAGAGTTACGTAAATGCTACAAAGGTAATCCTCTCGCCAATTCACTTACCAATTTAATGTAGTTCCCCTAACTGGAGGGGAAAAAAACCTGAACTAACTAGCCTTGAAATGTAAATTTGCCCAGTGGCTTACAACTTGGAAAATGCTCTCCCATTTGTATTTCCTTTAATGATGAAAGTAATGACTACTTTTTATACACCAGGAAACGAGGCTGTGGAATTAAAATTCCAGGAGAAAAATTAATTTAGTAGTAACGATCACTAGATTAGTATGGAGCAATAGGAAGAACAGGGGAATTGGCAAGAGAAAACAAGACACAGGTTCAAGTTCCCACTCTACATTTTAAGGGTTAGTGATCTTGGGCAAGTCACATCTCCAAACCTTAGTGCACCCTACTACCAAGTGATGATAATGGGGGGGCGCCTGGGTGGCTCAGTTGGTTAGGTGTCTGCCTTCGGCTCAGGTCATGATCTCAGGGTCCTAGGATCAAGTCCCGCATTGGGCTCCCTGTTCTGCGGGCAGTCTGCTTCTCCCTTTCACTCTCTCTGTGCTCTCCCTCTCTCTCTCTCAAATAAATAAAATCTTTAAAAAAAAAAAAAAGATGATACCTCAGGTCACATGACGTGTGAAAGGGGTTTATAAACTGAAAGGCAATACAAGTACGTCTATTACAGATGGTCCCCCACTTAAAATGGTTCTACTTCAGGCGCCTGGGTGGCTCAGTCGTTGGGCGTCTGCCTTCGGCTCAGGTCATGGTCCCAGGGTCCTGGGATCAAGTCCCACATCGGGCTCCCTGCTCCACGGGAAGCCTGCTTCTCCCTCTCCCACTCCCCCTGCTTCTGTTCCTGCTCTCGCTCTCTCTCTCTCTGTCAAATAAATAAATAAAATCTTTAAAAAAAAAATTATAAAAAAAAAATGGTTCTACTTCACGATTTTTCGACTTTACAGTCGTGGGAAAGTGATACACATTCGGTAGAAACCGTACTTCAAATTTTGGATTCTGAATTTGAATCTTTTCCTGGGCTAGCAGGGGGCGGTACGACAGTCTCCCATGATGCAGGGCAGCGGCAGTGGGCCACGGCTCCCAGGCAGCCATGTGATCACAAGATAAACCGACAGCCCCTGTGTACCCACACAACTATTCTGTTCTGCAGTTTGAATGAAGTAGTCAGTAAATCACATGGGACATTCAACACTCTTATTATAAAGTAGACTTTGTGTTCGATTTTGCCCGAGTGTAGGCTGATATAAGTGTTCAGAGCACGTTTAAGGTAGGCTAGGCTAAGCTGTGATGTTTGGTGGGTTGGCTATGTTAGATGCATTTTCAACTTATGAATGGTTCATCGGGACTTACCATGGGATTACATCCCAATAAACCCATCGTAAATTGAGGAAGATAGCTTAGTCTTCCCCTGCCGCATGCTAACTTGATTTTAGTCTAATAATTTAATGCCCCTTAATTCCCTCTTTGAAACTAAGGTAATTAGAGCAGGTGATTTTCTTGAGATTTCTTTTAACTCCCAAATTTTTAATTTCGCCGAGACAAGTGGCATCTCACCTTTTAAACATTTTTAAAGTCGTTCAATTGACCATCTGGAGACAGATGGCTAAAGTATTGTTGCTTTTACTTACAAGATTTGCCCAGCTTAAGTCCCATTTGTCTTGGTGTAATTATGAATAGTGCCCTGCCCCTTCACTCTCAACACTCCTTTTCTGGAGGTATAGATACTCACTTACCTAAAATTTTGATAGGAAGAAAAACCACTTTCTAATGAACAGGGAGTCAAGGTCTTAATGGAAATAGTATGTTTCCTGTTAATGATGCACTACTTGGCTGGAAGTTTGTGTAGGGGGATTTGAGTAAGTATATGGGTAGGAATGGTGGCTAGATAGATCATTTTAGATTGCTTTTTAATACTAAGAATCTAGTAGCCTGTATAATATCAGGAATTACTTGAGAAGCTTTAAATTTGGGGCGCCTGGGTGGCTCAGTCGTTAAGCATCTGCCTTCGGCTCAGGTCATGATCCCAGGGTCCTGGGATCCAGCCCATCGGGCTCCCTGCTCAGCGGGAAGCCTGCTTCTCCCTCTCCCACTCACCCTGCTTGTGTTCCCTCTCTCGCTGTCTGTCTCTGTCAAATAAATAAAATCTTAAAAAAAAAAAAAAAAGCTTTAAATTTGAACAGGGAAAAAAATCCCATTCTGCATTCTATGTTCTTTTTCTTTTTTTTTCTGCATTCTATTTCCTATCTACAGTTTCTCCCTCAGTGATCTCATCCATTCCTCTGGGTTTAAATATCACCTTTACACTGGTGACTCCCAGTTTATATCCCTAGTCTTGACCCTTCTTCTGAGAGTCATCCTTCATTCCCCTTTATTCCCCCAAATCTAATGCATTAGCCAAGTCCTGGCAGCTCTCCCTCTAAAATATGCCCAGAATCTCTCTCCTACTTTGTCTCCACCGGTCCTAGCCACCATCTCTTGCGTTAGTGTGCAAGAGCACCTGTTCTCATGTGCACATCCTAGCCACGGTCAGTTAACAAGTAGAGTGATGTTTTAAAAATGTAGGTCATGTCACTGTCACTGTCACTGAAAACCCTTCATCATATGCTTCCATCACACTTGGGGAAAAAAAAAATCAGGCCCTTATTAAGCTCACATGGTGCTCAGCATTTGCTGATTCAAATGTCTACTACTTGTGAGCTAATGACCGACCCCAAACCCTGCTAAAGTGGGGTGGATAGGGCAGGAGAGCAAACTGCTCTATGTTGAAATCAATTTTCATCATTCAGTAGCAGCCTGGCATGGCCAAGTCTTCTTAATTATCAAGAGGCATGACAAGATTGTTTTTGTTTTTAGTGAAATCTCAAAAACACCATGTGGGCTGAATGTAATCCATAGGCCCGAGGCGGCGACCTGTCTTCTAACTTCATCTCCTACACTCTTCCCTTTATTCTCCATGTCCCGGTACTCGCTGGTGAGCTTTCTGTTCCTCAGACATGCCATGTTAGGACCTGCACCTTGCAGTTCCCTCTGCCCAGAACCTGACTTCAAACAGCATGGCAATCTTACATTCCGTTCTCAGCTCTAGTGTTTCTTGCTCAGATGGCATAAACAGCCATGCCCCCCCCCCCACCTCTTGTCCCTCTGTCACATCATTCTGGGAATTCATTAAACTTACCTCTATCTTGAATTAGCTTGTTTATTTGCACATGAATTATGTCTCTATCCCACCAGAATATAAACTCCACGAGGGCAGGGGGCTCGTCTGTCTTGCCCACAAGCTAAAATAATGCCCAGCACTAACAGAGCTCAATAAATATCTACAGAATGAATAATACCCACATGGCAGAGAGTTGCTTGGAAAACTGGTAGAAAGACCAAGCTAACTCGTGGAAGTTGGAACCAGAACAAAAGTCAACTCAGCGGCTTAGAGGGCCGAGAAATCTTTTCCTCCCTAGTGTCTCCCTTCTCTGGCACATAAGGCTCTCACCTGCTCCAAGAGGAGTATCCACCACAGCCTCTGGAGTGTAATGGGCCACCTCAGCATTTAGCCACTCAGTTGTCCTCATGGCACCAAACAAGCAAAAGGGATGTCCAGATGTCAGCAGGAGTGTGTGGGCAGCCCTGACTGCCTAGAGGCCTCCGAAGTGGAGGGAAGGAGGAAGAAAGTGAATCGGTAGCGGAGTAAGATCAAAGAGTCCACGAGGACACATTGCTTCTGGGCTGCTCTCAGCCCTCAGGCCTCTTTCTCTGCCACCCACCATTTCATTTGGCTTCCTCTTCCTGTCACTTGGCAGTCAAAGCTATTTCAGAGTGAGTCTGCACTCGGCCATCCTTCGTTGAAATCACTCCCAGTCTCTCAGAGGAGGAAAGGCATTCCATCTGGTTGTACCTCCATTTTGCTACCAGCATTTGGCCAGCTTCGTGTGCCCTTGGAAGCCAGCGGTCACCTTTAGGGGAGTTCAGATGGTGTGGTGGTTGATGGTGGTGGTTATTGATGTTTTCGTCGTGTGCCTGTGTTGTTTGTTTGCTTACCATTCTGCAGAGAGTGTCGACCAAGCCAGGTTGTCAGGTTGTTATTAATAACAGCTACCATTTACTGGATCCTACCATGTGCACTGTGTGAGGGTTTGACATACACTGTCTCTAATCCTCAAAACAACCGTGTAAGTTACATAATACCTTCATTTTACCAACGAGGAGACTGATGCAAAGAAGTGAAGGAGCTTGCTCAAGGCAACAATCCCAGAGTCCCCAGTGTTACCCTGCATCATTATTATTTAACACCACCTTATACTCACATGGTGAGAGTATCGTTTATGCACAACCTTCACATCAGTTTGCAAGTCTCGACACACCCCAGAGGTAAAACGACTGTCATTGCCACGATCTGATGACTTCTCCAAGGTCACTCAGCAATGGCTAATGTTAAGACTAGGTAGAACTTGATTCCTGGTCCACTATTCCATTATTTAACAGTGAAATGTGGAAAATGGGAGAGGGTCCCCCAAGATAACAAGAATTAAGATTAGGGAAGTTTATGATCAACGTTAAGGAAACCTGGTGCTGTTCAGAGACCTTGGCTGGGCTGGAAGCTGTGTTTTCTGTAGTTTGTTAACAGACTCTGTCCACGCTGCCCCACCCTTCCTCCATTTCACCAGCAATCAGTTTTACTCTCTAGTGGTCTCTGATGGGATCAAGAAGAACGACTTCAGTTCCCAACATTGCAACTGGGAAACAAGTTAGACCGGGCCATGTGGCCCACCACTCTTTACACGACATTGGGTAAGCTACCTCACCCTTCTTTCCCTCCACTACAAGGAGAGTTAAGAGTTTCTACCTTCTAGAATTACTGAGAGGGTTGAATGAATTCAGTGCATGTAATGCTTTTCGTACAGGCCAATAATACTACTAAATAAATGACTGAAGACAAGACCCTTATGTTCAAGAAAACTATAAGCTGGTTGTATTGTAAGTGGTATAAGAAATCGAGCAGGACCCAGTCTGGTACAGGCAGCAGAAAGAAGGCTGATAAGTCTACGGTCTGACTTTTCCCACTCACCAGCTGTGTGTTATTTATCGAGTCGGTTTGCTCCCCAAGCCTTAGTTTTACCATCTGTGGGTGCTATGCTGTCTGAGCACTCCCTAAGGCCCTCCCACCTCTGTCTATCACTGTGATACTGTGATTTATAATACGAAATATATATTCTGGCCTTTGTCCCCATTTCTGGCATTGATCTAAAAACCCTCGGAATTTCCTAGGAGTGCCAGGGTGGCACAGTCGGTTAAGCATCTGGCTCTTGGTTTCCGCTCAGGTCATGATCTCAGGGCTGTGGGATCAAGCCCCGCATCAGCCTGGAGTCCGCTTGTTCCTCTCCCTCCACCCCTACCCCCACCCCCGCCCCCGTGCTTGCACGCATTCTCTGGCTCTCTCAAATAAATGGATAAACTCTTTTTAAAAATAAATAAAAATTAAAAAACAAAACCCTTGGAATTTCCTAAGGGATTAGAGAGATGAGAGAGATAAAGGTGTCATCTGTTACTCAAAACAATCCCCTGTCAACCACATCAGAGTTTATGTTAATAAGGTGACTTCTGGGAAGCCCCCCTAAGGGTGTGGCTGGTTCCCAGGGGAACCAACCCAGTGATTAGGTTAGAACGTTCTGCACCCCTCTCCCACCTCTGGGAAGGGAGGGGGCTACAGATTCAGTTCAATCACCAATGGCCAATGACTTAATCAATTATGCCTATGTAAGGAAATCTCCATAAAAACCCAAAAGGATGGGGTTTGCGAGCTTCCAGGCTGGTGAACGCACAGAGGTGCTGGGAAGGTGGCGTGTCCAGAGAGGGCATGGAAGCTCAGCACCCCTTCCCACATACCTTGCCCTACGCATCTCTTCCATCTGGCTGATCCTGAGTTCCATCCTTTTCTCACAAACAGGTAATCCAGTCACTAAACTGTTTTCCTGAGTTCTGTGAGCTGCTCTACCACATTTCTCAAACCCGCAGAGGGGGCCCTGGGAAGCTCTGGTTTAGAGGTGGTCAGGCGGAAGCACAGGTGACACCCTGGACTTGGCATTGGCATCTGAAGTGGGGCAAGGGGGCAGTCTGGTGGGGCTGCGCCCTTAACCGAAACCCTTCCATTGCCCGATGTAGAAAACCCACAGGTCTGGTGCCAGAAGTTTAGTTTTCAGGGAGCGCAGTCTATCATATAAATGGAAACAATAGAGTTTTTTCCTTTACTATCACCAAGACCAAGACAAGCTGAAGGCTGGAGAGGGAGAGCACAGTGCGCTGCATGGTCAGGAAGGTTCGGTAAGACGGCGCAGGCAGAAGCTCCCAGAGGAGAGAAGAGGGGTAGGAGCTCTCCTGGGATAAAGGAAATGGCATATGAGGTACAAGAAAGGAAAGAAGCATTCAACCTGATCTTCAACCTCTGCCACTGATGTAGTTTTGGAATGTAGGTGAAGTTTGGTGGGGTGAGGTCCAGAGCGGACGACCAAGGAAGAATTCTTGAGATGTCTTTGGTATAAAATGGTAGTTTTATTAAAGCACAGGGACAGGACCTGTAGGGCAGAAAGAGCTGCTGCACTGGGGGTGTGAGGAGTGGTTCATTCTGTACTTGGGAGTTGGGGGAGGTAAGGAAAAAGGGAGGTCCAAAAGGACTTTTATATGGTAAAGAAGACTCTCAGGGGGCACCTGGGTGGCTCAGTTGTTAAGCGTCTGCCTTCGGCTCAGGTCGTGATCCCAGGGTCCTGGGATCGAGCCCCGCATCGGGCTCCCTGCTCGGCGGGAAGCCTGCTTCTCCCTCTCCCACTCCCCCTGCTTGTGTTCCCTCTCTCGCCGTGTCTCTCTCTGTCAAATAAATAAATAAAATCTTTAAAAAAAAAAAAGAAGACTCTCAGGATACTGGAGGCCTTGCTATTATCAAGCTAAGGTTGTTTTTTCCTCTAGCAAAGCTTTATTAACATGAAGATATTGGAAGTTTCCTGGAAGAATGTCACACATATCCCACCCAGGAGCGGGGAGGGGAGGTTGCAGGGTGTCAGCTTGTGCTTTGTCCTCAGCTAGCCTTCTGCTCCCTCATCACCACCATATCAAAGCTGGAAAACCAACTGGCATCACTGCTACCTCTCAGCCAGCCCGGAGTCCAGTGGAGGGGACAGAACTTAAGTTTGCTTCCCAAATAGGCTCATCTCTTTGTAAAATAAATTTCCCCTTTGAAATTTATTAATCTGCCACCTAAAAAAATATGACCACCAGGACTTCATACAAGAAAACCCAATCTAGAAGTTTAGGGAAGATGGTAACAACTTTGAGTCTCCCTCACTCTCTGTGACCTCAACCCTTGGGTTGAGGGTCCTAAACCCTGTCCCTGTCTCTGTGTCATGGATCAGCTATTCCCAGAGGCACACTTGACCTCTGTCCTACCTCACCCTGGCAGCTACAGCACAAAGATATTCCAAGGAGAGGCCAAGAAACCCCACTGGTTAAGAACCAACCTCCACAGCCTTTATTGAAAATAAAGAGCCATGAGCTGATTTGAAGTATTACATCTTCCTACAGCTGTTCCCTTTTAAATATTTATCCTGGCAAACACCATGACCGTTTTTTACAACTTATTTTAATTGTGTGACTATTAAGCAAACCAAAGCGTAAAATTGGCTCTCAGTGCTGAGATTTATGTGATTCATAGACCAGAGCTTATTAAAAAGGGAATCCACTGACTGCAAACTAGCCTCACGAGTGCCCCACACTGTCTCTAGGAAGGTGTGAAGTATTTCCCCTATTCCTGCCTGTGGCTGCCAAGCTTCCATAGTGAGTAGCATAAAACAATGAACAGAGGGGTGCCTGGGTGGCTCAGTTGGTTAAGCGTCTGCCTTCGGCTCAGGTCATGGTCCCAGGGTCCTGGGATGGAGCCCCACATCGGGCTCCCTGCCCAGCGGGAAGCCTGCTTCTCCCTCTCCCACTCCCCCTGCTTATGTTCCCTCTCTCGCTCTCTCTCTGTCAAATAAATTAAAATCTTTAAAAAAAAAAAACAAACAGAATCTACCCATTTCCCTCATTCTTTTTTTCTTGTTAACAATCCTAATGAGCTTAGACTGGGTCAGGGATGCTACAGTCTTACAGGCGGTGGCAGAAGCTCTGAGAGGCTCACAAACAGAATCAGCGCCCTGGAGGATTTGGCATCAAGGTCTGAGGGAAGGATTTAATCGTGGGACTTTGAATAACTAGGAGTAAGTAGGAGATATCCTACTTATTTGCCACCAAGGTTATCCTTGGTTTGGATCATAGAATTGCTTTAAAACTTCAATAAAAGCAAGGGGCGCCTGGGTGGCTCAGTCAGTTGAGTGTCTGACTATTGATTTTGGCTCTGGTCATGATCTCAGGGTTCTGGGATCGAGCCCAGGGATGTCCACACCCCATATTGGGCTCTGCGCACAGCACGGAGTCAGCTTGGGATTCTCTCTCTCCCTCTGCCCCTCCCCCTGCTTCCCCTCTCTATCTCTCTAAATAAAATCTTAAAAAAAAAAAAAGACTTCAATAAAAGTGCTCACTGGAAAAATGCACTTACAAATATTTACATGAGGGGCGCCTGGGTGGCTCAGTTGGTTAAGCATCTGCCTTCGGCTCAGGTCATGATCCCAGGGTCCTGGGATTGAGCCCCGCATCAGGCTCTCTGCTCCTCGGGAAGCCTGCTTCTCCCTCTCCCACTCCCCCTGCTTATGTTTCCTCTCTCACTGTGCCTCTCTCTGTCAAATAAATAAAATCTTTAAAAAAAAAACAACACATTTACATGAATACTTGGTTACTCTTTCACTGTTACCACCCAAGCTGCCCTCATTTCCCCCTTGTGTTGTCAACTTAGTATTCAACTGACTGACCCCCCAGACTCTACACAGCAGCCAGACATAGCAGTCTCGTTAAAACCCAAGTCTCTGCTCAATACAATCCACTAGCTTCCCATTTTACCTGCGATAAACAGCAACATCTCTGTTTACAAGGCCCTCTAGGGTCTGTCTCCAGATACCCTGCTGACCTCATCTCTAGCTCTTCTCCGGCGGCTGTAATCACACCCATATCCTTGCTGATCTCCTAACATGACTGACACATCCTGGCCTCTGGGCCTTTACTTGATGTTCCCTGTACCCTAGAACACCATGCAGGCTCTCAGTCATCCGGTTCAGTCTTTACTCCAGTGTCACCTGGTGGGGGGGGGGTGCCTTCCTGACCTCTGTGTTTAACGGCAACTTCCCCACCCCCACCCTGCCTGGCACCTCCTATCCTCCTCTGCTTTCTTTTTCTCCATAGCACTCATCATCAGAGTACATACTATGCATTTTATTTACTGTTTATTATCTATCTCCCACACTAACCTCTGAACTCCTTGAGGAGAGATTTTTTTTTTTTTTTTTTTGTCTTTTGTTTCACTGCTATTCCACTTCCTGGAATAGTGCCTCACACAGAGGAGGCATTCAGTACTTGCCTGATGGATTCAACCCTGCAGTGGTATGAATGTATCCAGGCTGGGGAGTAGAGGGGAATGTACATGTATTGAAATACTGCCAAGTGCCAAGCAGTTCCCAAGTTAATACCAATCATATCATTTAACTGTCACACCCAATCCTAGCAGGTATTTTTATCCCCATTTCCCCATGAAAACTGAAGCCCAGAGAAGTTAAGAAAATAGATGAAGATTACACAGCCAGTGGTGGAACATCATTCAAACCTAACTCTGTGGTTCTAAAGTCCTGCTATGCCTAGTGCACATTACTTCATTCTCCTTGGTTGCAGTTCCCACTTCTCTAATGAAATGCAACTGCCAGCTTTCACACCTAGTTCCATTTTACAGTGGGGAGATGGGAGAGGTGGGGGTGAATCAAAAAGATTCAGGGTTCCTTGGAGCTGTAATCAAGCAAAACAAACATTAAGAGCCCGAGTCTTGGTAGGAATGCAAGCTGGTGCAGCCACTCTGGAAAACAGATGGAGGTTCCTCAAAAAGTTGAATAGAGCTACCTTACGACCCAGCAATTGCACTACTGGGTATTTACCCCAAAGATACAAATGTAGTGATCTGAAGGGGCACGTGCACCCCAATGTTTTAGCAGCAATGTCCACAATAGCCAAACTGTGGAAAGAGCCTAGATGTCCATCAACAGATGAATGGATAAAGAAGATGTGGTATATATATACAATGGAATATTATGCAGCCTTTTAAAAAATGAAATCTTGCCATTTACAATGATGTGGATGGAACTAGAGGGTATTATGCTAAGCGAAATAAGTCAATCAGAGAAAGACAAGTATCATATGATCTCAATGACATGAGGAATTTGAGAAACAAGACAAGAGGATCATAGGGGAAGGGAGAGAAAAATGAAACAAGACGAAACCAGAGAGGGAGACAAACCATAAGAGACTCTTAATCTCAGGAAACAAACTGAGGGTTGCTGGAGTGGAGAGGGGTGGAAGGGATGGGGTGGCTGGGTGATGGACACTGGGAAGGGTATGTGCTATGGTGAGCGCTGTGAATTGTGTAAAACTGATGACTTACAGACCTGTACCCCTGAAACAAATAATACATTATATGTTAATAAAAAAAATTAAAATAAAAAAGAGCCTGAGTCTTTTTGCTCATTAACATCAAACACTGTCAAAGTTACAATGTAATAAACATCCTTCTGAGGGAGCTGATCACTTTCAGAGTTTCATTCATTTCATTCACTCATGAGTTTATTTATAAATACTTGCTGAGCGCCTACTACGTGCCCAGTACTACACTGGGCACTGAGGATAAAGAGATGCATAAGGCCCAGATGTTACCCTCCACAAACATTTGAAGTTCAGCGTAGTGCTGTCCAATAGAAGATCATGTGAGCTGAGTATGCAGTTTTACATCTTCTAGGCACTACATTTTCAAAAAAGTAAAACAGTTGAAATTAATTTTAATAATATATTTTTATACAGCCCAACATATCCAAGATTTAACTTTAACAGGTAAATCAACATAAACATACTATTGATATCTTACAGTCTTTTTTTGTTTGGCAGCACATCTCTGAAATCAGTGTGCATTTTGCACATACAGCACATCTCCATTTGGACTAGCCACGTTTCAAGAGCTCGATAGCCAAAAAAAAAAAGAGAGAGAGCTCGATAGCCACATGTGGCTAGCAACAAAAGCATTTGACAGCACAGGGTTAGGGAAAAAGGTAAAGTCAAGGGGATTCTCAAAACAATGTAGTAAATGCAATGATAGGAGAATGACTCAGGATTACTCAACTGCCAGGTAGGACTTGAGCCTCCAGGGATCTTCCAACCCCAAAGACCTTGTTCATTGTGCAGCACATTAGAGACTTTGCCCCACTCCAAACAGTGGGATTGTGGTTGTCCTCAACCAACCAACCAACCTTAATATATCCAAACAAAACTCATCCTTTTATCTCAAATACCTACTTCTCATTTTGTACTTCAGTTGATGGCATCATTATCTACCTGCTCACTCAAGTCATTCTCATTTCATCTTCAGGTAAATGAGTACTACTTTGTCTAGAAGATAATTTAAAATCCAAATATTTAGCATTTTTTTAAAAATGCCTCTTCCTCGGGGCGCCTGGGTGGCTCAGCTGGTTAAGCAACTGCCTTCGGCTCAGGTCACGATCCTGGAGTCCCTGGATCAAGTCCCGCATCGGGCTCCCTGCTTGGCGAGGAGCCTGCTTCTCCCTCTAACCCTCCCCCCTCTCATGTACTCTCTCTCTCTCATTCTCGCTCTCTCAAATAAATAAATAAATCTTTAAAAAAAAAAATGCCTCTTCCTCTCCATCCCAACTAACTGAGCGTGTTCAGGCCACTTTCATCTCTCACATGGATCACCACAAGAAACTTTTTTTCCAGCTTTATTGAGATGTAATAGACATACATCACTACATAAATTTAAGGCCTATATAGCATAAAGGTTTGACTTACATACATTATGAAATAAATGCCACAGTAAGTTTACTTAGCATACACCACCCCATATAGATACAATAAAGAAAAAAAATCTTCCTTAATAATATGGAACTCTTCAGGAATTTGTAGGTCATGCTTACACAGGGCCACGCTAACCTCTGTATGTTCCAATTTTAGTATATGTGCGGCCCCAGCAAGTACCAAGAACCTTTTAATTTCTTCCCTTGCCTCAGTCTCTCCCCTACCCAGCCTCAAAAGTAGTTACTATTCCATAAAGACCTTCATGGTTCTCCATCCCCTACATAATAAAAGCCAAGCTCTTTGTCACATAGCACAGAATTCCCTCCAGAATCTGATTTTGGCTTACCTAACAATTTCCGATTGTTTGCTGTTCCTAAACCCCCGAACTCAAACTCTCTTACGTTCTCTGAGCCTGCTACTCTTTTGTAAAAATAGCCATCCTAATCCCTCAAAAAGTTGACCTGAGGTTTAAAATGACCCTACACTTTGAACAATACTCTCCCCATCACTCCTTTACACTTTAAATCTGTATCTATGTATCCAGTGCCTCTTTTCAACTCAATTACTATTTGTTAAATACACTTCGTGCTAGGCACTGTGCGGGACACAGGACAGAGGGAATACAAAAAAGTAGGTTCAAGGGCGCATTCTTTGCCTTCCCCAAGCTCATTACAATACACTTTCTCAACCATTGTCTTTAAGAACTGGATCATCTCTAACATCATGAACAAATCTGGGGGTCCTCCGGAAGTTCAGGCCGGACTGAGACCCCAGCTGACACCAGGTGGCCGCATCTCCGCTTTCTTCCGCCGCCACACGGAGCCGGGAACCACCCTAAGCCCCATCCGGGTTCTCAAAGCCTCACTCCGCCTAACCTGACCACCGCCCACGTGGCAGGCGGGGGGCGGGGACGCGTGGAGCAGCTTGGGCCCGGATCTCTGCGCTTGCGCGCTGCGGCGGGCTCAAGGACCCGGATTTAAAGAGACAGGCGCCACAACCGTCGTGGCGGCGCGCTGCCTGTGGGCGCCCGCTGCGAGGCCTGCGGTGTGCGCCGGAGTTGGGAAGGCAGGTGAGGAGCAGGCACGGCAGGACCGGGCAGCGGGGAGGGAGGCGGCCTGGGGCTCCGGGGACCCGGGGCTCGGCGCGGCCTGGGAGCTGGCCCCGTCGGCTCCTCCCCCGCGCGCCCGCCCGCCGAGCCCCGGGGCACACCCTCCGTGACGTGGCTGCCCCCCGGGAGCCCACGGGGGTTGGTCCGTAGCTCCCTGGGACCCCCGCGGCTCCGCGAGTGGGAGGGTCCCCCGGGGCCCCTGTGGGTCCGCTCTGGCCGGCCCGGGTCTGCACGTTGGCCGCGCCGAAGCCGGTGCTCGTTGGTGCGAGCTCGGGAGCCTTTCTCTGCCCGCCGCGTCCCCTTCCCCAGCCCCGGGCAGTGTCCTTGCGCCCCCGGCCTGCCCGAACCGAGGGACTCGCTTCCGCGCCTCCTCCACGGGCGTCCCCGGGCGTCCGCGCCGGCCAGTAGCCCCTGCCCACTCCTGGAAGGCGTCGGGAAAGACCTCTTCCCCCACCCGCCCCGGGAACTGCGGCTGCAGGGCGCTCGCTTCCCCGCCCAGGCTGCGTTGGGGCCCCAGCGGTTTCCTTCTTGACCACCTTGGAGGAGACGCTGAGCCGCGGCCGTTGGGGGCTGCGGGGTAGACGGGCTTGCTCCGAACAGCACGGTGCCTCCTCGTGGCCCAGCTCGGCCTGGGCCTCGGGCCCCGCAGAGGGTGGGTCGCTGCGAGGCGCTCTCAAGTCGGTTCTTTGGGGAAGGGGGGGCGCTGCCCAAACGCTCTCCTGAGGACAGGGTGGAAACCGAATTCGTTCTGAGCTCCCCTGATGGACCTGCCGGACTCACATTCCTCACCTCTGTAGTTCTTGAACTTCTCAGGGTTATAGACCGTCTCTCCGACAAAGTGTACATTTATGGATTATGTGCATTTTGTATACATTTTCAGGGAGTTCAGAGCCCACCTCCCCCCAGCCCTTCCATGGACTCATTTTAATTTTCCCAGTCATCCCGTGAGGTAGGTATTATTCTCCATATTTAGAAATGAGAAAACTGAGACGCAGATGAGTTAAGGGAGTTCTCAAAAATAACAGTCCCTAAACTGAACAGTCACAGTCGCACTCCCATCCCCGATTCCGATCCACCTGCTTTCCTCTACAGGAAGTAAAGCCTGCTTGTCGTTATGAACCAATAACAATTTCACTGCAAAGTATGTGCAGGCTAGAAATAATTTCCAGTATATTTAAAATTAGAACAATGAAGATACTTGAGAAAATATGAATATAAAAAGGTGGGAGGATACCGTGTGGACATAATCCCTGCTTCCATTTGGGGTGATTTATCAGTTCCTTTGATTTCTTGCCATCCAGTTGCTTCAGCATTCCCCAATTCCCTGTAGGCGATACATTATGAACAGGCTAATTGCACATAGGGAGCCTCTGCTTAACGGATAACTGCTTTACTGATGGTAATAAGAACTAATGTGTCCTGAACCTGTGCTCTATTCTAAGCTGAGCTCTGTTCTAAGGGCTTTACTCTTAGAATGACAAGTTAGGTAGTTTTGTTATCCACATTTTGACAGTTGAGGAAATTGAGGAAGGGAGAGGTTAAGTAACCTACCAAGGTCACACAGCTAATGAGGATATGAACCCAGGCAGTCTGGTTCTAAGTTCTATTTAATTGCCTCTCAAAATAGGTCATCTGATTACACCACAGATCTATATAGTGACTTAATTATTTCCTGAGGATGGCATATATGTTCTACTTCACATTAAAAACTTCACGAATATCATGTAATTTTTCTTGGTGACTAAAAAGAAACTTAAGGATCTTGTAATACTTAGGAGTCATCATCCATTCTAAGTATCAGGTATTGCTGATGGCCTGAGAAAAGCTTTTATGTTATTTGGATTTGATTCTCTCAATTGTGATTTACTAGATGTACATGTATATGTTAGATATTTGAACACCCTTCTGCAAACTGAATTTTCCTGTTCTGGAACTCTTCTTCATCCTGTAGACAATAAATCTTTAATACTTTGGAAAATGTTTGGTTAGTCAGCATGGACTGTATTAGGACTGTGGGCTTTGGGGAAAGTGGCAGCCTAGCTCCTCATTTATATCTCACTTTTCTTGCATCTCACTCTTTCACGCAGCTGTATGACTTTGACTTTCAAGATCCTCTTCCCACCAACCCTCCGCACACTTGGGCGAAAAGAATTTTGCCTATTCCGACAGCAACATCACTGGCCTGACAGAAGACAGTTCAGCCATTGGTCAGAAACAGATCTGCTTCATGGGCACTGCCTCCTCCAGAGAAGAAAGCCTGCTCTGTCATTCCAGGAAGGCCATCTAAGACCACGTGCCACCTGCCTTGTTTTCTTGCCAGGGGCGCATGTGGGACTCTGCAGTGGCCCCTGTGAGATGGCCGAGCAACGATTCTGTGTGGACTATGCTAAGCGCGGCACGGCGGGCTGCAAGAAGTGCAAGGAAAAGATTGTGAAGGGGGTGTGCCGGATCGGCAAAGTGGTGCCCAACCCCTTTTCAGAGTCCGGGGGTGATATGAAAGAGTGGTATCACATTAAATGCATGTTTGAGAAACTGGAGCGGGCCCGGGCTACCACAAAAAAAATCGAGGACCTCACAGAGCTAGAAGGCTGGGAAGAGCTGGAAGACAATGAGAAGGAACAGATAAGCCAGCACATTGCAGGTGGGTAGGGACTACTGCTTTTTCACCATAATGGTGCTGAGAGAAAAAACGAGAAGGAGAGTAGAGTCCCATTTTTTTCTTCCTTCCTTCCTTCTTTTTTGTTTAGTTTTTTTGTTTAATTTTTTGGAAAGAATTCAAACTCACAGAAGAGTTGTGAGAATAAAAAAAGAAAAAAGCTCTTTTTTTTTTTTTTTTTAAGATTTTATTTATTTGAGAGAGCATGAGCAGGGAGGAGAGGTAGAGGGAGAAGCAGGCTCCCCACTGAGCAGGGAGCCCAATGTGGGACTTGATCCTAGGACCCTGGGTTCATGACCTGAGCCAAAGGCAGTCCCTTAACCATTCAGGTGCCCAAGAAAGCTCACATTCCTTTTACCTAGTCATACCTGTTAACATTTTGTTCCCTTTGCGTTATCATTTGTGTTCCTACGTGCACTGTTCCTCTTTCCACACACGCACAGCTCGTTTTTTTCCTGAACCATTTTAGGGTAAGTTGCACATATTATGGCCTTTGCCTTTAAATACTTCAGTGTGTATATCTTAAGAATAGGAATATTCTCTCACGTGACCATACACAGCAATCAACTCTGGTAAATTGATCCTTCATGTAATACTTTAATGCACCATTTGCATTCCAGTTTTGTCCATTAGTCAAACAATATCTTTTGTAGCTTTTTTCCCCTCCACTGTAGAATCCCAATCTGGGATCGGGTATTGCATTTTGTTGTCTCTTTGGCCTCCTTTAATCCGGAACATTTCTAGTCTTTCTTTTATGACATTGATATTTTTAAAGAGTAGAGTACCTACCATCACTCCCTCTTATCTTTCAGTGTTTATCATACGGGCTCACAGATTACTTTTTCCTAGTGGCTTATAATTTTACTGTATTTTTTTTTTTAAGATTTTATTTATTTATTTGACAGAGAGAGACACAGTGAGAGAGGGAACACAAGCAGGGGGAGTGGGAGAGGGAGAAGCAGACTCCCCGCTGAGCAGGGAGCCCGATGTGGGGCTCGATCCCAGGACCCTGGGATCATAACCTGAGCTGAAGGCAGATGCTTAACGACTGAGCCACCCACGCGCCCCTAATTTTACTGTATTTTATTAATTCCATACTTAATTTTCCCATGTTGGGCCACTTGGGAAACCCTTTGAGCTGGTTTCTGTGTCCTGGATGCTGCCTCTTTTTTTTTTTTTTTTTTTTAATGTTTTAAAGTACTTCTTTATTTTCTAAGCATAAAAGTATGCTCTTAGGCTTACCTTACCTTTTTTTTTTTATAAGATTTTATTTTTGAGTACCCTCTACACCCAACGTTCAGCTCGACTCACAGTCCCAAGATCAAGAGTCATGTGCTCCACCGACTGAGCCAGCCAGGTGCCCCTCTTAGGCTTACCTTATATGTATTCTACCACAACTCTGGAACCAACCATTTCTCTGAAGAATCCTGGTTCCTATTACTGGGGGAATGGCTTTCGAGACCAAATCTAGATGCTTTGTTGCCATGAGGGGTCTTTGCTTTTAAGCCCTTTCAGCAGACAGAACTAGAAAATACATGTTTACACACAAAACACATGCATATACACACACAGCTACATATATATGCACGCATACATACACATTCACGTGTGTGTATTTTAGAAATCTTACACCGAAACTTCCAAATCCAGTTAGTCCTTTATGATCTTCCATGTGCTCATCTTTAAAGTAATATTCATATCTTCAATTAAGTATAGTTCTGGTCACTGTGGGAGAACTCTGGCAGTGGCTTAAAAATTGGCAAAAAAATAAAAATGGGCATCTATCTATCATTGTTCTTTGAGAGGAGAGACTTCCAGGAGAGAAAGCTACTTTGCACATACTTCTTTCTCAAGCTCCCTGTTCTGCCCTGCCCTGACTTGGCCATAGGCCCCAGCCTTTGCCACTTCTTGACTAATCTCCTTCAGAGGAAGAGAAAAACAAGGTAGAGTCAAACTCACACAGCTCAAAAAACACAGTGGCTGGGACTTTCCCTGCCTGTGCCAACCTGATATGCTCTGTTCTCCATCTTCATTTTACTTTCTTGTTCATCTATAAATTGGAGTTAATTCCATGGAGCTGAGGTCCCCAGGTTTTATCTTTGGAGATGTGTGTTCTGATTTTTCCCAAATCTGGAGATCATTATATATGGGATAAGAGGTGGAGAGTGCTGATGAAAATATAAGTTACTAGTAGAAGTAGAGTAATGGGGTCTTTTGTCCCACGAACCCCCCTCCCCACGCCCAGGACTGTCTTACCCACTGCCCCCACTCAAAAAGATCAGCCAGTCCACAGGCAGCCTTGGAGTAATGCCGTGGTAGTAACTTATCAGCAAGGCTGTAAGAGCAGTTGTTAAATGCTTTGGAAGCTTTTCTCAGGGATCTTTCACTGAAACATACTTTCCCTTTTTGGGGGGTCCTACAGATCTGTCTTCTAAGGCAACGGGCACACCAAAGAAGAAAGCCGTCGTCCAGGCTAAGCTGACAGCCACTGGCCAGGTGGCCTCTCCAGTGAAAGGTGCCTCACTTGTCACCAGTAGCAATCCCCGGAAATTTTCTGGTTTTTCAGGTGAGAGATTAGAGATACTTTAGCTCTTATGGTCCTTTTAATTTGGAATCCTATTTGGGATTCTGGCTAAGAGTGAAAATTCCGTGCTATCTAGCCTCATTCATAATTCGCTTCCCTCTGAGTAGAGGCAGGTGATGGCTTATTTTCAACATTTCACTGGTAGAGCGTTTTTTTGTATATGTTAATCTCTATTGCAGCAAAAGATGTTTGTTTTCAAGACTTTTTCCGCTTGAAGTAGTCACCTGGGTCAGATGGAGATGATTATAACCTGCCCTATAACTTCCTTATGTTTTGGTAATGAAAGGATTTTAAGAAATTGCATCCCTAAACTTGCCCAAACCGAGATGAAAGTATGGAAGATGTCCTGCATGGCCTTTTTTTTTTTTTTTAAAGATTTTATTTATTTATTTGAGACAGAGAGAATGAGAGAGAGCATGAGAGGGAGGAGGGTCAGAGGGAGAAGCAGACTCCCTGCTGAGCAGGGAGCCCGATGCGGGACTCGATCCAGGGACTCCAGGATCATGACCTGAGCCGAAGGCAGTCGCTTAACCAACTGAGCCACTCAGGCGCCCCTGCATGGCCTTTACGTAACAGGTAGCATTGGGCTAGGGGCTTTTATCTATGTAGTTTCGTCTGTTCTTCAGTTACCCTTGGGAAGTACTTTTATGAAGCCCATCTTACAGATGGTTCATTATGGAGTTAGTATTGACGCTGAGGTCTCGTTAACTCCCAACACCTGCGCTCTTTTACCCTGCACTCCATGCCTCTTTTATTTGGGGTCATTCTTGTGACTGACTCAGGTAAAGAAAGTAAAGCCAAACACACAGACTCAGAAGTTGTGGAGAGGTGGCTTTAAGTGCGTGAAAGCACCACAGACTTGAAGTTGGGAGGCCTGGGTTCTGGGCCCAGTGCTGTCACGTGACAGCTTGCTCAGGGGGCAGGTGGCTTTACCTCAGAGCCTCTGTGGCCGCCTCTGTGAAGGGGGAACGGTGACACCTGTGTCCTTCACCCTGCAGTATTTGCACGAAGAGTGCTGGAGAGATCGCAAAAACAGTGCCTGATTCTTCTGGGGGTTTTGTTATTTTTAAAACTCTGCGGTTTGTTTTTTGTTTGGTGGTAGGCCAAAGCCAGAAATACAGAAGAGTCTGGGTGGCAACAAGGACAGCACATTCCCGGAAGGGTCTGGATCCTAGGGAGGGAAATTTGGGAGGAGCTGAGAGAAATGGGGTGTTCTAAAGTCTTGCAACCTGCTGAACATCGACACTTTGGAGATTTTGTCCCCTAAAAATCCTCTTCAGACGCCAGGTCAGAGATGAGAATGGATTTATAACTTACAGACCTCAGACAAGAGGAAGCGTACATCAGCAGCCTGCTCGCGGATGGCTCTGCCGCAAGCTTGCAGAATGAAACGTGCTTTGTGAAGGAGGGGAGAGAGGATCAGTCAAGAGTTGTAGAGCTATTTCGGGGTGTCGGGAGGAATGTCTTGCTCGCTGACTACCTTTATTTTGGCACTAAGAAGTGGTGGGGGGGGTGGGAGTGGCAGAGGCCTGGGAATGCCTTCTTTCAGGCTTTAGGCTCCTCATAGTGAGAAGAGATTGAACCAGGTCATCTTTAAGGCTTCTTTGAGCCTGACAGTCTGCAACAGGGACAGTTTCCCACCAGTGAACATGTCCCTTGGCTTCTATTTCCATTCTCATCCCCACTTTTCTGGGGGCAGCTTTACCACTGCTCTGAGGTCCGCTTATTTTGTGCAGCACTTGTATAAAGAAGCTGGGCCTCTGCAGGTGTGAAGCCATTGTCTCTCTACTGCTAACAGCTGTGATGCCTGGTGCCCCGCCTGTGGGGCAGGTGAAGGTCTCCACCCCGCCGGGCCATTCTGGGCGGTTGAGTGAAGCTCCGTAAAGAGTGCCAGCTCAGTGCTTATTAGTTTGCCTTCCTTCTCAGCAAGGCAGATGAATCATCCCGATGTTTTTCTCTCCAACAGCCAAGCCCAACAACTCTGGGGGAGCCCATTCAAGCCCTCCCCCTAAGGCAAGTCTGTCCTCAAGCAGATGTGACCCCAAGCACAAGGATTGTCTGTTTCGCGAGTTTCGGAAGTTGTGTGCCATGGTGGCTGAGAATCCTAGCTACAACACGAAGACCCAGATCATCCAGGACTTTCTTCGGAAAGGTTCAGCAGGAGGTGGGGCCTAGAACATCCTGGATGGGCTTTTCCCCTGAAGAGCTCAGAGCCATGGCCGGTTTCATGGCTGTGTCAACTGTACAGCTGCACAGGGCTTCACGTGTGGTTTAATCCTCTGTTAATGCCATCTTGAAATTCCCTCTCTTTTTTTTTTTGAAGTTTTATTTATTAGAGTGAGTGCACACACGAGCGCAGGCAGGGGGAGGGGGGAGAGGGAGAAGCAGACTCCCCTCTGAGCAGGGAGCCCGATTCGGGGCTCGATCCTGGGACTCCGGGATCACGACCCGAGCCAAAGGCAAACGCCCGACCGACTGAGCCACCCAGGCGCCCCAAAGATTTTTTATGTTTAAGTAATCTCTGCACCCAACGTGGGGCTCAGACTTACAACCCTGAGATCAAGGGTTGCATGCTCTATCAACGGAGGCAGCCAGGCAGGCGCCCCTTGAAATTCTTAATAATTTTGAACAGAGAGCCCTGCATTTTTACTTCTTATTGGGCCCCACAAAGAATGCAGTGAGTTCTGCTCAGAGCACATTGGTGTCGCTCTTCTTCTGCCCTTACTGTATCCCCAGGAGGCCAGAAGAACGTACTGCCTTTGACAAAGAGGAAAGTTCCCTATCCTGCACGTTTGATCAGGTTTTTGTGACCCACGTGCACAGGTGGAATAGAATCTTCCAGCTCTTTGATTGATCTGAAAAATCATCACTGAGCATGTGTAGTGTGCTCCTCACTGGGGACACTGAACTGGAAGTGTGGCCCTGCCCTGTGGGAGCTCAGCCAGAGGAGGTAGACACGGGAGCCACGAGCCACCAAATGCTGTGGCCTCTGCCACTGTAATGAAACTCGCAGGGCATTGTGGCAGCCCAGACAGCGATGTAGACCTCTCTCTCAGTTCCTTGAGTTTATGTATTTGTTTAAGCTCCATTTCTCAAGAAGGTCTCCGTTCTTCTGTCTCCAGATGGTTTCCACGGCGACGTGTACCTGACAGTGAAGTTGCTGCTGCCAGGTGTTATTAAGAGTGTTTACAACTTGAATGATAAGCAGATCGTGAAGCTTTTCAGCCGCATTTTCAACTGCAACCCAGATGATATGGCACGAGACCTAGAGCAGGTCAGAGGAAAGGGAGGGTAGGCAGCGTTCCAGGTGGGGTTCTGCCAAGCCAGGCACCTGCAACCTCTTTTTTTCTGGTTGGGGCACGTACTGTTTTGGGAAACTGAAACCCGTTTGGGCAAGCTTCCTTTATGAGAGCTGAATGTGAGGCGACAGGCGTCAGTTGCACAAGGCTCCGAGGACTGTGGTCATACTCCTGCAGAGCCCCAAGAGGCCTGGATCTCGAGGGACAGATTTCAGACCTCCCACAGTCTCTCCTGGGCTTGCTGTCCTGGATGCAGCTTTTTCTTGCTTTTTTCCAGTACAACTTGGTATAACATTCAGCTTTTGTTTTTTCATGACTCCAGCTTGGGCAGCATAGAAAGTTTCTATCCAAGCACCTCCCCCCCCCAATCTGATGACCATATTTGTTTCTTAGTTCAAATTCTTTTTTTAATGGGGCAGTGGGGGAGGGGCAGAGGGAAAGAGAATCTTAAGAAGGCTCCACACCCAGCGCGTGAGCCCGACGGCTGGGGGGCTCAATCTCACAACCCTGAATGAGATCATGACCTGAGCCAAATCAAGAGTCAAGCACTTGATTGACTGAGCCACCCAGGTGCCCCCTAGGTTCAAATTCTAACAGGAATCAAATTGGTTCAGTCCTGGATTATTCCTTGCGTCACCTCTCAGCCAAGGCAGGTTGGTGGCCAGATCCTATGGTGGATAGAGGTGCCCTTTCCAGGAACTGTGGGCGGGATAGATTCTTCAAGAATGAGGTTAATATATGTGAGGTGGGGACAGAAGTGATGTTTGAAATCTCTGGTTTACCTTTAGTCCTGGGGGCTTGGGGGATACACTCGGCCACTCTGGGGTTGCAGCCATTTTGATTTTTGGAGACAGGGCGACGTGTCAGAGACAATCAGAGTCTTCTTTGAGCAGAGCAAGTCTTTCCCCCCAGCTGCCAAGAGCCTCCTTACTATCCAGGAGGTGGACGAATTCCTCCTTCAGCTCTCCAGGCTCACCAAGGAGGATGAGCAGCAACAGGCTCTGCAGGACATCGCCTCCAGGTGGGGGAGTTGCCTGATGGGGATGGGCTTGGGGAGATGGAATCACCAGGAAAGGAAGGTTTGAGGGTCCAGAGCTTTTCAAAGACCAAGTTGAATGTGCCTCACCCCTAGGTGTACAGCCAATGACCTCAAGTGCATCATCAGGTTGATCAAACATGATCTGAAGATGAACTCAGGTGCAAAGCACGTGTAAGTACTGGCCCCTCTCTGACAGCCAAGCTGCCCACTTCCTTCGTTGCCAACTGGTGTCAGAGCTTTGGAGTCCCAATCTGGATTCAAGTCCTGATTCTACCTTACTCCTTCCTGCGCAGCCCATCACTTAACCTCGCTCAGCCTCCCTTTTCTCATATAAAATGTCACAATACTCTTCTCACGCAGTTGAAAGTATGGAATATGTTCAGTAAATCGAGTATGAGTTGCTTGCCCCCTCTTTGCTAAGGCAGCCTCCACGTAGACCCAGGATCTCAAAATTGCTGAGTTTTCCAAGAGCATTTTCCCCTTCGGAAGGCTTTAGACAGAGAAACATAAGCCTTCCCCCTATATTGAGATCCCTCCTGTCTGCGAGAACTGACCGCTATCTAAAGCAATGAAGTCAAAGGCAGTGGTTTTTGTTTCTTTGCTCCTGTCTGCCTTGACAGGTTAGATGCCCTTGACCCCAATGCCTATGAAGCCTTCAAAGCCTCGCGCAACCTGCAGGACGTGGTGGAGCGGGTCCTCCGCAATGAGCAGGAGGTGGAGAAGGAGCCAGGCCGGAGACGAGCTCTGAGCGTCCAGGCTTCCCTGATGACGCCAGTGCAGCCCATGCTGGTAAGGCTGCTGCTCCAGCCCCGCTTTGTCCAGATGCTACAACCTTCCTTGGGAGCTGGGGCGGCGGCGGCAGGGGGGTTGGGTGGGGAATGCGGAGGAGTTGGGGCCGGGCATGGAGCAGATGTGGAAGGGTATGTGTCAGCGGGTCTGTAGAGGCAGAGGAGAAGACAGTGTGGTCTAGTAGAAATGTCTGCACTCGAGGCCCAGCTCGGCCAACAGCAAGCTGTAGAGTCTTGAAGGAGTTGCTTAGCCTTTCTTGGTTTTTCATTCCTTGCGTGAATGATGTATGAAACTTTCTGAAGCATCCACCTAGAATGGTTTACCGGTCGTCGTTCCTGTAGATGGGTGGATGTGTTAAGTAACTCCCAAGGTTCTGTGGCCTACCCCAGAGTAGCTCTGAGAGAGGCAGAGCCCAGCTTCCTAGGACAGGGGGCCTTGGCCTCTTTCTTCTGGAAAGAAGAAGCTTAAGCAGTGAAGACCAGGTGTGACCGAGATCATCTTGAGCCTCTGCTCATTTTATGAGAACTGGGATTTCCTTTCTGCTTAGGTTTTTCTGTGCGACGGGGGCCCCCACCAGTGCTGTCCTGCCTAGTGAGAGAGAGCCTTGGGGCTGCTCCCGTGGGGTGCCGTGCCTTTCCTGAGCCCTTCTTGTGCGTTACATACTACAGCCTTCCGTTAGGCTTCTATGTTTGGGCTGGGGAAGTGTCCTCTCTCGCCCGGAATGTGGGAGAGCCAGCCCCCAAACAGTGGGATCTTCATCCCGGGGACAGGGCTCCTGGCACCTGCAGTTGTGGCCTTTCTGACTTTTATAGGGACTCTTCTTGGAGTCTCTTCTACAGCCTGTCATTTATTCCAAGAGGCATGGGTTAGATCACTTCGTGATGAACCGCACGGGCTTTGGAGCTGGGCCTAGCTGCGAGCATCCTTCCTGCCCTTCACGAGCTGTATACCGTTAAGTGAGGACTCACGCTCTTCAAGTGTCCGTTTTCTCATCCATAAAATGAAATCAGTGTCACTCTCGTAAAATAGCACACCGAGGATGCAGTGAATTAAACCACCCCCCCCAGGATGGTCGGTCATCGTCAGGTTGAGTCAGGATGGCGTTGGGATGTGCAGAAGCCCTCCTGGGTCCTGTCCTAATGATCCCCGACCTCTGCTGCCCTGCCAGCCTCCCTGTCACCTACACGCTCTCCTCCCCTCTGCGTACCGCATTTAATAGCAAACCAGGGCCCTGCAAGATCCTGAACTACTGAGAAAAAAATGAAATGCTGTTTCAGTGGAATTTTATTTGCTCTAACACGGATCGCATTCATGGTCCTCAAAAAGCCAGCTCCCGTGTCCGCTGTAGCGACGCTGTAGTCCAAATAGGGCACTGCCTAGCCTTGTCCACTCCCCTCGCCTCTTCAGCGGCCTGGCCCGAGGGTATCCTCTGGTCGGCAGGCCCTGGGACCTGGACTCTGGGGCTGTCCTTGCTGAGCAGCCCCCATTGAAGAGCACCTGTAAGTCTCCAGCCTTTTCTTTCCCCACCCCAAGGCCGAGGCCTGCAAGTCCATCGAGCATGCAATGAAGAAGTGTCCTAACGGCATGTTCTCTGAGATCAAGTACGATGGGGAGCGAGTGCAGGTGCATAAGAAGGGGGACCACTTCAGCTACTTCAGCCGCAGCCTCAAGCCTGTCCTGCCTCACAAGGTAGGGGTCCCTTCCTCTCTGCGGGGACTGCCTTTCCCTTCCTGCCCCTAAGAACCTCAAGGCCAGGCTTCCTTGTAGTGATTTCAGCTCCGGGACGCAGTCGGGTTTATTCTGTAGTTGTTGAAGGAATGTATTTACTTTTGGAGTCTTAAAATGAAGGGCTGCTCCGTGGGGACAGCCGAAGAGTCCAGACTTGGGTTAGTACAGAGCCTACAGTGATGCTGGGATAGGGAGCTCACCTGGCAAGTGACTCGCAGTGCTTGTCTTTGTGTTTCCGTGTCCTGTGTGCTCCCCAGTGCTAAATCACCGCTTGGGGACAGAGGGCTGTGAGCCTGTCATTCATGAGTCTGTTTGATAAAGCTTTATCGAGGGCTCAATCCGGACCAGGCACTGTTCTCGGTAGTGGGTGTGCGGCAGTGGATAAAGGACAGAAGTACTTGGAGGCTCACGTTCTCATGTAAATGCAATCTAGTGGGGACATAGGAAAGTGCAGACTCCTGTCCTTTGTTAAGGGGCATTAAGAACCTTGCCCCTCAGTCCTTCTCAGCCCCCAGGGCCTCTGTGAGTCTTTGGACTCTCCTCAGGGCGGAGCAGTGGGGACATTTGGCCCCAGTAGCTTGTGAGTGATGGGACTTTCTGTGCTAGGACCAGCTGCATTCCTCAGAGCCCTGGGGGTGAGGGGATGAGTTGCATGACCCCGTGCTGCCCTCACCCTTGCCTTCCCGCTGGAGCCCTTCATTCCACCTGTCCAGAGGAGAGCTAAGCACTGGCCTCCACGGGGCCCCAGAACTGCTCCCGGGGAACTGCCCAGGGGGTACCTCTGTTACACGGAAGAAGTTTGGGCCCAGCTTTTCAGAGTTAGAGCCCTTTCCTTGCTCTCCCTCACCGGCTGTCCCTGGTCTCTCCTGTACTTGTGGTTTGTAAAGAGCTGGGTTAGGGATTGATGCTGAGCGGGAAGGTGGGACAGACTTCTCCTGTCCCTGCTCTGAGCACACCTGTGTGCCCTGCCCAGGGGAGGACTCGGGCCCCAGTCATGCTCTCTGACCCTCACGGCTGGCATCACTTGGCAGGGGCCGCCCTGGGTTCCAGTGGGACTACTCCCTGTCTGGAACTCTCAGAGACTGGGTTTCTGCCTGTATCAGGAAAAGCTCTTGGTTGCAAACATCCGCTCTTACTCATTTCGAAGATGGCTGTGGGTTCCGAGCTCCCTCTCGGAGACCCTCCTGTTTCCTTGCTGCTCCTAAGGGGGTTCATATCCTCCTTTCCATCCGTCTTTTTGTAGCTTGCCTGTTCTCCCCCACAGTTGTCTGCCTGCCCATGTTTCCTCCTCCTTCCACGTTTGCCTGCCCCCACCCCCTCCTCCACATACTCAACTCCCTGTTTCTTCCTTTTTCCTCCCAACTCTCCTCCATGGCCCAGAGTGGCTCCATCCAGGCCGACCTCTTCCTGGGCCTCAAACACTCCTCTCCTCTCGTCTCAGTGGCTGCTAAGGCCTTGGTCTGTTTTGCACATGAGTTTGGCTTCCGCATGTTGGTGTTCTGTGTTCCTTCTCGGGCCTGGCTTTCACTTTCTGGCGTGGCTTTAGGTCACTGCTGCCTGTTTCTCCCTCACCTGAGTCCCCTTTCTGCCCCCCAGGTGGCCCATTTCAAGGACTACATCCCCCAGGCTTTCGCCGGGGGCCACAGCATGATCTTGGACTCTGAGGTGCTCCTGATTGACACGAAGACAGGCAAACCGCTGCCCTTTGGGACTCTGGGAGTGCACAAGGTACTGGCTCAGTGCCAGGTGTGCAGGAGTGAGCGGGTGTGGGCATGTGTACACGTGTCTGTGTGCGCTCTTGCTCTCGACGGAGGGGAATCCGTCACCCACTCAGGGTGGGGCTTATTCTTTGTTTCTGGACTGTTTCTGAATTTAGCCCTGGGTTTAGACGTGTTTTTTGTGTTTAGTTTTTTTACATAAAAGGAGCTAGTATTGGGGACTCAGAATCGGGTTGGTTTCCATTTAGGACCATCTGCCAAGTGCACTTGTGGCCCAGGAGCTTCCAAGCACATACAAGAAGGACTGTTCTGTCCAGAGCTTCACGGGTCCATGTTTTACACTTGCTTATTTTTGGCCTCGTATATCTACGACCTCATTTTCCCTTACAGAAAGCTGCCTTCCAGGATGCTAATGTTTGCCTATTTGTTTTTGATTGTATCTACTTCAATGATGTCAGCTTGATGGACAGGTGAGAGATCTGTTTTTGGTTCCTGGGTTGAGAGGTGGGGGTTCATACTAGACAGGAGGGAGGGGAAGAGGCTGAATGAAGCCTGTGCTGCTTTGTGCCCAGGAACTGGGGAGGAGGGAGCCGAGAAGTCGCATACTTGCCACACACTCAACTCCTCAACTCACTGGGAGAGCCAGTTTGCTGACTGGATTTCCTGAGAGCTTAAGTCAGAGAGGAAACCCAGATCCCCACAGAAGTTTCTGTGCTCCAGCAAAGTGGACTATTGAGAGAAACAGACTGTGAACAGTAGAGGTTTTCAGTTTCTCTCTCCACAAACAGCACCCATGGGGGCATGAGGCAGGTGCTTTTCAGCTCAGGGTTTGCTTTTGGAAGTGTCCGCCAGGAAGCTGGGGACTAGAGGAGGCCTGGAGGTGGGACCGTCTGAGGGAGAACTAGCGGTCTTAACTTCACTGCATGCAGATTCTTGGGCCTGAGAAACCAGGATTGGCCCCTTGCACACCTAGACATGTGTCCCTGCCCCACCCTCCCACACTGGCCCTGTCACCGAGGGGGATGGGGGGAGGAGAAAGGGAAAGGGAGAGACTTGTCAGGACTTTGGTCCTGAGAACCAGCCAGCCTTGGGCCTGGGGGCAGGGGGGCAGCTGCATGGATGAGAAATGAGAGTGGGAGTCATTTTTCATATGGGACCAGACGGTCTGGGCTAGAGGCCAGTTCTCCCGCAGCTCCGTGACAGAAACAGGAACTATGAGGATGAAGTGGCTTCGTACCACAGCTCACGGTTGTCCGTGTTCAGTCACGAGGGAGCCCTTTTTGCCCCCGACAGGCAGAACTGTGAGGCTGGGGGGCTTCCCTTCTCAGCACTCCTTATGGGGGTGGGAGGGGCCCGACCTGACCTCAGCTCTCTCGTCCCCCTTAGGCCTTTGTGTGAGCGGCGGAAGTTTCTTCATGATAACATGGTTGAAATTCCCAACCGGATCATGTTCTCAGAAATGAAGCAAGTCACTGTGAGCAAAGACCCTACCCCAGACAGCAGCCTGGTGGTTTGCGAGCAGGGCAGAGAGCCCCTTGGTCAGATGTGACGGGGACAGTGAGTCCTCATTTTCTCACGGGACTGCCACTGTGTGTAGGTTGTCTAAGTCCCCACCTACGAGGGCAGGCCCTGAAACACCCTTCCTAGCTGGGCTCCCTGTGTCTCAAGGCTGCAGCCACTTTCTGGTTGGGAGAACGCCTGCTTTGCAAGCCCTTTGCCCGGTGTGTTCAAGTCGGGGTGTTTGCAGCGGGCGCTCTGCTAGTGTGCGAAAGGGAACCACCTCCACCTCCCCGCCATGGTGCTCTCTGTTCTCACACCAACCTGAGCATCTCTCTGTTACCCTCAGAAAGCTGCGGACTTGGCCGACATGATAAACCGGGTCATCCGAGAGGGGCTGGAAGGGCTGGTGCTGAAGGACGTGAAGGTGAGCCGCCCACACCTTTTGCTTACTTGCTCCCACAGCTCTCAGCCCCCCCCAGCCTTTCCCGCCCTGGCCAGCAGAGGGCGGTGGCGGTCTGAGGCGGCTGGGGCTGGGGGGCCGCGGGGCCACCTTTCCAGGGCCTGATGGGCTCTGTTCTGAATCCGCCCTGGATCCGGAGGATGGGTTTGTGTATGTTCCCTGGGCCGGGAGCTAAGGGCTCTTGCTCAGAGTGGCCTGGGCACTTTGGTAAAGCCGAAACGTCGAGGAGGTAAATCTCAGCCTCCTGGAGTTCCCATTCTAGTCTGAGGTCTCTCTCTGCTCTTCCCTCAGGGTACATATGAGCCTGGAAAGCGGCACTGGCTGAAGGTGAAAAAAGACTATTTGAACGAGGGGGCCATGGCGGACACAGCTGACCTGGTGGTCCTTGGGGCCTTCTATGGGCAAGGGAGCAAAGGTAAGGATGGCCTCAGCCCCTGGGGCGCTGCTTCTGTGAAAGGCACCACTCAAGGTGTAGCTGGCCTTTTTACTGGCGTGGTCTGCCGGCACAGCCGGTCCTGCCTCCCACAGTTGTGGGGTCAGGGGCCCCAACCCAGCCCATGTCTCCTCAGGCGGGGACATCTGACAGCTACAGACTTGGGCAGGGAGAGGTCAGGCAAGAATATCCCATGCTCTCTGGCACAAAGAAGCCCACTGTCGGCTAGTTTCTGGGGGCCTGGCCACTTTCTCCTCAGGGAAAACCTCAAAAATCTCCTGACTGGGAGGGAAGGTGCGCGGTCTTGAGTTGACAGTGTGCCAGACGCTGTTTAATTTTTTTTTTATTCCTCACCAGAGTCTAACGAGTTATATACGATTATCCCCAGTTTACTGAAAAGGAAAATGGAGCTCGTAAAGGTTAAACTTGTACAGTTAGTAGGAGGTAGACCTAGGAGGTGAGCTCGGCGCTCTGATGCCAAGGCTCAGGCCTCTCCCCTCCAGCAGGCTGCCCCTCACCAGGCCTCCATCCACAACTTAACTCACCCCCCTCCGCTCGCAGGTGGCATGATGTCCATCTTCCTCATGGGCTGCTATGACCCAAGCAGCCAGAAGTGGTGCACAGTCACCAAGTGTTCGGGAGGCCACGATGATGCGACCCTTGCCCGCCTGCAGAAGGAACTGGACATGGTGAAGATCAGCAAGGTGAGCAGGGGAGCTGCTTGGCCCAGGCCTCTGGACTGGACCTTGTCCCCAAGCCTGGCTGTGCTTGACAGACGACAGGGATCGTCTGTGTCCGCAGAAGGAGAGCTGCTGCTTGGCCGTGAGAGCAGGGCAGTAGGTCTTCCGAGGCTTTGCGCACCCCCCTTGTGGAAGCTGGCCCGCATGCTCCCCAGTGACGCCCTCTCGGGGCAGGGAGGGTCCCATGGGGTGAGGGTCAGCTTTTTGTGAAAAGTCACCTCTTCACACAAGCCCCTCACAAAGGGGGGTTCACGTTTCGTTTTGGCTTGGGAATGGCCCAGGACAGCATCTTTTTTCCTCCAGGATCCCGGCAAGATACCCGGCTGGCTGAAAGTCAACAAGATCTACTATCCTGACTTCATAGTCCCAGACCCAAAGGTACCACCAGCCCAGGGGCCTGGGCTCCCCCAGCCCACAGAGTGAGCTTGCTGCCTCTCTAGCACCACACACACGCCCTCTGGGCCTCACTGACCGTGTCCAGCCCAGGATGGGGGTCTGGACTGTTCCGCCAAGGGACGGGCCAGTCAGCACTGAGGAGTCGTCCTTAGTGTGGGCAGGAGGAGAGGAACAGTCCCCTAGACACACACAAATGGTTTGCTCTGGAGGCGACTGGGCCCATTCCTTCCACGCGCTGACGGAGGAACTGGGGCCCCAGCCCCAGAGGGGCTGGAACTTGCCTCGGGTCACGGAGCAGCAGCAGGCGCCGTGGGACTAGGGCCCATCTCCCGGCCGGCGGCCGGCGCCGGCCTGCATTGCTTCTCGCTGGTTGCGGGCAAGCCTGCCTCCCTAACCGGTGACTGAACTCCTGACAGAAAGCTGCCGTGTGGGAGATCACGGGGGCCGAGTTCTCCAAGTCTGAGGCGCACACGGCCGACGGGATCTCCATCCGCTTCCCACGTTGCACCCGCATCCGTGATGATAAGGACTGGAAGTCTGCCACTAACCTCCCCCAGCTCAAGGTGCCAGCTTCCCTTGCACGTGTGTCCTCCACCCCCGTCCCAGCCTCGCAGCCCTGGCTCTCTGGCCTGCTCACGCGTTCTCTCCTTTTGTGTGCGCGTGCACGCAGCACCTCCCCCCCCCCCCCCAATCCGCTGAGACGGGGCTAGGAGGGCAGTAGCGGGAGAGCCGCCGGCCTCAGGGCCTCGGAGGAGGGACCTCTGCGGCTCTCAGCCTCCGCCCTCCTGCTCAGGCTGGGCCCCAGGCTCTAGGCTGTGTTGCTGATAAGAACCCGGGGACCGAGAACAGTGATTTGCACTGATGACCCAAGAAATGGAGTTCAGAAAAGCTCCAAGAAAGCCAGCTTCTGTCCCTTGCCCTTTGTCTCTGTCTCCTCTTTGTTCCTTGGCCGCATGGGCCTCCATCCCGCCTCAGAGGCCAGTGGCTGGGAAGGGGGTGAGCGCCGCTGCGGTTGTCTGTCGCCCCCCAGGAACTGTACCAGCTGTCCAAGGAGAGGGCTGACTTCACCGTGGCGGCCCGAGAGGAGGGGAGCTCCACCACCGGGGGCAGCAGCGGAGAGAACGGGGGTACCTCGGGGCCTGCGGGGGCTCGCAAGGCCTCCAGGGCCTCCCCGAAGCAGCCCTCCACCGGCGCCAGGAAGGCAGGAGGGAGGCTGAGTGGCCCCAGCAGCAGAGGCGGTAAGAGGGAGGGGGTAGAGCGGTGAAGCGCGTGCCGCGGGGGCAGAGCTCACAGGACAGAGCACGAGGTTCGCTGGGCCCGCCGCCGTAGACCCGGACCGTATTCCTGTGGCGTGTCCAGCCGCGGGCCCCCCCATCTGCTCAGCCCACCTGCGTGCCCGGCCCCTGGGGGAGCGCCCGTGTGACCCCGGGGAGAAGCCACCTCCCGAGCCAGAGGCCGCCTCGGCTCCCAGCAGAGACAGGGCCTGGCCCTTGCGTCGGCTGCCCCCCGCCTTCCGAGCTCCCATCCCGGCCTCTCCCCCGCAGGCCAGCAGCTGACCTTGAAGGCAGGCCAGAAGCGGAAGGCCCCCGAGGAGACCCCGTGCCCAGCCAAGGTGAGGGGAAGAGTGCCGGCGGCCCGGGGCTCTGCCCGTGGCCACAGAGAGGAGCGGAGGCCTTGTGAGGTGTTGTGGGGATGAGCAGCCAACCACACCCCCCCCGCCCCCCCCAGCCTGGGCAGGCCCCACAGGACGGCCGCTCCACCCTGTGCCCTCCCATTGCCTTGCAGAGGCGGCCGGCCAGCCCGCAGAGCCGAAGGAGAGCCGTGCCAGCGGGCGGGAGCTAGAGCAGCCCGGCTTAGGTGACAGAGGCCACAGGCTGCCCCCCAGGCTGCTGGTCCCGAGTCACAGTTTACATTAAAGACAGGGGACAGAGCCCGGTCTGGGTGGTGCGGCTGCGTGAGTTTGTGCTCAGGGCCCAAGGAGACCCAGCCTGCGGGGAGTGGGTGACTGTCCTCCTACCCGCTGCGCCGTCCCCTGGTGCCTGCCCGTTAGTGTTTGGTTTGAAAACAGCTGCTGGGCCCCTCCTGGATGCGGAAATTAGTCTCAGCCCTGGGCGGGCTGCTGGCTCAAGGGTACAGAGAGGTACACGCTGGCGCTCTGTCCCCACATGGTCCTCCTGCTCCCCAGCCCAGTCCCCAGCAGAAGCAGGCAGCCTTTCCCATCCTTTCCCTACCTGAAGCCCCTGCCCCCGTGCACGGCGGAGCGGGGCTGACCCCCAAGTCTAGCTACCTGTGCGCGGCGCACTGCCCCGTCCGCCGGCACCTGGAGGCCGAGAGCCACCGGCCCTGCCCGCTCGATGGAGCCCGGATAGACCCCCTCTCCCCTTCTCCAGCTCCCCAGTGTGGGGACCCACCAGCGCTCCCTCCTTTTCCTCTAGACCGGGACAGGGTGTCCTCTGGAGTGGCTGGGGGACTGGGGTTTTGATGCCTGGTCCTTCCCTGCAGTCCGCTCTGAGGGAGGTGGCGGCCCCCCTGCCGGCCCAGGCTGACGGCTGTGCGTTCGCAGGTGCTGCTGGACATCTTCACTGGGGTCCGGCTCTACCTGCCCCCCTCCACACCAGACTTCAGCCGCCTCAGACGCTACTTCGTGGCATTCGACGGGGACCTGGTGCAGGAGTTTGACACGGCCTCAGCCACACACGTGCTGGGTAGTGGGGACAAGAACCCTGAGGCCCAGCAGGTCTCCCCGGAGTGGATTTGGGCATGTATCCGGAAACGAAGGCTGCTGGCCCCCTGCTAGGACCGCGGCCCTCCCTTGGCCTGGGCCGTGCTCACTGTGCCCCGGCTGCGGCGGGTGGGCGATGGCGAGGACACGGTGGGAGGGGATGGCCTTTCTTCTCCAAGCAATGCGTCTTCCAGAACCCACCAGCCGTGCTTGGTCTCCTCCCAGCCAGGACTTTGGGGACTTTGGGCTGTGGGTGCCGCCAGGGAAGTCCGTGGCTCCTGCTGGTTCACCGTAGATCTTTCCTATCTGGGTGCTGGTTTGGTTGTCTTTTTATTTTAAAAGAAGCTTTTTTTCATATAAATAAAATATCTTGCAGTTACCCCGTCCTCCACCCCTTCTCCCCATCATCCCCCTAGTGGTAAGGCACAGAGTGACGCTGAGCTGTTGAAGCTCCGTCCGCAGAGCCACTGGCCCCTTTACTTGCAGGCTCCTTTTAAAGTTATATTTAAAAGATTGCCCTCAGAAATGCTGCTTCTATTTGGCAGGACTTGTATTCAGCTTGACCCTTCCGCCGGGAATGAAGCCTCCTTTGAAAGAAAACAAAATGAATTTTATGACTTAATTCTCTTGTGTTCTCTTACAGGGTGTGGGTCCCGGTTTGAAGGGAGGGAACCAGGATCAGGTAGGAAAACGGGTCCTTTATAAAGAAAAGGGAGGTTATTGGAGCTACTCCTCTGGGGGATACAGGACTCCAGGAGGCTCTGCCTCCCCCAAATCTGGAAACGAGACTGGTCTTTAAGATTAAAAAACCCACTTGAGGACAAAAGGCTCCCGTGCCACCCGAGGCTGGTTTATTGGAATAAAAGGCAAACAGTTTCGTGGAGAGGAGTGCTGTTCAGTAGAACTTTTTGTGGCAATGAAAACACCCTGTAAATCTTCATTGGCCAAAAGAAACCAGACACGCTTAGCCACACGTCAGGTGCTCAGCAGCTGACAACTGAGGAACTGAAGTTTTGGTTTCACTTCGGCCTTGACACGGTCACGTGTGGCTACGGCCAGTGCGGGGCCGGGCCTGGTTCACACCTGAGTTACTCAACACGTGGGCCTCCGTCCGCCCCGGATCCGCAGGCTGCTGCCAGGAGCAGACGGACTCGGGCTACCTTACGTGAAGCGCCCGGCACAGGGCCTGGCATGCAGCCGTGTCGAGCTGGGCCCGGGCCTCTCCCTCCCTGGCCACACGCCAGCCTGTCGCTGTCACGCTCCTGGCTGGAGCAGGCCCGCTAGGTGGTCCCCTCCTTACAGACTGGCTCCCTGGAGTTCATTTCTGCTGACTCGTGAGAGTCCGTTCTCTTTTTTCTTGCTGTCAACAGGTTGCCAGGCTTATTTGTCCATCCCCTGTGAATTAAGGTAATGAGACTCAACCTCTGGAACACATTTTGGGTCTGGGCCTCTAAGACTGAGGACCACTGCCTCCCCCGGCCCTCCAGTGTGCTCGGCTGAGGTAGTACTCCGCTGGAGGCTGCTGGCCGGTCAGCCCGGAGGCCAGCTCTGACCCGACCTGGGTCTCTACCTGCCGGCTAAAATGTGGGGAGGAAGGGGCGGGGGGGCTGGCACTGCCCTGACTGGCCCAGCACGTTGGTGTTTTTGAATAGGCCCTGTTCAGTCTAGCATGAGTACGCAGAGTAGGACCGTCTTCATTCCGCCCTTTGTGGAGACAAAAGCCGCTCCTCCTTTGAGCGCTGACCTACATAAATTTCCATCCCCCTCTCGAGCTTCCTCAGGCCAAGCCGCCAGACCGGGCAGCAGAACAAAGCATTCCCTTTGGGATTCTGCCAAAGGACACGGTCACTGCCCTCTGACCCGGCTGCCCTAGACCCAGCCCCCTGCCCTGACCGGCGGCTTACACTCGGGGTGCAGCCCCGCGGCTCTGCCAGCGGCGGGAGCAGCTCAGGAGTGAGTAACACGGCCTTGCTGGGTGTTCTCTCCAGTTCCCTGTCCGAGGTGTTCAGTCTCTTTCTGTCCGGTCTTTTCTCAGGCGTGTTTTTCTTTGCTGCTGAGATTATACTGTCTGTACAATCCTCTATTTCCACGGACACCCCCCCCCCCGCCCCGGGCGACAGCATCTTACACCTCCCCAGCACCACGCTTGAGGCCTGCCCTCCTTTGAGCCTTTGTTTTCACGCTGCTGGTTGGCAGTGGACGGTAGGTCGTCCTGGGTGCCCAGCGGGTCAGCCGCACAGAACAAGAAGGCCAGAGTGCTGCAGCTCAGCCTCCAGCCTTCACAGCCTCCGGGCAAGATTCCGTCCTCTTCTCCCTTCAAGTCCCAAGGCAGATCTGCACATCCTCAAGCTCTCCCCACACAGGTCTGTGCACACACCAGCTGTAGGGCTGTATCTGAAAGCTACCAGCTGTCTCCCGGGATCACCTGCAGCCTTAACTGAGCACGCTGGCTGGCCTCCGATTCCGCTCTACCCACATCTCTAAGGCCCATCTCTCCACGATAAGTGTCAACGGCTGACCTCACTTGGTGTTTTTTCCTTGGTCCTAAGGCTGGTCCTTCTGCTACACAGTTCCCATCCTCTTCTAGGCTATGCCATGGCAACTCCCAGATACTAGTTGTGAGATCTTGAGCAAGTCAAAACACTACCGAACTTCGGTTTCCTCATCTGTTGGAACAGGAATGGCCGAATGGCCACATGGCCCAAGCACCTCCACAACTAATGCGGTCTCTCAAGAGCCTGGGACCAGCATGTGGTCTGTCAACTCTCTTTGGCAATCTGAACTGTCAGACCTCTGGTGTCCTCCACCAGATGAGACAGGCATCTGTAGTGAAATTTTATTACAAAATTATAAAGCAGAGCTCTGTAACAAAAAAAAAATACACATTTGGGTTTAACACCCAAGGAAGTCTGAGAGAATCTTAATATAAGCCACATCTGAAAGATTTCAACAAATTTATACAATATACACGGATTCCTGTACAGCTTAATTGTTACTAGCTTGGATCCAGCTATTCCAAGGCATTATGAACCGGTCAGCTCTCCCAAGTCTTAAAACAAGTCTCAGATGAAATCTCAGAACGATCACAGCCAAAGCTACAGAGTAATTGGAAGAATTAAGATGTTGCATGATAATTAAGACCAAGGATCCATGAGGGGCAAGGGAGAGCACTCAGATAAAAAGTTCTCTACCTAGGTTAGAGAGTAACTGAAATGGGATCCCAGCCTTTATTTGGTGTAATAATGATGAGTAACAACAAATCAGGGTTGTTAGACACCTTTTTTCCTGAATGGAAACCTTCACCAAAAGAGATCGAGAGACTTTAAAGGCAAGTTTTCTCCAAACTGAGCAAATGATATCAGTTCTAATTCTTAACTGAGGTTACTAAACAACCTTCAGGATATTATTTTTAACTTCTGTCTAGGAGGGAATGTGGGAGGTAGGGAGAGGTAAGGCCTCAGCAGTGAAAAGCTTTAAGTAGGGAGAGAGCCAGCTTCTGCCCTGAAGTTATTACTAGACCGTAACTGAGTTGCATATATATATGTAGACCTGTTTCACAGCGGAATCGAGAAGTAGCTGAATCCTCCGCTAAACTGGTAGGCATTGTAAACTGTAGTATGTACTATCCAGCAAAAAGGTGAAAGAGGTCCTCTTCGCAGACCTCTCTCTCGATTCCCCGGATTTCTACAAAGGCTGTCCCAGAATCAAATCATCCAGGACTTGGTGTAATGTCAAGGTAAGTGGCCCAGGGTGCAACTGACAACTACTTTATGAAATAATTTCATTCCTCCGAAGGGGAACAATGGTTGATAATGGGGGAAAGCCAAAGTATGTCTGTACCAATAAGCAGGTCCCCTTGGAGGTTTCCTACTGTTTTCCAAAGTCCTGACTGGTTCCAGTCTGAGAGAACTGCACAGCAGGGGGGATGGTGTGGGAGGTGGCCTGCCAAGGCCCTCAGGTGCTTAGGGGTTACATAGCTCACCCACAGGTAACGGCAGCGCACACAGTTCTTTCTGATAGCATGTGTCTGTTCTTGGCTAAGCTTCTCCAGCAAACTTAAGCCCTTCGGCTCTTCCAGTGGTAGAACCACCCTAAGAGGGCTCAAGAATATCCTCTAACTTACCATACGGTCTTTCCTAAAGGGCCTGGAGAATGCTTCTTCCAGACCAGCCCTCAAGTCAGTAGGCTGAGAAATGAAATGGGAGCAGGGAGTCCCCACTAACCTGGGGAATTAAGACTTGCAGCTGTCTACCCCAGGGCTGAATCCAGTCTCATTCAGGACCTTCAGATACCCCTTAGCTGTTCAGTTTTGGTCTCCAGGAACTTCACGAAAAGTGTAGCTAGAGAAGAGCAAGGCTCCTTGCCTTAGTCTTTATGCCTTCAGTGAGACCCTGTTTAAAACTTCCATGGGAAAGAGAGGGACTTCATTCTCAGGGGAAAGTGGTTTGCAATTCCTTTGTGTTGGAGAAGTTAAAGTTAAGCAGGAAGCTACTGCTTCCACCCAAAACTTCCCCTTTTCTCGTAAACTAAAATTAAGGATGGTGCACAGGCCCTAAACTAAAATTGATGGCACACAAGGCCCTAAGAGCAGCAGAGATGATCCCCGGGCCATCTCACACACACGACTCAAACTTCCCTGCAGATGCTTTGCTGGCTCCCAAGGTTCGGTCAGGAGACTCACTGCTTCCAATCCCAGCACTTAAGGAAGCAACTGTAAATGACTTTGAAATTTTTCAATAGCATTTGTGTTTCACTTCTCACCAGGGAAAGTTTACTGGTCCAAATTTAGTCCTAAGGAGGATCACTATTGGTCTGGTAAGCTAACATCTTTTTGGTCTGAAGAAACAAATGAATTTTAGGCAATGCAGCAAGAGACTAGCAAAGCTGATTAAAGCACAGAAAGCCAGAGAGACCAGAAATAAATCCAAATGTGCTGGGGAGGAAGAGAACCTTTTCTACCAGGATTTCTGACGGTTGGAATGCAGACAGGCGGCTCGGGGATGGCCGGGGTGCAGGGGGAAGGGGGGAACTGTTAAGTTTACAGAGGAAGGGAGGAAGATCTGGTCCAAGTTCTGGAAAAGTCCTCTCTTGATCAATTACCATCATTACCCCAAGACCACTGGAACAGGAACTTGCCCACGCGATTTGTACCAGTTCCCACCAGCCTCGGGCTCCGCAGGCCGAGAGGTGCGCCGCCGAGGCAGGACAGGCACGCCCAGAGGTGACTGCATCTTTGCTCGCAGATTCTCTTGTTAGCCTGCCCCTCTGCAAGCTGGCCAATCTGGAGCCCAGACCCTTCCAGCTCTGTCCCTGTAAGGCACTGAAGAAGCCGGCACAGCCCTCAGGATCGGAAGACATGCACGGCTCGGATCACGTACTGCCGGCAGATGGGACACTCATTCATGCGCTTGCCGCACTTGGTGCAGGTGACCATGTGGCCGCACTCCAGCAGGACACAGTCAATGGGCGAGTCCATGCAGATCCTGCACAGGTTCTCCTCCACGCTGGGTGGCACCGCTCCGCCTGGACAAAGAGGGCAGAGAAGGGGTGGAGGGGAGAGGACACCATAAGTGCAGGGGGTGGCGGGGGGACTGAGGACGGAGAGAAGAGCATGCTGTGGACACACCCCCAAATCCACACACTGCCCTCAGCTAGAACTCCAGGTATCAGCCCCCCGCTGCCTGTTTCAGCCACACCTCTACTGGCCAGGCCATAGAGGTGCAGAATAAAGTACTTGGAGATCAAATACAACCCAGAACAGGACAGCTAAATAAGGCAGAGTCCTCAAGGCTTCAAAGAATTTTCAGACAGTTGAGGCTGTAATATGGTAAGTAAGTGGCACTTAGGGACTCATCATCCCCTGAGGCAGAACATGCTGAAAAGATAAAAACTGGTTCTAAAAAGTGTGATACCAATGGAACTGTAGTGAATGGCTCATGAAGGATCACAAGGCTTCTCAGTAAACCTATTCCCAACTGAATACAGCCAAGGATCCTGGGGGGCCCCTGTGCTGTCTCAACCTTCCCCGGAGCTTCCTCTGAGGAGGCTTCCTGGTGGAAGAGCCCAGCAGAGATCAAGGCTCCCTCTTCTGTGCTACCCCCACCCCAGCTTCTCACATGGCATTAAAATGTCTAACTACTTGGCTCCCCCACGACCCTATGAGCTCATTTCTGCAACTATATACTTAGTATTTGTTGGATGCTCTGAGGTCAGATCTTCCTCTTTGAATCCCTAAAATGCCAATCATGTGGTAGGTGTTCTCAAAATGTCTGATAAGTGAACATCTCCCAAGGGAGTCCGAACAGCTCACATTCGTAGAATACTGTGCCAGGCAGGGTCCTAAGAGTCTTGCATATTTTAACTTTTTGAATCCTCGTGAAAACTATGAAGTACTCATTACTCATTTTATAGACTTGAGGCCACTGAGGCCAAGGAGTTAAGTGGTTTGCCCAAGGGCACACAGCTGCTAAGCAGAGCCAGGATTCAAATCCAGGCAGGCCTTCTGGGCAAGTGGCCTGAGGACAGGGACTCTCAAATCAGTATTAACTGCTCAGTGCACAGAGTTCTCAGTAACAGCTGGCTGGCTTGTGTGAGCGGGGAGGTGCAGAGGGCATGGCCAGTATCCTATTTTAGTGCAAACAGAAAAACCTTCATGTCCAACAATGTAGCCATCCCCAGCAGGTTTTAAATGGTGGCCTGAAGCCCCAGTTGGGGCTCCATGCTCAGTGCAGAGTCGGCTTGAGATTCTTTCCCTCTCCCTTCCCCTCTGCCCATCCCCCTACCCTGTACACTCGCTCTCTCATTCTCTAAAAATAGTAAAATCTTTAAATTGTAGCCTGAACCAGGGAGCCATAAGTAGGGAGCTGGCTTCATACCAGTCACCTGTCCCACTCCACAGGGGAATTCTCTGTACTCTGCTGCCCAGCACTTTCTTCTGCTTCCTGGACTACTCAAAAAGTCAACACTTAGGGAGGCTAGCTGTGAAAGGCAGTGAAACCGATTTACCCCTCTGGAGCAGCTCTTGGCCCTAACAGGGGTTTGGAAAAGGGCTGAACTGCACATATAACTGAACTGGAGTGAATTATAGAATATCGTATTAATTTTCTTAGGAATAACAGACTCAACCGACTCAGTTACCAGTATTCCCCCAGGGAATCAAAAAAAAGGCGGCAAGGGCGCCTGGGTGACTCGGTTGAGCGACTGCCTTCGGCTCAGGTCATGATCCTGGAGTCCCGGGATCGAGTCCCGCATCGGGCTCCCTGCTCGGCAGGGAGTCTGCTTCTCCCTCTGACCCTCCCCCCCTCATGTGCGCTCTCTCTCTCGGTCTCATTCTCTCAAATAAATAAAATCTTTAAAACAAAACAAAGGCGGCAAGACAGCAAGTGGAACAGCCTGATCTTGGGGAGGGGGGACTAGAACCCACAAGGGTTTTGGGGAGCTAAGAAATCAACTCTTCAGGATTTATCAGCCGGAAGACTGCCGCCCCATTCTGAGCAAAAGGCCATTTTGCCAAATAACAAATCTGGAGTCTTCTGAAAGTTTTAAAATGGTTTGCAGGCCCCCAACACTACTCTGAGAACATTCTCTCTTGGGGGAAGAGCTCACAACCACACAGCCTTGAAGCTTTCAAAAAGACAGAAGGTATTTCAGAATGAAGCCCAGACCCAGCCAGATGCCCGCAGTGCGTCCTGGGGTCCCCGAAGGCCCCGTGGTGGTCTTGAACACACTGATGGGTGTGTGGCAGCTGAGGTGGTATATGTGCCTCGTGTCCAGAGAGCACACAGGTGACCCCTTTCCTGCTCTGTCCCCAGAGCAGCTCTAGCCACCGCCCAGCCCTGTACAAACAAGGCTCAGGTCACCTCCCTTTATTTTTGGTTGGTCCCAGAAGTTGTCAAGCATCCCAAGTAATCTCCCTGAAGGTCCACAGGGACCCTCCCCACTCGGACCAAAACGGAGTGAAAACCGTAGGGGAAGGAGTGCCGTAGCAGCAGGGGTATGAAAAATGAACCGGATGTGACACATGCCACCACTCACTTTGCGAAACATTTTACAAATGCTCACTCCTGAGCTCTGGCAGCCCCGAGACATGCAAATCAAGCTGTCCCTGGGTCTGCTGCCACTCTTCACCCTTCCTGGTGAGGCGAGAATGAGGATTTTTAAAGATGCTGAGAAGCCATGCTTCCCCGTGCATTTCCCCCAACTCACTCTCTGGACGCCACTACGCTTAGAATTCTTAGACTGCTAAGAGGAAGCAGGGTTGGCGGAAGGGAAGGGCCGCAGGGCTCACAGAGCCTAAGCACGGTCCCAAGCAGAAGCAACTACGTACCGTTTTGGTCTTCAGCACCACACACTGAAAAGGAAAGAGAAAGAAGAGGTCTGCATATGCGACGGCGTGAAGAAAGTCTCCCACCAGCCCGTCTAACTGCCGCACTCGGACTGCTCTCCTGGCCTGGGAACCCGGCTGGCCAAGAGCCCGGCCGGACGCCCGCCCTCCCCTCCTATGCTGAGAGCTCGCGCACAGCCCCGGCCAGTGTGTCTGGTCCGGTCTTCGAGAAAGGGATTCCGCCGGCTCGCGTGAACAACACTGCCAAGGAGGCAGGACACTGCATGGGCACGGTACCCTTTTCTATCGCTTCTGAAGCCCGCGTTAGAACCGGCTGCTCCAGTCAGCCAAGGAGTCTGGATGGAGTGCCCCGGTGGGGCCATGTCCTGTTCCCCAGGACCTCACAACTCTATGGAGATTCTGGGGACAGCCCCAAAGGGAAGTGAGTCTGACCAGAGGACTGGTCAGACATCCCCAACTCGGATGAACCAGTGGGACAGGAGAGCCTGGAATCGGACTCCAACCACTAACAGCAGGCAAGGAATCAAAATGCTGATTGCAGGAGCTAAATCGGTCGGGGAGGGGAAGGTTCTGGGTAAAATTTTAGGAAATGAGTTTAAAACAGCCAAATACACTCCTCTTCTGCAGGACTTCTCTAGAGACCTCTACTATCTACCAAGAAGACCTAGTTTTCTTCCCCAAACTCAATTAAACACAAACCTAGACAACTTACCTTATTGGGCATCGCCTAAAAATGATACTGTGTAGAATGCTTTGGGAAAGGACCATAGGGAAAGCCCAGGCTCAGGCAGCACAGATCTATTTCCCTTGTACCATGGGTTCACTTCCCCGTCTCCCAACTGTTGAGAGCAGTACTGCTGAGGTACTAGTGGGGATGGCAGGGTGACACGGGGTGGGAAAGGCTACAGGATCAGTCCAGGAAATCTTCAGCGACACCCAGGCTCTACACTAAAACAGTAATGCCAGGGGCGCCTGGGTGGCTCAGTCAGCTGAGCGTTCACTCTTGGTTTCGGCTCAGGCCATGATCTCAGGATCGAGCCCCGAGTTGGGCTCCACACTCAGCGGAGTCCGCTTGAGACCCTCTCCCTCTGCCCCTGCCCCTACATTCATGCTCGTGCTCTCTCCCCTCAAATAAATCTTAAAAAAAGGGGGGAGCGGGTAGTGCTAATAATGGCTATTTCACAGGCAGCCCTGAGGACGGAATAAATGTTTACGGAGCCTAGCCCGGTCCCGGCACTCAACTTCAAATGGCAGCTATTATTAGCCGGTGCCAAGGTGGAAGGTGACTCCTTGCTTGGCTAAGCGCACAGAAACCCAGTCAGGCCATGCCGTCAGGCTGCAGAGTGACAGCAAGCGCCCCCCAGACAGCGCCTCACCCAGGTGCTGGAGCCCCTTCTGGTCCTTGTACAGCCGCGTCACCCTCTCCATCAGCTCCCACTTCTCGCAGCAGCCCTTGTAGTTGACGAAGTTGCGCGCCAGGATCTCTTTCAGCTGCCGCACGGTCAGACCTTCAATGTCCTCCAGGTCGGTGAGGTCAGACAGAGAGGCCCGCCGGCCCGGGACGAAGCCGTCCTCTGAGTCGACAGACTGCAATGGCAACGGCGGGATTGGTGGGCTCAGCTCTCACCTCCCAAGCTCTCTCTCCGAGGACCCCGGAGCACTCACCAGGCCGTGCCCGCGGGGACTGACCTCAGGAAGAGCGGGAGTGGAGGCAGGAAGGGTGCCGGCATGGTGCTCTGCATGGCCAAAGAGGCCACATCTCTTCCTGACCCATGGTTCCGGGCTCGGGCACGGCCACAGCCCCCAACCAACCCATCAGTGGGACGAGTAGAAGGGGCAGCGGTGTGAGTCACATGGCCCTGATTCTGACTCCTCCACGGACTGATGCTAAACACGATGGAGCCAGTTACTCCCCGGCCTCGGCCTGTCTGCCCCTCCATACAGGAGACCCAGCAGTCCCACTGCACCGGGTTCCTGTAAAAACTAGCACAAGAAACCAGCGAGCCTGGTGCCAGTCTCTGCTCTTCCCGCTGCTTCCTTGTCGAAGGGGCAGACTTCCCTGGCGAGCACGCCTCTGCACGCAACCTGACCACTGCTTCGCGGCCCCGCTGGCGCTACCCGCTGGCTGGCCTACCAGGGCTGAGGCCTGACCCCTGCTCATCCTTCCTCCTGATTTTCCGACCTCCTTCCCCTGACGATGGCTACTGTGTGCTAGCAGCCGACGAAAAGAACAAGATTTGCATAGCAGCACCGGGAGCCCGCCCGTCGGCAGCTTACAGGAAATCAAGAGACTAGGAACGAAGGGGCCATGAGGCTCCCCGGTCTCCACTGGGAGCTCACTACTCTGCCCCTGACAACTGACAGCTTCGAAGGCTGATCTGGAAGGCTAACACTAAGCCCACCCCTGACAACAGAACTGTAGGACTGTCATCACACACAGATTCTTCTGCGCGTCTGAGTCTGCTGAGAGGGTCCTAATCACCGCCTACCACCACCAGAGAAAAGAGCAAACGCAAAGGCACGGACCGGAGCAGAGGCCCCACCTGGGTCTCATCCTCAGCAGGTGCTCTGGCTGTGCTCTCCAGGTAGACGGGTTCCTCTTGGTCCTGAGACACATGGCCATTGGCCTGTGGGAAGAGAAAGGTGCCATCACACGCACAGAGATGCGGGCCTCTTCCTAGCTCATTCCACATCCAAACATGTTCCCATCTCCCCAGGAACCTGGTGTCTCGAACAATAGCATTACAGAAGCCTGCTCCCTAGTACCGACTTTGTCGGGCAGAGACATGACACAAACAGATTTCAACTCCAAAACGAGAAGGCCGCTAATTCTGCTCCCCACCAGGATGGCATGAGCGGCCACTCACCGTCAGTGTGGTCTCAGCTCGAACTGTCCGAACGCGAGGAAGAGCACAAGTCCACGCCACTGCGGGACTGCTCTCTAACTGCCATCCAGTCTCTCCTGGACACTGAGCCCACACCGCCCTCCCCGTTCACTCCCACCCACCGTTCTGGGCTCTGTCCCGAGCAGCAATGGGCACCGCTTTCTTACAGAAAGTTCATACCATGTCTTCCTGCCTCCACGCTACATCTCCCTGGCTTCCTCCTCTGACAGAGGAAACAGTTCTTAGTCCCTCACCACTCTGTCCAGTCACTGCTCCACCATTCTAGAAATGGGCTCCAACCAGCAGCGCTCACTAGTACTAAGAACTATCTTGAAGCCTGGTCAAAAATTATTTTAACGCACCTAAGCATCTATTAGCCTAAAACTATAAAGACAGACGTCTATGCTTAAGGAGTTTGGAATTCTAACTTCTCAAAAGGTTTTGCCAAACAGTAGTTCAAACTGTGAGCCTCCTCGTCCCATCACCCTTTAAGCCACAAACCCCTTCACCAGACACTCTTCACCGACTGCTCCCTCCAGGCAAAGGGCCTGGTATGAGCCCGGAGCAAAGACGTGTCTGAGCTCACAGGCCTTTCCTCTAGACTCTCAGAACACCAATAAAGGGAACAGTCCCAGGAAACCAGTCACCCATGGCCCCAACCACTCATTCCAGATTAGAATGCCTAACACAGAGTTGGTTAAGAGGCAAATAACTATAATGGAGATGAAAGGAGAAACCACCACCATCATCCAAAATGCCAAGTGGTCAGAGGAGCACGCATACAGCATACGTGTACGGGGATGCATCCCACACCATCTCCCCTTAGCTTTCTGGAAACGTGGCACCCACCAGTCTCCTGGTGTTATCTTGGAGTTACAAAGTCTCTCCAAGCCTAACCTGTTCCTAAAGAAGGGCTTCTGTATGTCCTTTTTTTTTTTTCCTAGGAAGAGAAACTGGAGGTCCCACTGCAAAGCATGCTCTTGTCTCTTCAGTTTGCCTACTGGCTAAATTAAAATCTCTTAAATCGTATCTGTCCACCATCTTGCTTCCTCCACCCACTTCTTTCCCCAGCAACCACTGCCAGGGCACTAGGGGTAAAGGGCAAGAACTCTGGGGGGCAGGCACCCCGGGCAGATCGGCATCCTAGGTGCGGGTAGCCTGCACAAGTCACTTGACTTCCCCACGTCTATTCTCCTGGCTTGACAAACGCAGATCTCATCGGGACAGGGGATGCAAGCTGACACAAAGGACCCGATGAGATCTGGCGCCTACGTGGGACCCGCAGCTGAAGTCTGGAATTTCTGGTTAACGACAGGAAATTTAGAACCCCCTGCTTTCATTGCAAAATCCACCTGAAGGTTCTTCAGGGAAAAACAACTCCCTCCAGTTATGCCCTGGGCCCCCCCAGACAGAGAGGAGTGCTCCACCGAGCCGAGGGAGGAGCCCGCGTGGGAGGCGGACGCCGGGCAGAGCTCGCCTCAGGCCGCCAGGGGAGCAGAGTGCGGCCTGGCCTTTATGCCCCAGTGCCCGCCAGAGCTGAATCAGGGGCCCGGTGCTCGCACACCGGAGGTGGCGGCCAGCCACACCGCACACAACCCTGGTGCTGCGCCAGCCGGACGGAGCTCCCAGCTCTTCAGAGCTACTGTCACGCCAGCCGGTCCTCCCAACAGCCTGCCAGGAGCCACAGTGCCCTGGGATTACTAGCCCCATTTCACTGCTGAAGGCTCGAATTTTGCCCGAGGTGACCAAAGAGTCAACGACAGATTGGTCCGAATGCCCCAGCTACGGCCCAAGCCACATACACCAAAGGGTCACTAAGGCACTGAAGTCTTATCTATGGGATGCCATCAGCCCTCACGCACTGGTTACGTCTCCCGGCCTCACCGGAGCCCAAAAGCTGCTTTGCCCGTCTACCCTGCTCCCGCGGGGGCCTTCTGAGGGCACCCGCCATTCTGCACGGCCCCTGCGCAGTCTGCAGCCCCGCCAACGGGCCGCTCTTCGCTGACCATTTCTGAGCGCCCTCCCACCCCAGGACGATGACAAGGCAATTTCCGGTTCGAGAACGTGCCAACCATGACCTGGCCCAAGCGGTGACTGGCCACAGAAGCCGTGACCGCCCCCCCTTCCGTCGACATGTGCCTTTCCCTCTGCGCCCTGTGATGATTCCCTACCCGCTAAGAAGACCTTAACAAAGGTAAGCAGGAGGGCAGTCTGAACAGAACGAAATTTAGAGAGTTAACAGTGAGTTTTCTCAAAATGTTTCTGGAAAGAGTTTTTCAAAAATGACTAGCTGGGATAGGTATGTATTAAAAACATCAAAAATACCTGGTACCATGCATGATCACCTCTGAAAAAAACCCAAACAGGAGTCTGAGGTCCAGAAAACACCCCTGCAGCAGTAGGCAGAAGGGCCTCCCCTGATCATACCACCCCCCCCCCACACGCAGTGCAGGCAGGGGAGCAGACTGAGCCCACAAAGCGGCAGACACGGGCAGGGGCCGCAAACCCGACACGTACCTGCTGGCTTTCCTGAGCCTGGGCCGGGGACACAGACGTGGCTTGTGTGGGCGAAGAGGGGAGGCTCGCCGAGGTAGGAGGTACTGTGCCGGCATGAGGCTGGGCCAGGAAGGCCTGCTGCTCGGGGAAGTCCGGGGACAAGGGGGGGGGCGCGAGTCCTGCCCTCCTGCTGGTCAAGCACCAAGAGCACCAGCTCCTCTTTCTCTCGGCACACTTCGGTAGAGATGTCATGGAGGCTGAGATAGTCCCTCAGGTCCTTCACCTTCATCTTCATGAGCTCCTCCCGCCGAAAGGCTGTGGCTCGGACCCGCTGGCAGAGGAGGCAGAGGTGGGGGCCGTTCCCCACTTGGCTTGAACAGGTCATGCAGAAATTCTTCTTGCAGTCCAGGCAGGTCTGCTGCTTAGACCAAGAGGCAGAGGGAACCATGTCAGACTGAGAACAAGACAGTGGGAGAGGGGCTCAGGGCCGCCATGCCGAGCGGGACTCCCCTGATCACTCCTGCCGGTACGAAGCTACCTCCTTACATCAGAGTGCAAGCTACCTTGATTTCAGTAAGCACCACTCAGAGGTGGCACCCTCCCCCGTAGGCACCTGTGTGCCCACATCCAGGATACTACATTCATTATTCCAGTTGAGACTTACTTTTTTCATTGCAGATAGAGAAACAGAGGGTTTTGATTCTAATCAAAAAAGCCCACATTTTCATTTAGTCTGCCTCCTCTATTTTTTTATGGTGTCACCTTGGGTGTGTAACTTAGCCTCTCTGGCCCTCAGTTCCCGCATCTGTAAAATGGGGGTGATGACAGTACCTACATCTCAGGATTGCCCCACAGTTAAGAGACAACGCATTTAGCGTATGTGACACATGATTCTTCAGGGTAAGTATTAACTCTTTTAATTATTATTGTTAGGAAACACAAGCTAATTTTGAGAGCCAGGATTCAAATCCTGAACTATGACTTTTTTTCTACTTTATTGCTGAGAATAGAAAGCAAATGCATAAGTACGATGGTGATTATTATTAATATTTTTGATTAAATTGGGCGCCTGGGTGGCTCAGTTGGTTGGGCGACTGCCTTCGGCTCAGGTCATGATCCTGGAGTCCCGGGATCGAGTCCCACATGGGGCTCCCTGCTCGGCGGGGAGTCTGCTTCTCCCTCTCCCACTCCCCGTTTGTGTTCCCTCTCTTGTGTCTTTCTCTGTCAAATAAATAAATAAAAAATCTTTAAAAATATATATATATATTATTGATTAAATTTACTGAGAGGCTACTAGGTGCTAGAGCTTGTCATTTAATTTTCAAAGCAACCCCGCAAAGTATTACTCTATCACTGTATCACGTATTAACATACATCACTGGGGCGCCTGGGTGGCTCAAACGGTTAAGCGTCTGCCTTCAGCTCAGATCATGATCCCGGGTTCCTGGGATCCAGCCCCGCATCGGGCTCCCTGCTGAGCAGGAAGCCTGCTTCTCCCTCTGCCTGCCCCTCCCCCACTGCTTGTACTCTATCTCTGTCAAATAAAAAATAAAACGTCTTTAAAAAAAACCCACATCACTAATAATTACTAATGTACCTCCCTATGTCACAGACAAAGCAAGCAAGGCCTAGAGAGATGAAGCATCGCACTCAAGGGCGGGCGGGGAACAGAAGAGCTGGGGTTCACGCTCAAAGCCTGTCCCTGTGGAATGCCCACAGTCACGCCCTTCCCACCAGGCCATGCTGCCTGACTCGGCCCCATCCAAGCCGACAGCAGGACCCAGTCCAGGGCCTGGCTCTCCATCGCCAAACCCCCGCCCAGTGCCCCATCCACAGAGGCAGTGCCCAGGCTCCCCCACCCCAGGAAGGCCCACTCAGAGCACCGGGAATCCAGTGGCACAGAACAGCGTATCCAAGACACACTCAGACAGCTACGGGGACGGATAAGGGGTGGAACCTCTGGAGCCAATCGGGGAGCTCGTAGTTTGTGCGCGCACAGGTCTCAGCCCTCAGTCGGCACACAACGGCACACGCCACACCACACCAGCGCTCGCTCCTGAGCCCGCACAGTGACATCGGACTGAGCTCTGCTCTGGCCGAGCGCAGCCGCACTCCCACAGCAAAGGGAGTTCCTGGGCACACTGGGATGGTCCCGGGAGCACACTCACCAGTCCTTTAAAGAAATGAAGAACTTGGGCGCCTGGGTGGCCCAGTCGGTTAAGCGACTGCCTTCGGCTCAGGTCATGATCCTGGAGTCCCGGGATCGAGTCCCGCATCGGGCTCCCGGCTCGGCGGGGAGCCTGCTTCTCCCTCTGACCCTATCCCCTCTCATGCTGTTTCTCTCTCTCTCTCTCTCTCAAATGAATAAATAAATAATTTAAATTTAAAAAAAAAAATGAAGAACTTTTCATCCTCTGGTGACTTGAGCATTAACCTATTTCTGCTCCCTCTCTTCTAAGTAGGGAAAACTGAATGCAGAGTAACGAGAATTCCCGGGAGACTGAGATTCTCATCACCGAAATCGGACTCCGGCGCAGGGCTGGCGAAGGCTCCACAGCTGAGGCAGTGGTGCCCGGCTCCGTCCAGGAGTCCTGCGCGTCGACGGGGAAATGGGAAGAACGTTCACCACCCACGTGTGACTGTGAATACCGAAAGGCGTTTCGAAAGGATGCGTATCAAGCTCCCTCACTCTCTACAGTTACAGCCAGACCACAACACGCTCAGAGGCCGACTTAAAAGGACGCAGGGCTGCACTAGCGTCCTAACGGTTCTGGGACCTGCAGCCGCTCAGGTGGAAAATGGACATTTCGGGGTCTTGGGGGTTCCTTTATATCAAAGGCTTTTCTGTTGGGAAATGAAACGCGTTTAGGATGACTGAGAGTGCAATGAAGAGGCTTCAGTGTCAGACGCTGTAGGACATGGAACGTGACTCAAGTCCGTGCAGTCTGACAAGACCTAGCCTGACACAATTAAAAAGCCCTGAGATGCTCCATCAGCCAGATCTAAACAACTCTCTATTCTTTCTTCAAACATGCACGGCTTATTGGAGACAAGACCAGAATGCAAAGGTGGCACCCCAGCTTCTCCGCGTCCCCCCGCTCACCAGGGACTCTGAAGTCGGCCTGCATCCAAAACACGCCCTCTAGGAATAGGACAGCGCTCCAGGCTGAATGCCCAGTTTGCAAAGGAGAAGCTGGCTATCAACACAGACGGGCAGAATGAGCGAAGGAAACTCGTCCGTCTCAACTGAGGCAAACCGCGCGCGACTGAGGAAGCAGGGGGCCTGAAAGATGAATTAGTGGAGCCAACATGCTTGCAAACACACCGAGAGGACACGCAAACCTCCAGCAGCAAACGGCCGCACCAACTTCAGGGATGCTCCGGGGCCTGCTCGCCCTTGCTCCTCTGCCCTTCCCTCTTCCTACCCGGCCACACACGCATTCCCCAGACTCCTCGGCCAGGCAGGGCTCCTCCTCACCGGCCTTCCTCTAGGCTCCTTCTCTCACTCTTTTTTTTCTTTCTCTTTGTTTCTTCCTTTCTCTCTCTTTCTTTCTAAGATTTTATTTATTTATTTGACAGAGAGACAGCGAGCGCAGGAACACAAGCAGGGGCAGAGGGAGAGGGAGAAGCAGGCCTCCCACAGAGCAGGGAGCCCAATGTGGGGCTCGATCCCAGGACCCCGGGATCATGACCTGAGCCGAAGGCAGACGCTTAACGACTGAGCCACCCAGGCGCCCCAACATGCTTTTCAACATGCTTAGCATGCTGGTCCCTGAGCCTGGTCACCATCACTGTCCTCTTTGCTCCTTCTCTGTTCCCCACTCCACAGACTATAAATGGTATTTTTTTAAAAAAGGTTCAAACAAACCTACGGCAAATTCACGCTGCCTCATTTAAAAAAGGCCCTTTCGTGCTAATTACTCTGCCACTTCAGCCAGCAGTTGTTCCTAGCATTTCTCAGTGTAAAACAATAAAAACAGCAAGATCTGTGACTACCCAACAGACTCTAGATGCACCTGAGGAGTCCTTGAAACAACCACCTTAAATAGAGCAATTTCTGGGGCACCTGGGTGGCTCAGTTGTTAAGCGTCTGCCTTCGGCTCAGGTCATGATCCCGGGGTCCTGGGATCGAGCCCCGCATCGGGCTCCCTGCTCAGCGGGAGGCCTGCTGCTCCCTCTCCCACTCCCCCTGCTTGTGTTCCCTCTCTTGCTGTGTCTCTGTCAAATAAATACATAAATAAATCTTTAAAAAAAAAATAGAGCAATTTCTTCATCTATAAAATGGGAACAAATAATAGTATATATTTTGTTAAAGATTCGAAGAGAGAAGACACGTGAAATGCCAAGCTCAGTGCCGGGCATGTGACAAGTCACCCCGGGCCTCCTTCCATTTCATCTCAGATCCCAAAGCCACCCCCTTGTCTCCATCCCTGAGAAGACTGAGGCCATGCGGCACCGAGCTCCTCCCAGTCCCTGCTTCGGCCTCCGTCTATAGACTCAACCTTCCAGTCTCAGTGTAAAGGGAGTAGCATCGCAGCCTGCCGTACCACAGTCCCCTGCGACCCGCAGCAGCCTCTCTGGTGGTGTCCTCACAGTGACCAGGGCAGCCAGGCGCATCACGACAAAGCTCTGCTACGTGCCCAGCCTCACTGCACTACAGCGAGGCGCAGGCAAAATGCCAATCCTCCTTCAGCTTGCGGGTACAAAAGGGCGGGTGGTCAGCACTGCAGGCTGCAGGAATCTGGACATGCTGAATGTCTTCTGGGAGACAGCCTGAGAGTTCAAAGAGCTGGGTTTGAATCCTAGCTCTGCCATTTAATAACCATGTGATCTTGGGCCACTACCTATGTAGCTGGAAAAGGAGGAGTACTTCCATCTCTCTTATGCCATTTATCAGGAACTTGACAAATAGTTTCTTTCTTTCTTAACTGTTACACTCTAAATCTCAGTGTCTCATATGTAAAATGGGAGTTTAGGGACCCTAAAACCTCTACCATAGAGTTACTGTGAGGCTTAAATGAAACCAAAAGATCTAAATTGCTCACAACAGTCCCTAGCATACAGCACATAGCTTAAAAAGTAGCTTTTCAGGGCGCCTGGGTGGCTCGGTCGTTAAGCGTCTGCCTTCGGCTCAGGTCATGATCCCAGGGTCCTGGGATCGAGCCCCACATCGGGCTCCCTGCTCGGCAGGAAGCCTGCTTCTCCCTCTCCCACTCTCCCTGCTTATGTTCCCTTCTCTCGCTGTCTCTCTCTAAAACAATTTTTAAAAGTAGCTTTTCCTCTCAAATTTCCCATCACTGCCACTTTAACCTCACATGCAGGGCTACAGACCTCTCTGTTCTGCAGAAGAATGCAGAATGCAGGCCAGGGTTCACCCTCAGCCTCAAGCCGTGCTTGACCCCATTGGAGAATGGGCTGCCTCTGGGCACTGGCACAAGGATGGCCCCCACCCACATGCCATCACCCAGCCAGTGACTTCCCCTGCTGCTCGCTAATCTGGAAAACACGGCTGCCGAGCATTTCTCATGAAATCGCTACAGGAAAGGAGCCCCAGTCTTTGTCCTGCTGGGGTCTGGATGTACATGAGATGCCCTCAGCACCGCGTGGGATACAAAGACCAAGCTAATCTGCGGTCAGGCATTCACAACAACAGCTAATGAAGGGAGTGACACCAGTGTCTGCCGCACGCTGCACAGTGCTGGGGCCCTTGGTAGCCCAGCTCATGTTATTCTCACGACCCTGTGAGACAGGCACGACAGCTGTACCCCCATTTTAGAGACGGGGGAAAAGAATCTCCAGAAAGGTTAGGTCATACAGCTAGTAAGCAGCAGAGCTGAGGTCTGAATTCAGGCCTGTCTGGGTCCAAATTGACGCTGAGATGCTTTGCTTTTGGGTGGCTTTTCTGTAATGCTTTTGTGAAAGAATCCAGTGTGGGTTACCGGCACCACATAGGCAAAGGCAAGGTGGCAGGCATTGTGGAGGGGTCAGCAGGCTTGCCCGAGGGCTGAGGTTGTAGCAGCTGAGCCGGCCAACAAAGCCAAGAAGTCAACACTTGGGGCGCCTGGGTGGCTCAGTCGTTAAGCATCTGCCTTCGGCTCAGGTCATGATCCCAGGGTCCTGGGATCGAGCCCCACATCGGGCTCCCTGCTCTGCAGGAGGCCTGCTTCTCCCTCTCCCACTCCCCCTGCTTGTGTTCCTGCTCTGTCTCTCTCTGTCAAATAAATAAATAAAATCTTTAAAAAAAAAAGAAGTCAACACTCACCTTCCTGGCCATGTTTGCGAAGTGGGCCCCACAAGCCTTGCAGCTTGGTTCCGAGCCTGTTGGGGAAGGGAAGGAGCTATACCCAGGGTTGGAATAGGCCTGCGTCCTGGCTCCCTGGGCCGGTGGGGCCTCCTCAGGCTGTCCATCCAAGCAGAACCAGTTGCAGCAGGTTGCCCACATGATAAAATCTGGTGCAAGGAAGGAAGGGGAGAAAGGTCAGAGTTAAGACACACCTCTGCTCCACTCCCCCATTCCCGAGGGCGCACGTGAGCAGGGCAACTCAGTCCACACCTGCTGCCAGAGTCAGGAGTTGAGGTGAGGATGTGTTTTCGGGGGCCACAGATTCCTTGCCACCTCCTGCTTCACCACAGTTGCCACTGCTCCCAGGAGGAGAGCACAGACACCTGATCCGCCAGGACAACATGGGATGCCAAGCTGGCGCACTACCTCTGAAAGGTTGCTGGTCCCTGCTGTGGTTTAATCTGAGATCTAATTTTGAATAAAAAATGGCCTTAGCAATTACAAGTGGCCTGAAACCCCCTTTATTCAGGCACATGAACCTGCTCCTAGAGCTCAGAGACATGGAACTTTATCATTCATGTGCACGTGCGCACACACGTGTGATCCCATATTCACACCAACTGTGTAGAGGAGGGGTATTATCTCCTTTACACGGATGGGGCCACCCAGGCTCAGAGAAGTCCAGGTCACACCGCTAATATACAGAGAACTGAGATTCTGAAAACCCAGGTCTTCTGACCCTAAACCTAACGTTCTTTTCCTAGACCATACCGCCCCTCCTTGATTTTCCCTCCGCCGGCCAGCAGCATGAACTACTCTTATCTTTGTACTTCCAGCTCTACCTAAACCTCTCCCTCAACACCTCTGACGCTCTGTTCTGTCTGCTGCCACTACACCATTCCTTGAGGGCAGGGTGACTTATTCCTGTGTCTACTGCAGCCTAACAGCCTCGTGCACACAGAAGATGCTCAACTAACGTGGGCTGTCTTGCTGAACAGGTGCCTCGGTGGATTTATTAAGAAGTTTTGGAATAGGATTCCCATTTTACATATCAAATATGGGTACTAGGGACAAAGGGATAGATGATTTTTTAAGATCACAGAAGAAAACCCAATCCCTCAAATGTCAGAATAATCTACAGTTGCAAAACGGTCCACCAAAACGCCAAGCATTGCTGTGATTAAGAGTGTGCTTTTCTCAGCAGACCATGGCAGTCTCTATGGACATCTGGAGCCTGACCTCTCTGCTTACAGAGATAATAAATGAAACACTTAGTGTTACTGCTCAATCATCAGTTCACACAAAAGAATGGTACCTTCAGCTCTCTGCCTCCTGACTTATGGAAAGTGCCTTTATTAAATCGCAGTTCAGAGACATGCTAAGCTGGAAAGCACTAACAAGAAGCTGGCTGGTTCAACCTTAGTCATCTCACAGAGGAAGCCAGAGGCCCAGCAGGGGGAACACAGATATAACCTCACACAGCTATAACCTCAGGTCCCCCAATGACTCTCGGGCCTTTTTAGCTTGCAGCACTTCCCGAGACTCCTGATCTAGAATTCATTCACTTTTTTTTTTTTTTTAAAGGGAGAGAGAGAATCTTTTTTCTTTTTTTTATTAAGATTTCTATTTATTTATTGAGAGAGATAACGATAGAGAGCATGAGAGGGGGGAGAGTCAGAGGGAGAAGCAGACGCCCCGCTGAGCAGGGAGGCCGATGCGGGACTCGATCCCGGGACTGCAGGATCATGACCTGAGCTGAAGGCAGTCGCTTAGCCAACTGAGCCACCCAGGCGCCCAAGAATTCATTCACTTTTATAGGCAGGTCTGATCCACACCTGTCTCCCCCGCTTGCCTGTGGCCCCCGTATGAACAGGGACCATGACAGTCGGGTCAGTGCCCAGCAGACAGGTGGCTCAACAAGGACTACTGAATGAATCACGCGATATTTGAATTTTAACTAATCATATTCATTCTTTCCGTTTCCTACACATCAACATTTCTGACTCACTCTTACTTGTCCAAAGCCTCTAACTTCCCAGAAGACAACTGTAATGAATAGTTCACGGGGAATAACAAAGGAAAGAGCAGTTAAACAGATGAGTTCTCTGTTGGCAAGATAAGGGTGATAATAGCAGTGGGCACCCCCCTCGGAAAGAGGGATTTTTCAATTCTCTAAATCACCTGCTGACAAAAGCATCTGAGGCTGCATATGATAATACAAGGGAATACAGGATCCGAACTCAGAAGACCCGGGCCCAAGCCCCGCTTGACTACATACATCTTTATAACAAGTTCTCCCTTTCTGTGCTTTCTCTTTCTCACTGGACATTCTCCAGGCTGTGAGGCACTAAATAAAGATCAGTCGTGGCTCTGAGCATTGTAACAATGCTTCAACTACAGTTTCTCTGGCAAGGCTCAAATAAAAAGGAAACCTAGAGGTGTCCCCACAATTACCATTTGGCTCTCCGGACTCATCCCAAAAAAGGACAGGGAAATCTGTGACAAAATCAGCAGAATGGGTCAAGTAACTGAAGGAGCTGGGGGCAAGGCAAGAAGCAGAGCGGCCTTGGGACAAGGCTGTGGGTGATTTGCTGGCCTCTGTCAGAATCTCCACTCACCCAGGCATGCAACCTTTAGTGAAGCCAGTGCCTTGCTGTTTCCAGTGCTAGGTGAGTAAGGCAGAGAACCTGCCCTTGAGGAGTTCATGGTCAAGGAGAGGAACAAGAAATGTAAAACCCAAACAAATTTCAGAGTAATCAGTGCCTTACCAGAGGTTCGTACAGCATACCGGGGGCTATGAAGATAGAGACACAAGCAGCTCTTCAGGGGCGGAGGGGTGACCGGAGAAGACATCTCAAATGATGTGCCACACATATCCTCCTGTTGGAGTAGCTGGGGATTCATCAGGAAGCCCAGAGTAAAAGGAATTTTCAAGAAAAAGCAAACAGCATGCAACATGGCATTAAAGAAACTACAAAATGTTTGGTTGGGCCAAGAGTAGGGGTGGGATGGATGAGGGCATGGCAGGCAAACAAGCAGCCACGAAAAACCATGGTAAGGAATGTGGACTTTATCCTACAGGCAGTGGGACACAATGAACGGTTCAAGTAATCACATTTTGTGATCTTATTTGCATTTTATAGTGGGCACTCTGACAGTAGGCAGGCTGGAAGCAGGCAGCTGGTATGGCAGAGGCAAGACAGGAGGAGAAAGGGACAGACAGATCTCTGACAGAACTCGTGGGATGTGTCAGTGGATTGAAGCGGTGGAAGAAGGGGGAGAGAAAACAGTCTTGGATGAATCCCAGGGTCTCTGAATTACACAACAGGACACAGAGTGGAATTGTTAACAGGAGTAAGGGACAAAGCCCTCAGGATGAGGCATGTGTCTGTGTGTGAAGGAAGCGGGGCAATTACGATGATGGGTTACATTTTGTACCCGGGGGACTTGCTGATGGATACACGGCACACAAAGGGAAGAGTCCTGGTTGAGGAGAAAGTCTGGGAATCCTCAGACCACCAGAAACATGAAAAGCCGGAACAGGGCAAAAGACTGACTGGACACTGGGGTTACAGAGGACGGCCTGGGAGAACCCCAGGGGCGCCCAACCTAAAGGGCTAGCGGGGGAAACCAGCACAACAGTGGCAGGAAGACTGCTCAGAGTGGGCAATCTGGAAGAGGGTTTTGAGTTTCAAGAAGAAATGACTGATGCTGTTGAATGACCCAGAGAGTGGAATACAGGAATACAAAATGCCTGATGGACCTAGTTTTAGGAAAATGTGAGCGTGCTCTTGGCCCGAGCAGGTAAGGAAGAGAGAAGCTGACTGACACCTGTAAGTCGGAAAGTGACGGGGAAGTGAGGATGTGCACAGACCCTAAGGATAAACTATTCTCTGAAGAAACTTCTGGCCATGAAGGGAAGGGCCGGAGCTGAAGAGGATCCAGGTCACTAAGATGGCGATGCAGACGCATGCATCGACTGTAGAGGAGACCCCCAAAGATGAAGAGCCTGCAGAGGAAGGGAAGCTGATAACAAATGGTGGGAGTAAGGGCCAGGAGCAGAAAGAAAGGTGACCTGCTGGGACGCCTGGGTGGCTCAGTCGGTTAAGCATCTGCCTTCGGCTCAGGTCATGATCCCAGGGTCCTGGGATCGAGCCCCGCATCGGGCTCCTTGCTCCATGGGGAGTCTGCTTCTCCCTCTGCCTGCTGCTCCCCCTGCTTGTGTGCACTCTCTCTCTGACAAATAAACAAAATCTTGAAAGAAAGAAAAGAAAGAAAGGGAAGAAAGGAAGGAAGGAAGGAAGGAAGGAAGGAAGGAAGGAAGGAAGGAAGGAAGGAAGGAAGGAAGGAAGGAAAGGAAGGAAGGAAGGAAGAAAGAAAAGGTGACCTGCCAACAGGTTTGGGGGCAGGAGAAACGTCACCTCTCACCAGAGACTGGAACGGAGGGAAGAGAGAAGTCACCCAAGAGAAGCTTACAGCCTCCTCAGACAAAGGTGAACAAATGGAAGTACAAAGGCAAGGAGGGGGATGCAGTTAACCACAAGAAGAAAACAAACTTTTCCTGCGCACAAAGAATCCGCACGGGGCAATTTCTTCTGAGAGCCGAGGAGGACTTTGCCGCAGGAGGGCCAGGCCCGCTTGGTAAAGCGCGATCAAGGGGAAAATAACGGCAGGCCGGCCAGCTGTCTGTCCTTTAAATTCCTGTGCTCTCCCGAGCGCGCAGGGAGCACCGGCGGCCTGCTGGGCCCCGGGAACAGCAAAAGCCATGGCCACCAGGTCCTGGCCCCCAGCGGTCTCCGGGCCCAATGAGGCGCTGCCGTCTCACTCAACTCCGCCGCCCGGGCAGGAGAGCAAAGAAAGCTCTTCCTCAAGCCGAGAACCAAGACAACCTATCTCCCTCAGCACTATTTTCTCTCAACTTTGGTTCTCATCTTTTTTTTTTTTTAAGATTTTATTTATTTGTCAGAGAGAAAGAGACCGAACAAGCAGGGGGAACGGCAGGCAGAGGGAGAAGGAGGCTTCCCGCCGAGCAGAGCCCAGGACCCTGGGATCATGACCTGAGCCGAAGGCAGACGCTCAACCAACTGAGACACCCAGGCGCCCCAACTTTGCTTCTAATCTGAACCGCCTCCTGTGACGAGCTCAGAAAGAAAAGCCGTCTGCCTAC